TTGATCAAAGTGTCCGATCGCTGGTATATCCCACGTCTGCACCAAGCAAGAAGGAGAATTGGCTTAACCTCATAGATGGGGTCATTGGAAATATATGTAGGCGCATCAACCTTCATCCATCCTGCGAGCCCCACAGTCTTCCTTCCAGCTGGTGTGTCCCTACTGGCAGCCATGGGGGTTTCCATGTGGATGGCAATGGTACGAGTTACAGGTTGTATCTCAGAGAGTATGACGGACAAATCCAGGCAATGATTACTAGATAGCGTGCAGATCGCTTCCAAGGTAGCCCCGAGCCCCGGCTTGATGATATTAGCTGTGCTTACTGACACCTGGTGCTTTTCTTATGCTACCTCCGAAACCGAATCTCCAATCGCAAGAACACCAAAAGGATCTCTAAGTAGGGAACCACAAAGAGGTATAGAGCCATAAGCTTGCCTGGGGGACGAGCCGGATACACGGTTTCGGGTCCCGTGATGACGGTCTCCAGATCGCCCGTCTATACGGATAAGTTACCGGGGCGTTTTCAAATTAATTTGATTGCTTGGTTTTAAAATGGATCAAGACCAGATGAGGACTGTATTGAACCGTGCGAAGGTACATTAGCCTGCGAGATGTGGAGGATGTTAAGTCGATCTTTGCCGTCGGAAAGTCGGAGTTTTCTGGATGACATTATGCGCGGCCTGGACTAAACCACCTCGTGCGTGTCAGATCAATTGATGCATTGCCTCTGTGATTAGACGCGCAAGAGATACTATGCTGCAACAGCACTGTGCCAACCGCGAGCAAAAATGGATCAAAATTTGGTCAAGGCAATTGGAAACGAAAGCAACCAGAGGCTTGCATTATAAGTAAGATTCGTATCATCTATATTCTACCCAGCTGCTAGATTGAGCTGCTTCTTATTTACAATATAGCCTTGAAAATGTACAGTGCCGAGTTCTGGTCTCTGTTATAAAGCTCAAGTCTCGTAATCTTGTTTTCTTTACACTCAGCTGGTACGTCGAGGCCCGGCACCAATCTCTACCTGCAAGAGAATAGAGTTTCCCATCTTTATTTTATTTTGTTTCTTTTTTTTTACTGTAACAGGGCCCAGGCATGTTACTATGTTATAAATTGGAGTCCCTTGACAAGTTGACATACTGCGATGTGTAATGGCCGAGGGAGTTATACCATGAGATCAAGATATAGTATACAACGTATTCTTTTTACACAAGATTGCATGTTTTAAAGAGGCCCCTTTAGGCTCTTCGGCCTACAATCAATTGTAAGTTTCAAAGCCTTTTATAGAATCAGAGTCAAACTACGCAGTGAAAAACATTCCTGAATAAGTTATTGTCAAGTTTCGCTCGCTAGGAAATATTTCAGAGAAAGAAAAAAACATACAACAGAAGGGATTCGCTGGTGGTCACCCACCCAACTACTAACCTCCCGGCGTGTGGCTTAAGTACGGCTGAGCGGACGGGAAGCCCTGTTTTCCACACCCTGTGGTCGTATGTGCTTATCACATCTGAGCCAATGCTTATGGATCCACAACCAAGATTCTACGCGGGCTCATGTCATGGCCATACTAAGAAGAAGATGAAGTTCTGTCTCTTTCCAAGTGGGCCGGCCGATCTTTCCTGCCGACCGGAATCCGTTCACAATCCGCAGTGGTATGCTGCCTTTGCGCGTACAAATGGACAAAACATATAAACATCCCAGCTCATGCTGCTGGACGTGCATGCCGTAGTGTGAGTTCCGTCCTACCTAGCCTGGCAACCCCCTCACGAGCCTCGCAGCCGCCTCGTGGATTTCAATAGCATGGCGCCTGGATAGGGGTGGGGCTGTTTCCGCCGGTCAGTCGGTACCGCAGCCAGAAGGCGTGGGTAATGTTGAGCAGGGAGGCGTTTGCCTCGGAGTCTTCGGGCCGCCCGTCATCCAGAGAAGGGAGCAGGAGAGGAAAGATAGAACCACCAGACTGTAGATTTCGGTGCTCAAATGCTTTGTGGGTAGTGAGGAAGACCAAGTCCCACCGACGGTCTCGCGCTTGATTGCCTCCTTGTTGGGAATGGTGGTGGTGGTGGTGGTGGTGAAGGGGCCGCGATACGTCGAGGCGGGTGCAGGCCTGATTGTCACGCATTGACCATCGCTTAAATTGCCGAACTCAAGGCTCAAGGACTGTGCGGAGCCAATTTCTGCGACGGCATGAAAGCATCTCTCGAGCACCAGGGTCATGAAAACCTGCCAATAGGTCCACCTCGACTCGGGCGCAGCGAGTCGGGGATGTAGTAGATGCTGTACCAAATAGCTTCCAGTACTGCTTGGAAGCCAGCGATAACACGCCAGATGGTGGATCCAGGCTTGCGGGTCCGCCAGCCGCTGGGGATTGCATCGTTGGCTGAAAGTTCCTTTGCCATGTTTATCACGATTCGTGAAGTTGGTTTCAAGAAATTTTGACGAAATGTTTGATCTAAATGGGGAATGAATGTGGGTCGAAGCATCATCGATGGATGTATCACAAATCCATGAATGAACAGATAGCCTCGCACTAGTCTATGCCTAGTCCGCTGTGTGATTAGACTTTTGTTTTTGGGGCAGCTGTTGTTGCAGACATACTACTTACAGTTCTTGTACGTGTTCTGCTTAATGATTATAAAGCCAGACAGAAGCAGAGCTGAGAACAAATAGACAAAATAAAATACAAACCTTCTGACGGGCAAGAAGTTTCGTACATTCTATTACAGTTTCGGTCTTCTGAACTAATTCTATCTTTATTCAGTTGCTCTCCGATTTCTTTGGAAGGGCTTATGGCTCGAGACGGACAAAGAGAGTACTTACTGATATTTTTATAGCGTGTTTTTATATTCAATATATATAGACTCGATGTATACGTGTTCCGTAGGTTGTCCAGAAGCACTTTTATAAGGCTGAATTCGTGTTGCAGTAGACTGGACGTCTTCCACTAAAGCAAAAGCCTAAGCCAGTGTGATGCGAGTAGGAATCTGCTACCAACTCATACTGGCCTTTACCACAGACGTACACCTCAAGCTCCACGTAGGCAGCCACGGCAAGCCAAGAGTTCCGCGATGTCCGTACCACCCCAGGTTTCTCCATATGTTCTCACCTGTCTTCCTCTTGCTTCTCCCTATCTTGCTTTCCTGCAGCACTTGAGCATGGATGCAAAGGAGAAACAAAGAAGGTTGAATTTAACACTGGCACAGTCTTACCATAGTTGTTCCGCAGGATACACTTCGGCTCTCGACTACCCGGCCTAGATGCCTACAGATGCTTCTTATGTCTGGCCCCGGTAGATCGGCAGATCCACCCGCACAATTGCACTTATCTTATAAAGTTTCTTGTCCTATTGTATATCTATTAGAATAAATAAAACAGGCGGCACCCCTTCGACTAGTAAGAAGCGGATAACACCCCCCGCTACTATATTCCAGAGCTGCTTAGTTGTCCTCTAACCGCCACTCCTATTACTACCTAAAAAAAGATTCTTCCAGCGCTGTATCTTGCTCTGAAAGATTTCCGCGCCATCTCTATTTTCACTAGAACACGGTAGTATACACCGACGGGCCGGATCTTATATTTTTCGTAATAAATACGCCGGGACTGGCCACCGGGTATCTTATTCTAATAGAGTTTGTCTGTAATAGATATATCTACGTTTCGATTCTTCGTCGGCCCGAGAATTTAGGTTACACCATGGCCTTCGAGCAAGTTTTAGGGACGGACTTTGATAAGATTGCCGAATCGGGCATCAGGGGCCCGCCGCAGTATAACAAACCGTACGTTTCTTCTTGCTAAGATTTTTTAATTGGCCTGTTGTCTTCTAATAGGGTATTCCCTGCTAATAAGGTTGATATAGCTTGGGCATAGACCTCCCCATCCTCGCGCTCTTAGAGTCAACCCCGGCTGAACAACAAGTTTTTCTATTCAGTCTACGGCTTTCGGCACCTCTGGGTGCGCATTATGGAGTACGGTGTACCCGGATATCTGGACCTGGAGGCCCAGGGGCGGAAGGTAGAGTTCGAGCTGGATGATCTGCTAGTCCTTGATTCTTGATGATTTTATATTATTAGAGCTTGATAAAGTCCGCTCCTGTCTAGTAACTTCTGGGAATTAGTCGGACCACGCTAACCCTATATCGGAGAGGCTCGATTTGGTAGAGTTAGTCTCGGGGATATCTATTTCCTATGTTATTCTTTCTCCCAGGTCGACTTGTCTACTCCACAGTTTATGTAAACCAGCACGGGACGCGGCGTGCTAAATTTACTCCCACTGGGGACAGGCTGCGCCGCCCCGCTAGCCGAACAACCCTATGGGAGATACCAATTTAGCTATTGTGAAGACCTTTCTTTGATATGGCAAATTTTATTATATATTCTTTTCGTTTTTCCATCTTTACATTTCTCATATCATTTAATATCAAGGACGCAATTGATCTGCTACACGCATGACTCTCTGCTTCGCCGAAGTCGCTGACGATGAGTCGCATAGAACCGAGGCTGCGTATCTTGTTCGTTGAACTGCAAGCGATGGTCCCGATAAATGTGGCGGCAGAAAGCAACCAGCGCATCCTGATACTCGGGACTCCTATAATTCCACGTCAGCTGGCCGTTGTACTCAAACGCATGGGCCCGGTGGTTGTCGACCAGTTCGATGAGCATCTGCGAGCGGAGCCGGAAGACAAGAATCGCACCTAGGGAATTGTCGGGATCCATCGCGTCGTTGTTCTCCCGCTGGCGCTGCCAGTGGGCCTCCACGAGGTAGGTTACAAAGTCCCAATCGGGCCAGCCATCCATGGGAAGCAGAACCAAGGTGATTCGGTCGGTGCGAGTCCCGCGGATGCTCAGCGGCGAGAAGGTTGGGGGGTTCACCTCCTCTTCTTCTGAGGAGGGATATGTCTGTTCGTGGTCTGAATCGTACGTCTCGTCATACTTATACTCTGAGTAAGGTGGCGTGTCGTTCTCTGCGAGGAATCTGTTGTTGGACCGTCCTGAGGCGTATGTCTCGTCGTGCTCCGCGAGGTATGGCTCGTGGTAGTCTGCGACGTAGGTTCCGTCATGCTCTGTGATGAAGGCATCATCATACGCATATGAGTACTCTGGGTTGCAGGTGGTTTCGTGCTCTGTGAGTGATCTCTCGTCATGCTCTGCAAGGTATCTCCCGTCACACTCATACTCTGAGTTGAGTGCCTCGCCATGCTCTACATCGCATGTTTTGTCATACTCATACTCCATATATTCCAACTCTACATTGGGTGTCTCGTAGCACTCTGAAATGTATCTGTCGTTGTGCTCCGCGCCGCATGTCTCCTTAGACTCCAAACTGCGCGTCTCGTCAAGATCCGAAAGATAATCAGCGTAAAAGGTCATGATGCTCGACGCCTGGCTAGAAGTTAGGATGTAATAAAGTGGATCTAAGCTTTTTACTTCTTTCAGAGTGATCACTGACTTCTTCTGGCCGGATCGAGGTCAAAAGATTATCTTTAGGCATAGCAGGCTAATTGCTCGGTTTAAATAGCCAACCTTCTTGCACAGAGCCTGAATCTCCCGGTTGCCATCAGGAAAGCTCCGGATGTTGAATGAAATCATGCTATCAGTACAAATGCCCCTAATTATGTGAAGGTTTTAGACCGGAGAACTTCACCAATACAAAGAGTGACTTTAAATGGCTGGTCCTCGAAACCTTGTGTTCCTAAGAACCACAGTTTGACTCATCAAAAATATGCTCTGTGCTCGCTATAAGAAGCTACCGCAGTAGTGGGTCAACGACGTGGTTATAGCCTTGACAGAAACTCCCGCAGGGGTGGACATGGCTTTAGCGGTTGTGAAGAGAGCTCCGGCGTTAAGAATATGAGCAATGTGCTTCATCTGAGTTTTAGCCTTCTCGATTGTAATCTTGCTTCGAGGCTCGTCCAGCACTAGATCTGTGGGCTAAGCTGGGCAAAGCCTATTTGTCCCTACACTTCCAATTTTGTGTTTAGCCCGGGGCAATTTCTTGAGAGGCCCTTCGGAGTTGCAATGGCTGCATGGGCGGCGACGGGTAATGGATTTGTGGCATTTCTGGTCTGGACGCAATTGTTAGTTGATCTCTTCGACATCCATTGCAACCAGTAGATGAACCTAAATACGATGAAGAACTAGTCTCTGTCATCATGATTGTTACTCAGCAGGTCAGGGTGGGTGTAATGCAGAAGACAGCCAGAACAACACGGTCCAGCGACGCAACTGCTTGAACAAGTTCCCCGTTCGGCTCCGTTCGGCTGCTGGATTTCGATATCTATTGTGAGACATTTCACGTAAAGCGCTCATGGCGCACGTCTGTCAAACGGGGTCGATAGCGTCAGACATTCACGGAGCGATGTTAGGATTGCTGGCGCCCTCGATGAATTGTAATCGAGCTAGACCAGCACATGTCAATCACAACAGAAGTCTCAGATTATTAGACAAGTTTGCGAATTATCACGACTTCAAAAGAGTCCATCTCGACGGGACATCTCCAGTTAAGCGGGAGAGATCGAGAAACAACAAAGCAAAGTACATTGATCGCTTTCCGATGGCAATGCACTCTAGTCGACGTGCTTCTTCTGGTGCTTCTTTCCATCGTGCTCCTTCTTTTCCGTACTCTTTCTCGTCTCCTGCTCCTTTTCTTGCTCCGGGGTCTGCTTCTCGTCCTTTTTAGTTGTCTTCTCCTGACGCTCCTTCTTCTTTCCCCAATATCTACGTCGTTTCGTCCGCTTACGTCCTCGAGCTTGACCCCCCTTGAAGCCATGAGTGTATTAGCAAAGCTTACTCTAATGACGAATGATGGACGAAAAACTTACCAGCTCCATCAGATCCTCGGTGAACAGGATGCCCGGACAGTCCTTCTCGTTGTGACCCAGGCCGTTGCAGATCAGGCATTTATTTCACATTTCCTTTGTGGGACGATCGCCCTGGACTTATTGCCGTCAGTACTTATAAGCTGGTGATGTCGCCAGTGGGTTTCGGGTGGTGGTAAAAGAACTGGCTGGCTTACCATGGTGTTGACAATGGAAGTGGTTGTGGTTTGATTGTGTTTGCAGCAGTGATGGGGAAACATGTAATCAGGCTGAGAATGATGATGATAAGAACGATGGAGAAATCTCGAATAGGATACACAATGAAGATCCGAAGATGAAGGGGACTCTATGCTCAGGGAGAACGGAGAAGAAGTTGTTGTTAGGCCGCGGGACCGTGGGGATGGAAGGCCGAGCACTCATTATACACCCTAGGCTTGCTTCTCCCACTCACTTCGCTTTCACAGTGAATTCAGACCTCTTCCATCTTAAGTAGTCGCTGGCTCCCGTCTTTGGGATCAAAATGGTGCAGTAAGCCCTATCCTATCTAGTGCAGTAGTGCTTACAAAGCGTAGATCGATTGCGGGGGTATACCAGGGGGCGTGCGGTCCATGGTACATACAGAACTTATCAGCGCTTACTATGACACTTCTAGAGTTTGACGTACTTTAAAATGATCAGAGGATTTCAGCCACAGCCAAGAGAGATGTCATCTCATCTTCATCTCATCATCTTCTAACCGATTAAAACCGTGACGGAAAAAGCAGCTGTGTCGTACAGCAGGTTCCTGCCTTTCATTTCTCTTTCACTCTGATCTAGAGAACGTAGAACATCAACGTTCTATCTCCTAGTTTCAAAACCGCGGGTACTTCTCCGTTGGCTTCGAGTCGGGTCTGAATTCCTCAGGATTCTAGCGGCTCTTCCTGTGATTGTCAAGCCAAGATTTCGACCGTTCGAATCACACCCTGAGCTAGAATTTATCCTCTTCCGATCTATGTAATATATCTCAAATTTGATCCGTTATAGAGGATGAAGGAGCTGTCTTTATAGGCGAATCGAGCCACTTTGAAATTTTTTCGAGACCCCTTGCGCATTTTGCGCTTGAATAACCTCCCTCCGTCACTGTAAGTTGTCTTTATCTAATCTCCGGAAATAAGTATTTTAACTACTCGCGTTCTCAAGAACAGAAATAAATGGGGCATCGCTGGCGATTTCTACAAGTCTAGACTCATTCTTGAAATCCGAAGAGAGACGGTGAAGCTTGGAATTGTTTTCGGCGTATCAAACTGGGTGTTCCGCGCCAAGAAACAGGATGTTCGCACATACTACATCTAGAGGAAGAAACATCGATCTATGAGGAGAATGAATGCCGAGCCCAGGGGATAAATTTGATCCAATAATCCGGGGTATAGAGGTCCGGTACTGTAAGAGGGTTGCTGCTGCCAACAACATCGAGCAAATCGATCTGGTTTATCACCTTATCACGGAAAAGAAGACACAACTCGTAGGTCTTCGCTATCGTTACTAACTCGATGAACTCGTCTTATTGTGAGATTGTTGATGGTCAGACTAAGACACTCTCGGATTAAATCAGAAAAACAGAAGACTATAGCGCATGAATACGGCTGGTCTGACAGCGGTCAAACACTGCAAAGTACACAAAGCCATCCAGGGAACTTGTTTAATTGCTTACAAGAATTGCTCCCCCCTCCCCCCCTCTCTCTTTGGCCTCCAGTCACGTCTTTCAATCTTCCGAAACGCGCCATTAGACCACTCCATCATCAAGAAAATCCGACATGATCTGAATTTATCATGAATGCTCTTACGCGTTACCATGTACAGCATAATCTGAGGTTGATGATCTCAACGCTCGACCGCCGATCAACAAAACTCCACCTCTGATGCACAAGATAACCGGCTGACTCCAGTCGGTGACTTCATGGAGAACTAAGAAGATCCAAATTGCTATCCCCTTACAGTTGCGTCCAACAGGAATATTCAGGCATCGGCAACCGCCGATGAGATGCATCCCGTGATTGCAGAGTGCGACACAGTTACCTTCCAAGCCCTTTCTTCCGATCACGCAGAGTCTCGAATCGTCTCGCTCCTACTCCTCGTATACCACGCAAAGCTCTTGTTTACCTCTTGGGGCATAGCAGCCGGAATTGCTGCACAGCTAAATCCAGTCCTTGTCGAGATTGGCCTCCCCTGCATCGCTCCGATGTCTTCAGCAAGAGACCTGAAAATAACCAGAGCCGGCACAAGGATTGTTCGCAAGGGCCCGTTGCTCAATAATAATGCCAAGCTGACAACAGGTCGCTAATTTCGCTTCGACCGGAATGCTCATACACTCGGGTTGTTAAACCTGCGAGCCGTCGAGAAACCTCTTCGTCAGTTCACCCCGGCGCTTTCTTGCCTTTCTACCATCACCACCTTCGATGTCTGACGGTGTCCATCTGGCCGTTTTCTGAGTGATTCATTATATTCGCTTTCATCCGACCGCAGTTAATCACCCCGATGTTTCTGCGTAGGGCTCAGTTAGTGTCGAATTCTTTTGTGCTCCGCTGTGAGCTCATGCAGGGTAAAAGAGTAGAGTTGCAGGAGTGAGCCATGACAACCTCCCAGGATCCGACGGCAACTATGCAACAGAAATCAAATCCATGCATGCCAACTCAACAAAACCTACGCCTTCAGAACCGGCTCAGCCATGAATACACCTCAGGTCTCCGGGGACCCGCAATCTTCGCGCTCCGAATGCCTTCCCCCGTTGTTTGTGGGTGTGGATCATGATCCGATGGCGTGGTTTCGAGCGTTGTCATTTTTACAATGGTTATTGTCGGTGGTGAGTCATTGTTCGATCATGCAAGCTGAGGGCTAGACTAGCCAAGGATGAAACTTGCAAGGTCAAGCAGCATCGCGGGATTCTCGCCGACTCCCATTCTCTGACCTGAAGGTCGTGCTGGTGGTCGGTGCGTGCATATGATGCCTATCTCTTTACCGTCGTCAAATGCGCTGCACAAGACGTGTCTTGCGTACCAGACCGTGGACACCAGCAGCGCTTGCCGCTTCTGGCGAATGCGGCCGGAAGGGCGTTTCGCTTGGGATTCGGCGACGACAGGTTGATCGGAGGTGGTTGAGTTGAAACAAGTCTCGGTCTTTTCTGCCTTCCATTTCACAGTCTTGCATAGCCATCGACCGATTATTACTCTGGGGGAGATCAATGTACGGGCGAGCGTCAACCGGGTAAGTCCTTTGCCGATAAGGAGAGGCTCCGAATGCCGACTCTCTCTCCCCCCGTAAGGGAGCAGTTGTCGCAACTCCGCGAAATCTACAACATACTATCCACCAAAGTTCAACACAATTACAGCAGAGCACAATGTGTGTTTCAACAAAATATATTCAGATTGGATATCTCAATTCACAAAAGTATTGGCAACAGAATGACTTGTTTAGTAGTAGTCCTGGCGGGAGGCCTCCTCCAACTGACGCTCGGCCTGGCGCTTGGCCTTCTCACGGTCGACGAAGTCCAAGCCCTTGGTCTCAACCTCACGGTCGATGAAGGCACCGGCGAAGCCGGCAAGGAGCTCCTTGGCCATCTCGTGGCTCTCGGGCTTGCCTATGTCATCGAAGAATTATTAGTCTTCAGTGAAGCCGCGAAGCAGGAAGTTAAAGGAGGAAGGGTATGGGCGTACCGTTACGCTCCTGGTGCTCCTCGTAGGCCTTCATGGCCTCGAAGGAAGCGGCACCAGCGATGAGCTCGTGGCTGAACTTGGCCTTGTGCTCCTCAGAGCCGTCGAAGCCCTCGTAGCTGGTGAGCTCCTCGTGAGCCTGCTGCTGATCGCTGCCGAAGTCTATAATGAAGAGGAAGGAATCAGTGTCTTTGACGGTTGAGACGAAGCAGAGACTGTCAAGACAACTTACCGAACCAACCCATGATGATAGTCTGTGTGGAAAATGTGGTAGAGAGGTAGAGAATGTTGTTGATGGATGAAAAAGAGACAGGAGTTCGAAGGGGGGTGGGAGAGGGGTAGATATATGTTTTCTGACGGCGCTTCGGGTCGCCCCTCTCTCCTTCAGAGGGGAAGGAGGAAAGGGAGGGGGGGAGGGGGTCAACGATGAGGCGGTGATATCATGGAGGGGCGCAGATCGAGTTACCTCCAGTTTCAGCTGTAGCAGCTCAGCTGCTATTCTGGGCGCCACTGGAGACCGACGAAAGTGGCTGAACGGTCAGAGAGCCCGCCACGCCAGAAATCATTGGAAATTGGCAAAGCAAGCTAAGACAAGACAAGCTCCTTTTGTTCCTTGGCAGCTTTCATTGGGTCTTGGGGGCAATCCGTGGCTGAGGTCGGTGGGGCCCGAGCCCGCACTCGCATCAACAATACATGACTAAGCTGGTAGACCTCAATACGAGACAGTATCATGGGTCTGTGGGTATTCATCCATACCTAGCCAGTCACAGGCTCCGGCTCGGCCCCTCCATGCGCTGCCAGCTCCCTCAACAGTAACAACCCCCCTGAAATGATGCCATTGCAGCCACCGACCCATCTGCACCGCCACACTCTTGCTTCGGTGAGCTCATTCTCACAGAGACAATCATTTGTCCCTGCCGTCATCAGAGTCGAAGATCGACCATGCGCTCGCGATCATCGACATCGCTTTGTGGTCCTTATGCCAGATACGAGCAAATTCTCCGAATTGACTCGCGAGGAGGGGGATCGGCACACGCCAGATCACCCAATTTCCCGACGAGGGTTACGGAGTACCCCTCCCACAATGGGCCCAGCGAAGCGGTGTGGAAGGCATGGAAGACTCGATGCGAAGGGGTCGGTGGCTTGGCAGATTTCGGTCCAGAACTTAGACTCCTGAGTCCTGACACTCCATAACACGGCACAGCTTGGTCTTGCTGTCTACGGAGGGTACTGGACGCAGTGAAGGCTTCTTAGTTCTTCCCCCTCCCTCTGTGACAGAGATAGCGGTGTATCGACCTATCAGCCCATTCCCGACGATCACCCCTCAATCCTCGAGGCAGACGTCTCAACCGCGGCATCCAACCTCAACGTGGCCACTTTGAAGCGGTCAAGCCCCAAAAATGGATCCTCCCGATTTATCGACCGACTAACGCATCGACTATCGAGCTACAGAGGGTCCGACTGCCCCGCTGGGGCTGCCTGCCCCTCACTAGCCGTCGTCAGGGTGACCGGTCGGAAATCGCTCATCGGAGCGATGAGGGGTCGAGCTGTGCTGAACTTCTCGAGTAGCTTCGTCACTGTCGGGGTCAAAGCTACGCACGCTGCTACGGAGTACAGTACTGCGTGTCGTTAATCGGTAACAGCTTCGAAGCATCAGAAGCATTAACCTCGCATATCGCATGCGATCCACTGCAGTGGATCAGCGTAGCATGACACCTCGCAGTGATCGTCCCGTGTGCGTGCTGCATTCTTCGGGCGAGAGACGCGCGATGCACCTGCAGGGTTGCGTGCAACTGTTGCAAAGAACAAGCCCGCGTTATGTCGTTGTAATTTTCAGTTCTTTGGTCGCGACTCTACCATAAATCATTTGCGTGATGTTTGGATGAGTATTGCTCTGGCGAAAGTCCTACGGCGCGCACTTGGGAAGTCTCGAGGGTAACACTGCGGGTATTCTCTTTCCGATTGTGTACAGGATAGTATGGTGGTGGCCATGCGAGACTTCCCTCGGGATCATTAAATGAGTCGGGAAGAGCAGGATATGTCCTCTACTACTGAATTGCGTGCCACGCTGCTGGAACCTCCATAAGCTGTGGTCTTCGACCATTGTCGTGATCAGTTTCTGCCTTGTATTTGGATTGAGAGGCTCTGCCATTATCAATTACATTGAACACGGGATACTTATGTGTATGTCACCATTTGCTCCTAGGAATTGCCCGTGAGCTATCGCCAGTTGCGTGGTGACTAACCAGTGCTTAGTCCTGGTAAGATTGCCAGTTTGGAAAGGCAGCTGAGAGGGAAAGACACAGCTTCATCAGATCAAGGCGCTAGTGTGACTGTGACATTATCGTCTCTACTCCGGATGCCAGACTCTCGAGAATAAAAATATTCCGGAGTCCACCAACGACAAAGTACGTAGAGATGGTATATCAATCGACTCACCGCCCACCCTGGTAACTTTTGCTCCTGAGAGGTGTAGTAGGCCTAGCTAATTGTATTTTCCCGGTCGGCTCTTCCAGAAATACATATCCGAGCGCGTGCTGTGTCTACAATGAGAGAAAATGATGATGTGGTAGTAGCGCCCAGGCGTCAGCGGTACATTATAATCATATATTTTGCAAGGGCAACGAATAACACAACAAGTGGTCTGGGTGGCGCAATTGGTTAGCGCGTACGACTGTTAATCGTGAGGTTGAGAGTTCGATCCTCTCCCTGGACGCTTCTTTTTTATTTCTCTTTCTTTATCTGTTCCGGCGGACATCACTCATGATGTTCGAAGGCCTGTGGCGATATAACCAAGTCTTTTTCATTCCCCAATTAACATTTTCTTTTGAATGACATCGTTAACCCTAGTTCCTTCGGGGACATGCCGATCGAGCCCTGGTCCTGATCGGAAAGTTGTTGATGCCGCGGATGTGGTGCCCGGCCGCCCTAGACTTTTCGGGCGATACCTGCACATTAAGATTGACAGTCAAGATAGCATTCTTCACCAACCACTTCCTATCTTCGGAAACATTTTATCTAGCTCTAATTACAAATATTGATCAAGCGATATTGCCATGGAGGAGGGCCGAGAGCTCCTATCATCGGTACCCGGCCGCTGCGGGCTGCGAGTAATGCCGCCTTTACCACCTCATCGGCAAGCGCGATTGAAATCTAAGAAGGTTAGTGTCCCAGAGTAGACAGTTCATCTCTCGGCTTTCTCTTTTTTCTCCCTTGTGATGACACTCCTGAGAGATGGAAGATGCTTGGATTCTGACTACGTCAGGCTATCTGGGAGAAGTAGCTAAGGCCCCCGAGGTGGGTGGTGAGCGAGCAACCTCAGGGATCAAGGCCGCAGGCCGCCGTCACCCTGTATTCTCATTCACCGTTCCTCCTTTCCCTGAGAGGTGAGATCTAACCAGAAATGCGAGGTCGAACTCTGATAACGGGTCAAGAAAGAGGGTTGTCTGCACCTATGGATGACAGCCACAGTGCTTGGGCGGCACTGGACTGAAATTTATTCTTGGAATGCAACCCCCCCGCCAACGAATCTCTCGGAGGGGCTGCGGCGCATGGGGATCCCAGAGAATTCGAGATCAAGAGGCGGGCCGAAGGGCACATCTTGGCCAGTCGTGCGGGGAGACCACATTCAGATATATGGAACCTGCTGGATAGTCGGACAGATATGGCGATTGGGTGCGATTGTTCTCGCAAGCTTGCCAATCTTCAGATTTCATCATACGCATCCCCCGAAAGCGAAAGCGATGGCAGCCCCTCCGGCAGGACTGGACACCCCTCCGACGACCACTGTAGCCAGTCCCCTTCCGAATCAAGCTTCCAGCTGCTCAGATCTTGGTACCGGGTCTCAAATTCCGCGGAAAAGGACACCGTCTCGCCCAGGACGTTTCTCTTGTACACATCGCGGAGCTCGTACGGCCACTCGAAGCGGATCCGGGTGCCGAACGACGCGGCGCAGTTCTCGTCCGCGTATTCCATACCTTTCAGGATCCAGGTATCTCGGAACTGTGGCCTATCGGGAAATCAGGATTGACATCAGAAGTCGGTGTAGATCGCGCTGCTTACCACGGAAAGAAGTCGAGGAACGGCTGATGCGCAACACTAGTTTGCACAGGGCTGGAGGACTTTCAGTAAACCAGGCTTGATAGCACCCTCTTTAGCCAAGAGTCGCACTTACGTAGCGAGCATATACCCTGGGAGCGATGAAGCTTCGTGGACAATGCCTATCCTCTGCTTGAGGCGCGTAAGCCAGCGAATAGAAACCAGGGAGGCAATGGAAGCGAACCAACAGCATGGGTCTCATGATCCGCAGCAGCGCAATCCGCGTCACGGGATCAGTCCGGTAGAACAGGCCCTCGTCGATCGCCTGCAGCAGACTCCAGACCACATCGGCCTCGGTTCGCGTCGTGGCGACCTTCCAGCCGTCGAAGACGGCGCGAATGCAGAAATCGTCGTCGTTTGCTGATCCTAACCTCGGGTTCTCCGACAGGCCAGGGGAACAGTACTGCACCAGCGTCACGGCGCTGCCCAGCACCGCGAGATAGTTCCGCTCCCGGCCAGAGCAGATCAGATCTAAGCCGAAGAAGCCAGTGGCCGCGGGAAGGACGTTGCATGCGCCGGTGGGAAGGGGTTCCTCCTCAGCTAGAGGCTGAGGTGGGCAGGAAGGTGGCCCGGCTGGATTCGAAGTAGCTGGAGATGAAGTAAAAAGTGGATTCGCGGCGTCCTGGGCGAGACTGGCGATCTTGCGCAGGGTTTCCTGGAGGTGGTTGATCTTCTCTTGCTGCTGGGCGATCTGGTGGCCGAGGGTGTTTTGCCCTTCCCCGCTGGGGCTGGATAGATCTTGGAGGGTCTTTTCTAGGTAGGCGATATAGGCCTTGGTTCGAGCGCGATTGTGGCGCTGGGATTCGCGGTCTGCTGCTCGCTTTCGCTCCTTTGCGGCGGTGCTCATTGTGTGATGGTCTCTAGTGGGGTTTAGAGCGAAGAATAAATTGAGGGTCCCAAGGGGAGACCTGTGACGTTACTACCGGCTAGGTCTCTTTGGTGTTGAGAAGTGATCCAGCGATTTGCGACCACCCCGACGAGTTGTCACATATATCTGCAGTTCGAGCCTCTGGATCTGATATGGATCGATGCAGTAGCATCCGAAGAATATCGCAAAGGATATCCGGGATCCGGGGTGGCTAAGCTCTTGGCCGCGGTCGGTTGGTGTTGGTCTTTCGGGTGCCTTGGCCGGTGATTAGGGCTTTGGCGGACGGGGTGTGCCAGCCTGCGCCGGCGTGGACGACAACTGTGAGCGGAGGTGTGAGTTTTCTTCAAGGTTAAAAGTTACAGAGTATGTCAAAACTGGATGAGCTCACCGTCAAAGCCCTGCGCGATCTTCTCCAACAAATCTGTCTCATCGAAGCTTGAGAACATCACCGGCTTGACGCCCAGCCTCTGGACCATGCTGGCTTGGGCCTCGCTTCGCACCAGTGCGGCGATTTCCAGCTGTTTGCTCCATTGCTCTTGGGCTTTAGGGAGGAGGAGAGGATTGTCCCGCCACTGTGGCAGTTGAGATTCGGATACTTTCTTGATTGTCCGGCAAGGTATGACTTACATGTATCCAGAGACCCCGGTTATAAGCAATGAGCGAGACGTCATGGTGGTCTAGTGTAATTGAGTAATGAAGAACAAGCAAACAAATCCCGATGCAGAAGGACTCTGAGATTACGTAGGCGCCAGCGCCATCTTTTAAGTCGATAATAGATCGAATATGCAGCACATAGATGCTGACCCGGATGTGGCAAGAGATGAAAATGTGGGTCTGCGACGTCGAAACTGCGAGTCGCAAGTGGGGGCAGCGCCGCTCATCCGAACTTGGAACCCTACTTTCTGCCCGGAATTCCGGAACCACTATGGATGCAGTGCTTGAGAGGCGGGCAGCTGCACAATCCGAACCACAAGGGCATAATCAGTGCATAGTTCATAAAGCAACTTTATCGGCAATTACCGCAGCTGTGAGCCATACCTGAGATAAATCCAATATTCTAAAAATGACCCATAATGGTAATGAGGCTGAAGAAGGGCGCCATGGAACATGACGTATACTTCCGCTGACAGAGTTGTACAGTGCATTAGTTCATGCAGTCACTACTCTTGGGCTTGTGTATGCTCAATTTCCCAATATGGAGTAGGATGATCGATAGAAGGCATATACCAGAATAGGCCTATGCACTGAAAAACAGCCAATTCCATGAACTAGGCACCAGCCGACTTCAGATCCAGAGCATTCTGATGCAGATCATCGTAGGAATTGGCGGGTGCCGACAGGGTAGACCCATAAGCGAGAGCTCGACCTTAACACAGGCAGAAGATAAGCTGCACCAGTCCTCACCCACCAGCTCTCTCCAAAGAAACAACAGTCTCTCAAAACACTAAGCAAAGTTCTGAAAACATGGTCTCATCAACCAGATACCTCCTCACCCTCCCTCTCCTCCTGGGACCGGCGCTGTCGACCCAGGTCTGCCCACGCCTCCCAGGCATCCAAACCTTCCCAACCACCGCGCAAGCCGGCCCAGCCAACGGCCGCTTCACCTCGTGCGATAACGCCTTCGACAGCCCCAAAGTCCAAACCGTAAATGCCACCACCTACGACTGGTAGTACTTCGACGCGATCGGCAGCGACGGGGTCTCCTCGCTGGCCGTGGTCTTCTTTATCGAGGCGAACCGGTCCGGCTTCAGCGTGACGGAGAACTTCACCAACGTGGACTTCGTGCAGATCTCCGGCACCTTCGCCAACGGGACCACCTTCGCCGATTTCCTGTTCGCCGACGAAGCGGCCCTCGTGGCTACCATGGGCGACGGGTCGAGCGGACGCTGGCCCGGCACAGGGGCCTCCTGGGCCGGCAGCCCGGACCTGTCCGATTACCTCGTCACACTGGAGGCGAGCCACTTGGGCTTCGAGGGGACGTTCTCCATGCACTCAGTCAGTAGTCCCTAGCCCAGCCGTTCATCTATCACCCATTAGCTCTGGAGTCAAATGCTAATGTGCCCCGACGGTGAATACAGGTGGCGCCCCCGCACTACCCCTGCAGCCCTAAGCGCGCCAACCAGCCCCTAGAGGTTCTCCCGGGAGTAGGCTGGGCCAACGCCGTCCCCGACGCTGACGTGACGGTCAACATGACGGTGCAGGGCTCGCCGTTGAGCTTCATCGGAACCGGATATCACGATAAGGTGCGTCTCCCTTGCGCTCCCTGATTCCTCTCAAATATCGCCCCCAGACCTCCCTAATATATTGTGATCCTAGAACTGGGGTGTCACCCCCTTCACCACGGCAGTCGGAAGCTGGTACTGGGGCCACGCGCGCATGGGCCCGTACTCCCTGGTCTGGCTGGACGCGCTGGATCCGAACCAGACCGAGTACGCGAGCGGCTACGTGGCCTACCAGGGCCAGATCGTGCACGCCGCGTGCGGCGCGATAAAGGTGCGTCCGACGGGGGCGAACGTGAGGTTCCCGCCGCAGGGGGACGATGCGCTGCCCCAGGGGTTCCGGATCGAGGTCGATCTCGGGGAGGAGCGAGGTGGCGTGCTGGAGGCGGAGCTCGCGGCGAATCTGGCCACGTTGGCCAAGCCGGGGTACGGACGGTGGATTGGGACCGTGAATGGGTCGGTTGGTGGGGTGCAGTTTGAGGGGGTGTCGGGGTATGAGATGTTTAATTTCTTCTAGGGAGGTTTGGTGGATGCTTGGTGTGGAAAGGGTGTGGTTGAACTGCGTGGTTTAGGAAGCTGTGTGGTAGTTGGGGGGCGGGGGGTGGTGTTTGAGGGGTTGAGTGATAAGGTATGGATGAGATGGGAATGATAGAGAATAGTCTGTGGTAGTGTACATTATCCAGAAATTTAGGAAGAGACTGTAACTTGATTTAACACAACAAGACGATCGAGAAAACAAGACAAAAAGCCGCGACCTTTGTGGAGCAATTGGTATGAAATGGATGTAAATGTCTAGCACAGGCTTATTTAGGAACGTCTCCGCTCCCTGCCATGCGCATTCAAGAATAGACGAGAAGTCGGAAAAAGTGGGATCTCAAATGGCAGTGCATCCTGGCAGAGATCATGGCCCAGCATATAGAATCCCGCCAGCGCGGAGAGCATGCCAAACGCCCCCGCGATGGTGGTGAATGTGGTCCCGAGTGCAGAACGACCATCCGCCATCATGCAGTTCGCCGTGCAGTTGAAGATGTAGCTCAACTCTAAGGCACCATAGATGGTGATGTTGATGAGGTTTCTATTGGAAGCATTAGTAATGAGGTTGATCCTCCTACTTTGCTGTATACACAAGATAGAGAGGACCTGACTGACGTGGGCAAGGATGCGACGAAGAAAAAGAGATTTAGGATCGACCATACTGTTTGTTGCAATCAGTGAGAACATATTCCATCGCTTTGATACACTGGGCCTCTCCATACCTGAGACGCAAACATACCTGCCAGATACAGTCCGAACGCATTGTAATACTCGGTAGTCTTACCTCCATACGAGTCGACGATACCCAATGGTGGCATAAGTAACACTCCATATCCGCCATAATAGAATGCTTCAAGCCAAATCAGCAATCTCTAAGTCATAGTACGTGAGGCACTTACCGAAAGCTCCGAGAACTGTGTAGGCAAATGTGTTCCCCTTCATCATCTCCCACTGGGCGGAGATCAGGAGTCCGATGCCGGCCAGGAAGCAGAGATTGGCGATGAAGACGGTCTGGTTGGAAACGGAGCGAAAGCCCATCATAGAGAATGATAGGGTCATGAGGGTTGTTGCAAAGGCACCGAACCCTAACGGACCCTGCAGTTCAATGTTATAGCGAGGTCGTTGCACAGGCATGTTCAAAGGCTTACTGGGTTTGCTAGGTGTGATGAACGCGAACCAGCCACGATGTCCGGACTGAAAGGTTCCTTATCCCGTTCTTGGGGTTCACACATGTCTGATGTGGTCGATCGAAGGTGTGTGCGAAAGAATTCGAGGTGAAGGTGTCGCAGAATTTCATCTCGTGGAGCAACTTGAGGGGCTTAAGACCATCGTGATAAGCATCCCATCGTGGCGACGACTTAGACGCATTCCCCATCCCACAGCTAGAACTCTGAAAGGAAGTTATTTTCCGTGGAGACAAGGCTGTGGACTGGGCTCGGAGAGAGCGGAACACGATCCATGGATGGCACCAGCACTCCACTCCAAAATACTCCCCGCAAAGGAAGGCAGATGAGTAATGAAGGCAACCGTTGTTCCTTAGTCCCTTATTTCTACAGATTTTATGCGCGATATGATGCAGAGTTCCAGCGATGACCAATCTCTAGCCCCACTCCAAAAGACTTCCTAATTGGGAAAATCCGTTGCCAATATGACCATCCTGATAATAAACCCAACACAACCGCCATTCTCTGTGCATATAAATATCAGCAGACGGACGCAGAAGTTTACAGATATCCTCAACCCTATCAATCTTCAAACAAAACTATCTCTACATCAAGCTACCCAACTTCAGTCTGCAAAATGTGCCACCACCACGACGAAGTCAAAGCCAACGGCTGGACCAGCACCCCAGCCGACGCCGGCGCGATCTTCAAAGACCAATCCTTCCTCCAAAAGGCCGAACCCATCCCACTAGACACAATACAATTCCCCGCCGACGACCCCATCGTCGCAAAGACAATGGAGTACGCGCGCGCGGTCCTGCACCCGGAGACCTTCAACCACTCCATGCGAGTCTACTACTACGGTAAGCCCAGCCTCCACACTCCATAAACACCCCCCCTCCCCCCCCTCCCCCACAATCCAGTACATAAAGCTTACGCCCCCGCGACGACAGGAATGGTGATCACTCACCAGCAATTCCCCTCGCACGCCGCGACCCTGAACCCTGTAACCTGGGCCCTGACCTGCCTGCTGCACGACCTGGGCACCGCAACAGAGAACCTCACCACTACGCGCATGTCCTTCGACATCTACGGCGGCATCAAAGCTCTTACCGTCTTGCAGAACTTCGGCGCGACCGCCGACCAGGCCGAGGCCGCCGCGGAGGCCATCATCCGCCACGAGGACATGGGCGTCGACGGCACGATCACCTTCATCGGGCAGCTGATCCAGCTGGCGACGACCTATGATAACACGGGGTATCATCCCCATGTGTCCGGGTTTGAGGGGTTGGTGCATGCGGCCACACGGGCGCAGATCAACGAGGCGTATCCCCGGTTGAAGTGGTGCAGTTTCTTTGCCGGGGTGATTCGGAAGGAGGAGGCCGTCAAGCCGTGGTGTCATTCGACGCATTTGGTAGGGTTTGACCGTGAGATTGAGGCGAATGAGTTGATGGCAAGGTGGGAGTGAGGGGGGCTCCGTAGAGGTTTATGGGAGGTGTGGGGGTGCTAGAGTGGCTGGTGCTTTCGCTGAGGATGTTGGAAAAGATGTTAGGGAGATGAAAAAGTGTCATTAGATCTCACTTAGAGGAGTTGGAGAATGTCGAACTTTATTATGCGAAAAAATTTCAGGAAGGATAAGTTTAGATATAGTCTTGCTTAGGTCCAAGACGCCCTCTGTAGAGGGATACAGTACGGAGGAGGCTGAGTTACCACCGGCTTTGTTCAGCTTGGGAATCTTAACTACAGATCACCAGACTCTCACACGCCATTACTGTGTTATGCTAGTACCCGGTGTGTGGATTAGCCTATCCAAGTAAGTTCATTATTCGGCACTGCCCGTAGATATTTGACCACGCGAACATAACTCAGAGGGTACGACCAGAGTGTCAATGGATTCAATCACAGGATCTCACATCTTTTCTCGGGTAGCGCAAAGCGCATTCTTTCTATGCATTGATCTCTTTCAAGTCAGGTGTTGTGGATCATTAGTTCTCATTCGAGGTTGTAGTCACAAATCATGGCCATCATGAACGGGGCTCAAGGATCAGGCCTTATTTTACTGATAAGACGGATCAGAAGACAATGTATATTCTTGCAAGCATAGTGAGGCGAGTCAATTGCAACGTCGAACCGAACACGACACACCTTCAGTTCACACAGGAGCAGATACAGGTCAACATTGATCCATCGACTTCGTATTTTGCCGTCATCTACCGCAAGAAGTCGACGCAGGTGGCCTCTCTCAATAGTCGCAGGGTGGTTGTAAAGGTTTAATATAACTCTGCTATAGCTGGAGACATCGTGAAGATTACATTGATCACAAAATCGCGCGCAGCGATTGATTAGTCGAATTGGTCCAACTGACTCGTAAACCCGCCGACATCCGGGGGACACTCGGGCCTCGCGGCCGAAACCCTGGGTAACTAGTTGACGTTATTGTGGATTACTAATCACGTTCTTCGTGTCCAAGCATTATTTACCCATCATGTATTTGATGGATATCAGTCGACTCACCACTGCAATGCTATGCATATCACTTGTCTCTTCATTTGCCCCTGAGACACCATTCCCTCAACGCCCCAACACACAAAGGGATTATCTCCGGTTAAATTATCCCCAATATCGATCAGATTGCGGCTCCAGCCAATCGGCGCAGACCACGACTCCACCCGCGATCTCGATCTGTGTCAGTGCACCAATCACGGTCTCCGGGGAATAACCCGGCGGGAGAACCGGCGGGAGAACCGGCGGCGTGTTTTGGGGATGGCCGGTGGCAGTCAGCAGCCACCCTGACCAGCTTCTGGCCCGGCAGCTTCGACGATTCGATTTCTCCCTCGGCTCGACGCCTACTCAATCTATTCTCCCCGGCCTAGTCTCGCCTAGCGAATTTAGCTCTGCGTTCCGGCCAATCTCTCTGATTGTGTCTGGAGTAAGCAACCACCCCCATTGGACACCACGCAATCGAGCCAGGATCGCGCGGAAGACGGTTCCTGGGTGAGTTGCTATCGGCCCAAATGTGACTGGTCTGGTTTGCGTGGTCAGATGCAGGGGTGGCCTTGTTTTCGGAGATGTCATTTTATTTGCTGTGCGCTTCGGGAAGGCTGTCAATGCACTCACTGCATCTGGCCCCGTCAACTGTATGGTGGAGTGTAGATCTGTGATCTGTCATGTTGTATACTGGTCCCTGCGGTCTTCATCCAGGCTGCACGAGCCGTTGTTCGGAGTGAAGGTGTGGAATCAATCTTGCAGACTGACTCGTTCAATCCGTGTCAATTAATTCTGACGGCCGGCGTGGCGAATGCAAACAATCCCCGCGGAGAGTCCAATCGCACGCTAAGAGCGTTGGAGGCAAACCCATACTCCCCACCCCACCTCGCCGACCAGGGTTGATACCACTAATCGTTTGCTACGGCCTCAAGTGCTTACTCCCAACCCTGTCATGTAGTCTATCACATGGGCCCAATTGGCAAAAGGCCACGTTCCCCCCCTGAAGGGGGGCAGAGGCAGTGAAACCTTGTCCGGTGCACCAGACAAAAACATACATAACGGCGCACCTGCCCCTGCACCGCCGTTGGAAAAAAATCCACACTTCCAAACCTTAGCTCTCACAGATCTTCACAATGGGCGACGCAGAGGCACTTCCCGATTATGTTCTTGACCCCAACGCCGTCCTGAAGGACAAGGACGCTGCTTGGAGATATGGCGCTCCCCCGGACTATTCCAACACCCGTGCTGTGTACGAGCGGAGTATGTTGCCCACCCATCCATCCTCCAGTCATCAGTTTCCTTGAGGGCGATTTCGCTGACATTTCTGACTCTTCGCTCGCAGCCAAGAAACAATCCCACGAGCCCGGCAGTCTGCCCAACCTGGTCGAGAACCTCGTCAAGAACTGGGAAATCGAGGCCTCCTTTAAGACCTCGCTGGCGGACTGGCGCACGATCGACCACGAAAAGTACCACGTCACGCTCAACGGCGGTCCCCCACTGTCCGGCGAGTACATGCTCAAGGTGGGGACCTACAACGCCCTACTCACCCCGAGCGCGTACTACGACCCGGCCCACAACGACTTCGAGATGAGCCACAAGAGCTTCAAGCGCATGATGCCCACCTTCGCCTGGGAGGTGACCGAGGTGTACAGCGGCCCGCCCACTGTGGTCTTCAAATGGAGACACTGGGGCGAGATGGCCCGCGACTATGTCGGGTTCAACGAGTGAGTCAGCCTCTGCAAATCTTACCTGGAAAGTGACTAACATGGGCGGATTTTAGCAAGGGAGAGAAGGTCCGGATTGAGGCGCATGGCGGCCCAATCGACATCCAGGGGATCATCGTGGCCAAGGTCAACAAGGCCCTCCAGTTAGAGCAGATTAACGTTTGGTTCGACCCGCTCGACATGTTCCGCCAGATCTCCCGCGGTCGCGAGCAGATCAAGGCGGATGATGCGGAGGTACCCTCTGGTTGCCCCTTCACTGGCGCTGCCAACAAGGAGTAGAAGTTTTGATGTCTGATCTCGTGTCGTGTATTGTACTGTTTAGATACCTTGTATTGTTCCAGAATGATGTAATGATTGGTTCGATCTACGACGTCATCTGCGTAGAACAATGTAGAAGCTTTCGCTGATGAATAGGAAAATTGCACGAGACTCGGGTTAGTCACGTATGCCAATTGTACTGTGCCTGAATCAACTATTCATCCGGCGCTGACAGCGTCTGATCCGAAGAAGGAATAAGTCGCGCACGAAGATCGGGAGGAGAAGGGAAGACAGTGTCAAAAGGCCACATAGGACGACGAATGCGGCGGTGTCCCAAACGGACGAGGTCTTGATCGACACCCCCTGGAGTCAGCGCCAGCATCCAGTCGGCAGCCATCTCAAACAACTCTGGCTCCAAGTATCCGATTTTGATAATTACTAGATCGGCCTTCCGAGGGGCCAGCTGCAGATCAGTAAAATCCCGTTCATGATGATAGGGCTTGCGGAGCTGCGTCAGGATCGCAAACATCGAGCCGACCTGCAACACAGCCTCGACCCGGGCATCCTTGTCACCATGCTTGATCGCATGCACGCGCCCGGTCAAGGTGATCGGCCCTGCATGGACGGCATCCACCTCCGCCCCCGCCGTGACCGTCACCGTGGCACCCACCCCTGCATCCACCATGGTCCGCACGGCCTGCGGCCCCGGCAAGCTGGCATAGATCACCAGCGGTCCATCGGGCCCCTGGAACTCTGGTCGCTCCAACAATCGAGCCAGCCCCCAGGTGACATCACCCGACCCACCAGCGGTAGGGTTGTCGCCGGAGTCCGAGATAAAGAACGGCCGCGCCCCGGGCGCAGACGCCAGCGCCACATCGATGCACTCGGCAAACGACCCCGTGGGCCCAACGAAGTGGAACTCCGCATGTGCATCCCAGAACGACTCGGCCAGCCGCTGCGCCCCCGCCACCACCGCCCCCTCCCCCCACCCCGTCACGACGACCGCCGCGCGGTTGCGCGGCTCGTCCGCCCACGCGTAGCCCACCCAGATCGCCGCGTCGATCACCCCGTCCCCCGCCTGGACCTCAGGCACAAGCGCATACAACCCTTTGGCCGGCTCCACACGGGTGGAAGTCTGCTCCCCCGGCAGCAAGATGGGCAGGGGGATCCATGCTTTGAGCGGGCGCGGGCGCACGGTCGCACTGGGTGGGCAATCCCGACGAAGCAGCAGATCCACCAAGTTCCGACACGCGCGTTCCTTTGTCTCCGTCTCATCCTCGTGCGGTGCCATGCGATAACAGGTGATCAGATCGGTCTGGTGGACCAGATTGCGCGACACGTTTCCGTGGAGATCCATCGACGCGGAGACGACGCACTGCGGCCCGACGACCCTGCGGATCCGACCGAGGAGCTCGAACTCCGCGTCGTCTAGTCCCTCCACTACCATAGCACCGTGGATGTCAAACCATAGTCCGTCGATCGGTGTCGAGGCTGCAATTTGGGTGAGTCGGGAGACGATCTCGATTGCTAGGGCTTCGAAGTCGGCACGGACGACGACTCCCCCGGGCAGTGCGTGACCGATCAATGCGCCATGCCAGGATGCTGCGTCGCCGAGGGGAGTGTTGGGGCGCAGGAAGGGGTATTCGTCGAGGATTTCGTGGCCGCGGCGTGGGTGGAAGGCGGCCGCGTGGGTGCGTGCGGGGGTGAAGGCGGAGGTTTCGCAGGCCAAGCCGGCAATGGCGATGACGGGGCGAGAGGCCATGGGACTGTGGATGAGGATGAACGAGGGATACAATTGTAGAGAGTGACACAGTGAATATAGGTGGTGCAAGTGGAAGAAAGAGTGTGAGTGTGGATGGTGAAGGAAGGGATGAGTGAGTGAGGGGAAGCAATTGGAGAAAGAGGGGTCAGTCACATGTCCGTCACATGTCCGTCACATGATAGCCATCTATACAGTAAGAAATATCCGATGCCAATAAACAAACGCGCTTCCATTTGCTACGACTGTAGGTAGCACCGACAACAAAAAGTAAGTTGTCCAAGCTTCAAGTTCGGTGCAAAGGACCTCTAGGCTCTTTTGGCCTTTTGGGCAACCAACTCTATCGGTCTCCAAGCAAGCCCATGGTCAACATCACGCTGTTCAAACAGCTCCCTCGCCACCCAGCTGGCACTCCGTATTAGCTTGATAGCTAGCTTGAGTCTTGCAGAGAAAGTACATACCTTGGATCGATTCTCTCACTCTCCAGCTGTCTGCCATAGAGGTTCTCCAAGCGCTGCATGGGACTGGATGTCACCAAGCTGGTATCTCGTCCGATCTCCTCCCACTGGATGTAGCCGCCCGGCTCTAGCAACTCGATCAGCCCAGACCTGATGCATGAGAAGATCAACTCACTTAGCATAGCCGTAGCGACCTCAATCAACTTATCCGGGCAGTTGTCTCGAATCACGCAGATCCACAGCCGCAGATGCACGACGTCGAATGCACCCCGGTACTCCTCCGGTGAATCGGATAGTGCATCCAACTTGCCCAGCTTGACATTCCTCGGGAGTGTGGCTGAGGGCGGGTACGAGAGATCCGAGATATCGTAGCCACAGATCTCAGCCTTATCCAGCTCGTAACTGAGGTCTGTACACCAGATGCTACCACCTCAAGTCAGTTAGATACATCTGGAATGGCTCTGAGGGGTAGAGGGTCAACGTGCCCTGTTCCAGTCCCAAGGTCGGCAATGCGCATCCCCGGTCGCCGAGGTATCAGCGGACTCAGGATGTGTCCTGTCTGGAGTCTCCACAGGAGCTGTTGATCATTTAGCCTGGCACACAGCCATCAGCGGGGAGAGTTTCGCAGCGAAAATCTTCGAGTTGAAATATCACCTGACTGCTTCTGGGATATCGCGACCGAGAATATACTCGTCCAAGAACGAACCAGCGCCCATACCTGCAAAGAATTGTCAGGAAGGGAAGATCAAAGGTATTTTTGGTGCTTGGAAAGCAAGGTTATCTCACCATCCGGAAGACTTTATATCTGCAAGGCTGCAGAGTGTGTCTTGGTAAGATAGCTGGTAAGAGCTTGATTCTGCCCTGTTTCGGTTCCGAACCATCCGGCCATGACCATTTGATTTGACCCCAAAACAGGCATTTGGCCACTTTCTGGTCTGGGAATTCATGTCCAAGGGAGCAAGAAGGTCCTGGTTTAATCTGTGAGCTGACATGACTATGGTAGTCCTACCTAAAATAAGCTGGTTAATTTGTATCTGCTCTGACCAGTGGTGCATGGTTTTCCATGATATCAGGACAATTGTCTCTTTTTTATAATAGTATTTGCTCTGAAATCTGTACCTGCGGCTTTGTTAAATTTTCATAACAGAGGTAAACCTCAATGGATACACTAATATATCTTTGGATACAAGACCACACACCACTAATACTCCCTCCAAACCTCAAGCCTTACTCACCCCAATATCCCAATTTCCACACCCATCCACAACCACATTCCACTCAAACACACCAGACTTCCCCCCAACGTCATCCCCACCAATGACAAACTGACACCGCCGAAACGTCCGCCAAAGCGTGGCCAAGAAATTCTCCTCACGCAATTCGAGATACTCCGCCCCCAGCAGCGGCTTGATCGCCAGGGTAGCCTCCTCGGCCCGGTAGAACGGAATGCGGGGAAACAGATGGTGAATGACATGGTGATCGATGATGTGATGGAAGAAATGCCGGCCGATGAAGCCGAAGCTGCGGTCGACGGTGCCCAGCGCCCCCCGCGTGAAGGACCAGGTCTCGGAGGAATAGTGCGCGATCTGCGGGTGGGTGTGGTGGAGGTAGGTTATTGCCACTGCCGCTTGTTAGCATAGTGTATGTCTTGGGGATAGGACGGATAGGCTGACCTATCCAGTGATGGACCCAGAAATAGGGTAGAAAGTACAGGAGCATTACGCGGGAGGGCCCGAGGATGGAGCCTAAATACACCAGACCCGAGATGGTGAGGGCGAGGCCGAGGTCGGAGAGTAGCACAACTGGTCGCTGCTTGGGATGAAACAGTAGGCTGTCAGGGGAGAGATGTGAGAGGGGGAGGGGAGTGCGAGTCTGGGCCTTCGGACGGGAAATCGCTGCTTTCGCCCCGGTGGCGTAGAAAAGAAGGTAAGCCTGCCACCCCAGCAGCTGGTGAGCTGCAAATCGCAGCAGGGTACTGAGGGGGGTGTCTTCGACAAGATCCTCCATGGCATCCATCCACCTGCGGCGTTTGGCTGCATATTCTGCTTGAGTCGGTGGAACGAACGCAGTGTCTTTCTCCATGTGTCCCGAGTACCGATGGTGGCGCGCATGCGTGATTTTCCAGGAGAAGTAGGGCACCAGCAGGCTGGAATGCAGAACCCAGCCGATGATGTCGTTCAACAGGGGATATGAGGAGAAGGCGCCGTGGCCGCATTCGTGGGCTAGAATCCATAGGCCGGTGCCCACGAAGCCTTGGAGAAGGCCATAGATAAGCCATGCGAGGAACCGCAGAGAACCACTTTCCAACAACGGGATGTAGGTTGTAGCGTATGCGAGAGCTGCGGCATAGAGGATATCGCGGGTCAGGTAGCCGAGAGAGGTCCAAAGGGACGGGGCGAAACATGAGTCAGGAATTGCTTCCTTCAGGCCCCTAAGGGTTGGTATATGTTCAGTCATGGTCTGCTTCGAGGTTAGCGTCTTCCGTTATTAGATTCTGTCCTAGGAATGATGCTACCAGGCTGTGGTCAAACTCACGGATTGCTGGGGACTTGATGAATCAAACCACGAGCGAGTCGTGGTACACTTTATAATTCAAAGACCGCTCACACTCGTGTCTGGAAGAGGTCTTCACGTGAAGAGATTATATACTTTTTAGGGTTACTTTAACATAGAACATAATTAACCATCATAATTCCCGTAGACCGACCCTGCATGGCCTATTGATGGGATTCTAGCCGAGGAATGCGAAGAAGAGCCACGCTTAGATTGGTTGATACATAAGGTATGCATTCGAGGCTTGACTCAGGCAAATGTGCCACCTCCTCAGAGGCTTGTCCTACCTGTTTTAGCAATCAGTTCCTGGCAGTTTTAGAGCTGCAGTGGAGAAGTGTGCATCCCATGGTCGCCTGCTGCATGATGCATCCCGGTAAATCCAAGGCCAACCATTTACGCGACATACCTTCGACGAGTCAGGGCCAACATGCCTAATTGATAAGGCCAACTGCGTGAAGAGGAAACACGCATCCGATAAGAATGTCAAGTTGAGTGAGGTCATAAATGCATGAGAGTCTCAATTTGATAGGTGATAGTCTTGCAAGATCTGTGGCGTCAGGAATGTGGCTTTATTCATACTACAATGACTTAGCCAATAGGCATGCATAACTCTAGTATACCGAATAATGGTGAAGAGAGACGGCTGAATCCTGAATGATCGACGCAAGGGATGTATGATCTGCGGAGATCTTCCAGCTCTTTTTAAATGCATAGGAGTCATGCGCTATGAAATAGGCACCACCAGCAATTGTTACGTCATCCCTCCAGCATAAGAATGTTCTTGAAATCAGAATGTTCAGCTATCTCTGCAAGTTAATCTAGACAGTCATGGTCATGGTTCAAGGTACTGTCATTATGGGACAACAGGCTCTCCATCATCGTGGACGTATCCGATCGGACATGCGGTGGCGAGTTAGTTTTCATCCGGGCCACAGACAGTAAAATACAGACGCTGGATCCACGTCATGCATGACTTCTGGTAATCCAAGCATGGTGCAACAGAACACAGACACCGACGTGGCTGATAACTCACAAACCATAAGAAGACAAGACAGACCACACCTGCATTACTGTATCACCACATTGTGCTGCAACTTATTTGCATCAGAACCACAACCACCAGCCTTATCAAGATGCTATCTATCCCCAACCCTCTACCCTTGCACCTCAAACTCCCCGACGACCCCGAGACACTCGCCCTCCTCAACCGCATAGTAGTCTACACCGCCGTGATCCTCTACCACACCATCTGGAACGCCCCAGTCTACCACATCAAATTCGCCAAGAACACCACCTGCCTGTCCTTGCACATCGCCACCGGCCTCCTGGAGTACTTCCGCTACTGGCTTGGGAAAGCACAGACCCCACACTCGCAAACGATCCTCCCGGACGCGCTCGACGTGCTGAGCAGCCTGATCTGGTCGGGGACGAGCTTCGTGCTGCTGCGCACGCTCCGCCGCGGCGATCCCCGCACGACCCGCCCGCCCTACCAGGCCGCCGCGTGCCTGCGGCCTCTGGCTACCATAGCGGCATATGCATTCCGCATCCCGAGTCTGCATACACTTAGTATATACGCGTTGGAAGGGTTCATCTGGACGCGGCTGGCAATCTTCTACTTTTCCCGTACGCCGTACCTGCGTGGTACAGCTAAGGATAGCACGGTGTATGCGATCTCGGTGCCATTGGCGGCGGTGTTTAGTGTGCATCAGAGCCAGGTGCCGGGCGCAACGATGGGGTTTGTATTAGCAATGGCGTATATCAGGCAATTGAATGAGTGGGTGACGCTGCGGTCGAAATGTTTGAGAGAGTAAGTTTGCTCACCTTGTTTTCAGTATATGATTGGCTATGATTCTGACGTGATAATCTAGCCCGCAGACGAAGGACGAAGTGTCATTTTGGAAAAAGTATCTGGTGGTCGGGTTACGGACGTTGGGGTTCGTGGAGCTGGATGAATTACGCGCTGTTTCGGAAGAACAGGCGTTGGAGAAGGAACTGAACGATGAGTATGTTTCCAAGGCGCATGACTGAGGAGGTTTAAGGAGCGTCGTGGGAACGGTCCTTAGGGTTCTTACCTTTTCTGAGATATTGTATGGTGAAGCATAGCCTTGTGATTGGCTGGCTGAAAATAAGTTGCGATTGCAATTGTCGTTAACTTACTGAATTCGTGTACTAGAGTAAGGAACTGTCTACTGCATACGATGGACCATCACTTAGAGGATAGCAAAGAGTGCGCCTCCGGCTTTGTGTAGAGGAAAGCGAGGACGCGCTCCTCCCATCCATCGTCCGACTTGGTCGGGTCCCGAGGGTCCTTGAAGTGGTTCTCCACGAAGCCGCGGAAGGGGTCGGACAACTCGCGCCACTGCAACACGACCTGGAGTTGGGGGTTAATCCTACGCGGCAAAGTCACGCGGTGGAAGACGGCGGCGCAGATTTCCGCGAGCCCGTCGTCCCGCTTCTGCCGGTGCACGCACATCTGGCAGATGGTGGTTTCCAGGAGGCGGTGCGGGGTGGGGATCTTGATGGGATAATGCTCGGGCGAGTGGCGCCGGAATGCCGACAGGCGCAGATCATCGGATAGCATGTAGTAGTCCGACAGCACGCCCAGTCCCTCCGGGGGCACATTATCTCCCAGGGCTGGACGGGGTGCGGTCGTGGGGTTGCCGCGGGGCGGCTCGGGGAAGAACCAGAGCACACCCGAGTGATGATAGAAATTCACGACGAAACCCCAGAGGAACGGCTGGCGCTGACAGTAGCCATGCTCACCCCTCGCGAGGAGAGGCGGGAGCATGTGGAAATGCCAGGCGGGTGCGATGGCGGGCACATCCTCTTTGAAGATGGGCTTGTAACCCCTGCGAGCATCGCAGTCGCCGTGGCACTCCAGATTCCCGAGCGGCTGCAACGCTTGTTTGGCGTGCTCCATCCATCCGGCGGGGATGGAGAACCCTGTAAATAAGCCTAGCTTGTGCTGTAGGCCGTAGAGCTCAAGCACCGACTCCCCGACTAGACAGTAGGGGATGGCACTATTGTCGAGAATCCGGGCCACGTATTCCATGGCGTAATCCTTCAACATATTACTCTCCATGATTGCTAATGTTGGTACTTCGAAATCTTCAAGTTAGGGTTGTTGATATGAGGGTGATGATGATGATGTATATATACGAATACTACGAGTATTATATAGGCACCAATTGCCTTCTTTTTTAAAGGTATTCTTCCTCGAAATGAGTATTCTCTTTGCACCACGACCAAAAGAGTGAATATTGTGAAGAAAGAGATGATGAGGGCTTACATGAGAATACCGCGGAGGGATCCGGCATTTTTGTTGTCTGTCTCGTCTCTGAACAGGGCCTTGACAAGGTAACTCTCAGACTAAAGGCTGACGTGGCAGGATAGCCAGTTAATGATTTCCCTGCTAGCGCTGTAGCTTTAGCGTTGATAAACCCGCCATTAGGGCTATCGCACCGCGACAACGGCCCACTTTCCCCCCTCCAAGTGGTCTCACCCCGGTTCAAAGGCTGGGATTTAAAAGCTTAGAAAGGCGCCTCAGTCCGACTGGGTTTGAATAATCTTCACCTTGCCGCAGGCCGCAACTGACGGAGTCACCATGACCGCAACTGAGGACCCCCCAGCCAAGCCCGCGTGGTTCGAAACCGAGGTCACATCCATCAATCCCACTGCGCAACACTTACTCGAGACCTACAGCAATCTCAAACCAGACGAAGTAATCCCCCATGTATTAGCAGTGGTAAGCTCTCCCTGCCCCCAAGCCAAAGAACGAGAAACAACCGCACGACTAACCCACCGCAGCGCGATGAAGCCTTCAAAGTCTGCCAATACCCTTGCATTGGCCAGATGCGCTTCCTCTCCTTCAACCTCGCCACACTCCCCTTCTATCCCCGGGTAATGGACCACCTCCGCGCGAACCCCGACGCCGGATTCCTGGACGTGGGTTGCTGCGTCGGCCAAGAGATCCGCTTCCTCGCCAACGAGGGCATCCCCGGCAAGCAGCTCTATGGCTGCGACCTCGAGCAGATCTTCATCGACCTGGGTTATCGACTCTTTCGCGATGCCGACCGTCTGGATGCGACGTTTATCACTGGAGATCTCACCGCGGGTGATGACGAGGAGTTTACGCGGGGAAGGCTCGCGCAGACGGTGAACGGGAAGCTCGAGGTCGTCCTAACTAATTCGGTCCTTCATCTGTGGGACTATGAGACCCAGGTCAAGGTAGCTGCGCGACTTGTCCGGCTGTGTAAGGAGAAACCGGGGGTGATCATTGCCGGGCGGCAGATGGGGACGCGATTGGCAGGACACTACGCATTGAAAGGGTTCAAGAATGACCCAATGCACTACCGACACAATGTGGAGTCGATCAAAGGATTCTGGTATGATGTCGGGCAAGTCACTGGGACGCGGTGGCGGGTGGAGGCGGAGTTGTACTGGGGCGAGGAGTGGGAGAAGACGCGGAACGTGTCGTTTACAGATGAGAATGTGCGGATGCTTTGGTTCTGCGCGGTGAGGGAGTAACTTGAGGATATTAGTGCACTAGACGTGGTTTGAGATGCCGCATTTCCATTTAATGAATTTTCAGAAATGTTGAAGTATCAGCTTCTAGGAGCACGAGGCAATTGTCGCTCTTAGTGCACCGGTGACGGCTAATGAACACCAGGATGTTCGTCGGGCTAGCAGCGGATATCTCCGGCAACGGAGCATTGAAAGACTGGCGCTATATTAGCTAGCCTCCCTCCTATCTGCCTCTGACCACTAAAGTCAAGACAATAGTAATGGATTAGTTATTGTATGTGTATTGCTTGACTCACTGATAAGCGCAATGACTCAATTTCGGCTGCATGTACCGCCCTTTGCATTTACCTTCGCAAGATAATACCCTTCTAAGACACCAACAACGCTCACCCACCCGAAGTATATCACAGAGTCATAATCTCAACAAACCACATAAACCTAGAAGAATAAAAGCCATACTCCAATTCCACCACCAATCTCTCAGCTGAAACAATGCCCACCCCCACCCCCACCCCCACCTCTCCAATCCTCACCTCGACCCCGCGCCTGCACATCTCCCTCCTCTCCCCCACCCCAACGCACAGCACCTTCCTCCACCACCTCTGGACGAGCCCAGACTTCACCACCTCCTGCGGCCCCTCGCCCTTCAAAACCTCCGACGACGCTACAGCCTTCCTCACCAACCGCCTGCAAAGCATCTACACCACCTCCAACTACCAGCGCGGGATCTTCCTCCTCTCCCGCCGACCGCACCCCACCGCCCCGCTCGCCGGAAGCGTCCCCATCGGCACCATCTCCCTGATGCAAGGCGCCCCGCCCGACGGATACAGTGTCCCCGACATCGGGTTCAGCGTGCTGCCCGAGGAGAGCGGGAGGGGGTATGCGACCGAAGCCGGGCGGGCGATGGTGGAGTATGCCTGCACGGAATTGGGGGTGGACGGGGTGTTTGGGTTCTGTGATGTGGATAACGCCCGGAGTCGGCGGGTGTTGGAGAAGATCGGGTTGGAGTTTCGGGGGGAGAGAGCGTTGAAGGTGTTTGGTGGGAAGAGGAGTGCTGCTTATGCTTTGCCGGGGATGGCCAAGGATTTGGGGGTTTATGGGGTTGAGGGTTGAGTTAATCTATTTCCTTTCCGGAGAGGGGGGGTTTGAGGAATTGTGGTGTGGTTTTGGGGCTACTTTAAGATGCGGTATTCGAGACAGATGAAGAGAAATGCGAATAGTATTGTATGCTAGTTTATGCACACGGTACTAACATTGGTTATAGTAAGCAGCTCATCAATGCACAACCAGCACCGCGACCCCCCACGCCAGCATCTGTATTGTATAGCTGTCTTTGCTACCCGTCACATTCTGTATCACGGGTTGGATAGTGGAATTATGCGGGACATTGACTCCATCCCGTGGACCGGACAGCAGCTCCATATGTCCAGCTGTCGTGTTCGGGATGGTGACCCGAACAGTGCGGTGGTCGTTACCGTAGTTGGCCATCTTCATAATGTACGTCCCGTTGGTCCGCGAGGCAACCCAGTACAAGGGGCCGAAGCTGGCCGTCGAATTCACCGGCAGGATGCTCTGCCCCTGGTAGTTGGAAAACATCTTCTGGACCCAGTAGGATGTGGACAGGGTAAGGGAGCCTGGGTTCGAGTCGAACCCGATCAACGTCGGCTGCGAGGATGTATTAGCAAGAGTGACAAAGCCTGAGCACCGGGAGAATGGTACATACCGACCACTGGGTGTACGGAAAGTTCTGCAGCAAGGGTGCATAAGATGCCATCTTGATGACATCGCTGTTCCGCTCCAGTCCGATCATGTGCACCGCTTCGCTGCAGCTGCATTGCATGAACGTCCAGTAGAACCCGTCGGGAGAGCTTGTATTGCGACAGCCGTACTCGCCGATCATCACCGGGCGCGAGCGGGACTGGTGGTCCCACTCGTGGAACATGGCGACCAGCTGGTCTGGACTGCGGTAGTAGTGGAAGTCGTACATAATCCCAGGAGGTGGATCGGAGGGAAGACACTGTGGATCGCTGGCGGAGGCGATCAGCGTGATATTGGGGTAGTTTTGGTGGATAGCGTCATAGATCTGCATGAAGCGCCGGGGATACGTTGCGCAGCCCCCGGTGAAGTCGTCCTCGTTCCCGATCTCGATGTACTGGATTGACCAGGGCTGCACGCGTCCGTTCTTGGCGCGGAGACTTCCGTAGGTGGTGTTGGGGGCGCCGAGAAGGTACTACTCGATCAGCTTTGGGATTGACGCGACCAGAGCGACTCACCTCAAGCTCATGAAGAATATCCTGGATGTAGGGTTCGAGCTCCTTGCCTGACAGGATGTCGCCGTAGGACTTGCCGTCCCAGACCGCCAGCACGGGAGCCATGTTCATATCCTCGCACCACCATAGGTACTCATCCAGACCTGAATGACTCGTTAGACACAGTCAAAGTATTCGGGCGCGTCCTACCCAGTGCGTCAGTATTGGGATAAAACCAATCACTTTGTCGCCCAGGGCGCTCGACTACCGGTCCGATGGTCAAGTTCCACTGCCACCGACTCTCAACTTGCAGACCTTCCCTGCCAAGCATTAATGTAAATCTGGATAGACAATTGGTCTAGGCGAGAAAAGAAGTCATACAAGTTATTTCCCCCCGGAAAGCGCAAGAACGACGGTTTCATATCTGCAATAACCTTGGCAATATCTTGACGGAGTCCATTGGACCTTGACTATGTCAGTTTTCTCCCACTCCCGCAAAGAAAGCACACACACCTCAACTTATACGTTGGCGGAAACAATTGCGGAAGTCCGAAATTCAGCGTTCCTCCCGACACCTTAGACGCATTGAAAAGTAGCCTCCACTCATTGTTGCCGTCCGGTGCTGCTGTGGCATTGAACACCGTCGTGTATCGGGTGAAGTTGTTCTGAGTGCTGGCGACCGTGATGTTATGCGAAGCGAAGATCGTTCCACTGGACGATCCAGCTAGCTGGAGGGTGATCATTCCGGTGTAATCACCCAACATCCAGAAATCACACCAATATGTCGTACTTACCACCGGAATGCCTTTGTATCCTGTGTTGGCAAATCCGACCAGGCCTGTGGCGCCGCTCGCTGGTACGGATACCTGTAGGGAAGAAGTGATGGCACCGCTCACCGGGTACAGGTAATCCTGCATGATCTCTGCTTGTCCGATGGGTTTGTAGGCAGTCAGATCGGGATCGGTCCCTTGAAAGCCGTTGTTCTGCAGCAATTGTCCGTGGAGCCCTCCGTCGCCTGTTCACATTAGCTTTGTTGCTGCGCAGCGAGGGTGGATGTACCAGAATGATCCATTTCCTAGAGAGAGCAGCTAATATCAGTCATTACACTCATTTGTGGACAGGACTGGCAAATACCTCAAACATAATCCCATACAGCAACGGGCTAGATAGGTTACCTCCAGACGTGATGACCGTCAGGTTTACCGCGGAGGTATTCCCCGGCGCAGCATTGGCCCTCGCTGCAAGGGAGATTGTGGAGTCGGTATCGTGGGGCAGCCATGCTGTCAGCGCAGCTAAGATAGAACATGCAAGTGCCTTCATATTTGATCCCTTGCACCAGTAACTGACGAACTAGACGATCAACAGTGGCCGAAGAAATGCTTTTAACCATGTCTTGGTTGCACCAGGAACCGCGGCCGTCCGAATTGACTCCCGTGATGACATCATACACTCCAATATCCTCGATCTCCGAGCAGGGTTCCTGATTTCTGCTATCGATGGCTTTTAGCCAGAGAAAATGAGCCGAGAGCCACTCCTGTCACACTAGTAGGTTTCCCCGGATCTCCACCGAATGACAGGTTGGAGGTCACTTGCCCGGCGATTTAGGTTCGGGTAGGCCTGTTTCGGGTACTTGTTCTGTTTCCAGAGCAGCGTTCGCCTCTTGAAATGCGGAGATGAGGCGAGATTCTGTAGCATCATGATTGCAAGTGTATTTTTTGCATCGGGAAGTACTGTGGAGAAGGTGAAACTGGTGTTACCTCGGAATCCTGAGTTGGTGCCTGAGGCACAACATTACTTAGACCTTGCCATTCCAGGAAAGGTTGACTTGCATCGCAACCTAGATTGGTTTAGTGCTGGATAATCTTCCAAGTGTGAATATCACGGTTCCATGTTTGTAATTTATGTGCCTGTGAATGATCCAGAGGACAGCAGAACAAAGTTTTGCTAGCTCAATGAGATAGGCTATGCTGCTGTAAGGCACCAATGCTTGAACAAAGCCAGTTCTATATTAATTCCATCTCTTTTTGGACAAAAGAAGTGTGTGTTAGTGACCAGTGCAGAGCTGAACACTCATATGTCAATGTTCAATGTAGACAGGAATCATCTGTCATATCTGATTACAGGGGGCATATAGCTATCATAGAACATAAACACCACTAGTAAATGCTCGTAAAGGATGAAAGAGGTGATTTATGTTTTGTAATGTATACTATAAATTGTTTTCTGGTAAAAGCTAGGGACATTTTCAGGGCAGCTATACATATAGAAGTATACAACCCTAAGCGTTGTGTTCATTTCTATTCCTACAAATCCCACCACCGTGCCAAGATAGAGAAAAAATCCAAAAGAAAGAAAGAAAAAAAAATAGAAAAACAAAAGACAGAAAGACAGAAACAGAAAAAGGCAAGAAGACAAGTTCTCTCGATCATCACAGTCACAAAGAACAAATAACAGGATCAATTGCATCGTAAGCTGGCAGACTTGCGGATCCACCATAGACTAGTCATAAGCACATTATCTCATAACTCACAAAACAAGATCATAGATCCGAACATACACAAAAGCACATTAAACCATCAGAGCCACCGCAACCGCAACCACCAGCCCGGTCAACCACCCATCCCCCGCGACAACCAACCCCCTCGCCGCCCCGTTCGGCAGCGTCACGTTCTGACCGGCAAACGGATCGGTCAAGTTGGCGGCTTGCTCCCGAGTCACATTCACTATTCCGCCGTAGGCCACGATCACGTCCCCGACCGTGCGGACATACTGCCACAGGGGCGAACACACCCGCACGGGCGTGTCGTCAGCGATCTGGTGGTCGCCGCCCGTGCAGCTAGAAAGCGTCCCCGTAAAGCAGTAGCTGCGGCCGATCTCGACAGCGTACGCCGACTGGCCTGGCGCGAGGGGCGTGCGGGCCACCCCCTCATAGACTGTGGCTTGGGCGCTGAAATTGCTTGTCTGCAGTTGTTTCTTATCGACCGCCTTCTGGACTAGGGCCGTCAGGGGACCCGCGGCGAGGCCTGTGAGGTTCGTCACCGCGTAGTAGGTGCCATATCCCCCTGTCCCCGTGATCTCGCAGGCGTTGGTGTTGGTACTCGTGGTTGTAGTGGTGTTGGGGCAGCTGAAGGCTGCGCTGACACGTTTTGGTGGGTATTCGTCCCAGGAGACGGATTGGCGGTCCCAGTTGAAGACGGCGCACGTGGCCACGTCATTGGTGTTGTTTTTCATAGTGGCTTGTGTGGTGGGCTGGGCTGCTGCACCTAGGGCAAGGGTGAAAACGAGGAGAGCGGCGGTGGATTTGAGGGTTGGCATGGTGGGTGGAAGGAATTGCTTAGAATACAATTGGGACAGAGAGTTGGGAGCTGAAGTTAAGACTTGTGTGTGATCTTGAGTGATTTGTATTTTGTATTTAGAATGTAGTGGCTGCAACAGATATACAAACAATCTATATTTGTTGCTGTGGATACTGTTGGATACTAGGTCATCTCGATTCTAGGCAGCAATTTGAAGCGCCGGGGCAGGTGTCGCCAAGGAACACTGGCTTTTTAGGATAAGACAGAGTCATCTGTGGGGTTGCTGACATCCGATGTGTTGATAGTAACTTGGGTCCTGCACATATAAGCAGACAGCTACTCGGACTGCATTGTGTAGACACGAACTTGGCGAGTAGTAGATCCTCTAATCATGACAGACGAACAGTTGGTGGTGGTATCCAGAGAAAGGTCTACCACACAGGGACTTCCTGTTAATATCCATGCCTTATCTGCTACTGGAAGTGATGGCACAGATCTCAATGCTCCCGAAATTTACATTGACTGAGGTGGATGTCAACTCCAACAGGGTCTCTTTTTAGGGGTCTAATCGCCCAGATGGTACCACCAGGAGCTGGCAGAGTTTGCGGGCCATGCGCAGCGCGCACCAATTGAAAGCTCAAAATCGAACACTCAGGGTAGACTAGAAAATAATAGCCTTTGCCTATACTATCATGATGGGGCTGTGGGGTGTTCTCCTTTAGGCAACCATATAATTAATCATCGGATATGATGGTATACTCCCACCCGAAGCAATTGTCGGGCCGAGGCCGGCGGTTCAAGGCGACAACCGACACCCCACAACCACCGGCTATCGGCTCAATTATACGCTTCTTGGCACAGCCCCAGCGTCTAGCATCGAAGCCTGCCATATTCGATCTTGCTCAGGGTCTTTCCGGTTGGATCCTACTCTCTTCACAGGCTAGATGCCCCACGATGGTGCCTCAGGCATTGGGATAGGAGGTTCGCCTCAAACAAGGGTCCTAGTTGTTGGTGTGGCCCCATTCAGCCAGCATAGTCATCGCGACTTTTGATTGAGTGTTCCTCTGATGTCTCACCGGCAGAGGAAGAGGAACAAACAGAAGGCAACAACATTCACTGCGCCTGTGTCTGGAAAAGGCCCTCCCCCCTCTTGACAACTGTACGCTGCATCGGGGCTGGATTTCTGGAATACTGGGTTGACCCTTGAATTGTTCGCCATCCCGAACGGTAATGATCCACTATACAACGCTTTGGTTGAATCTATCACCACGTCCTAGGGGATTGAATCTGCCTCTGCCATAACACCCAGACTTCTCAGGGAGGATAATAGTCCAAGTTCGAGGCTTGTCATCTGCTCACTTGTCTCTGACTTATAACAGGAAGCTGAAAGGACAAAATCAAAAGAACAGGAGAAGAATTGCCCGATATCATGGATCATCTCCATCGCAAATAACGAAGTATTCCCGAAGAACATTCGGCTTACATTTTAGAGCCGTTTTCGGTACCACTGGATACCGATAAGTAGATACTCACCACACAACATAACAGAAGCATCTGGTACTCTGTACTTTCGGGAAACGCTAAATCTCATTAAAACCTATTACAGGAGTCCTCAAGCCTGCCGTCTCCAGTTCGCTTGACAGTAAAATCTACCAAGCTGGCAGCATCACCACACATTACCTTTCATCCGTCGTACCAAGCTTCCAGCTACCACCTGCACTCCAAAAAGTTGCAGAGACATCTAATACACCGAAGGAATCAACCGATACTTCACCCGCGCCTTGATGTCCTCATAAGCCTGCCCATACTAGAAACAAGTCAGCCAGTTCTACCACTCCGGCAAACTCAAACAAAACTGAAGGTACACTCACCCGACCGACCAAATACTCATCCAACACCGGCACGCCCCTGACCGTGAAATTCCAAAAGAAGAACCCGAAGGTCGTCGCCGCCCACGGCCAGCCGCCCGTCACCATCGCATACCCCGCCCGCCAGACGGTATACCCCCCATAGTTGATATTGGTCGCCAGCGAGAACAAACCCCCGCCGTAGGGCTTGCCTTTGTTGGCGGGGTCTTTCTTGAAGGCGCGACGCTGGAACTCGGAGATCGCCTCTGTCAATATCCCGATGAGGTAGGCGCTGAAGCCAATAGTTACGGTGGGGTTCGCTAGGATGAAGTCCAGTAGCGTCCTGTTGGTGGAGGCTGGGGCTTGGGAGGTGCGCGACCAGATGGCGAGGAGGGTGTTAATTGTGTTGAAAGCCGTGTTGAAGAAGGCGATCAGGGCGGCGGAGCCGACGGGGGTTTCCTGCTCGGAGACGAACAGCATGGCGGCGATCTGCTTGATGCTGCTGCCCAGGGAGAGGAGGCTGACGAGGTGGTAGTAGATGTGAAGGCTGCTGCTGGAGGTGGCCCAAACGTTGCCGGCCACGACGGGAGAGCCACCCAGCTTGGTTATGAGCTGGGAGGCCCAGCCCTGGCTGAACAAGCTGTACTGCCACCAGACGTCGGCGGCGCGGAGGCCGATGAAGACCGCTCGTCCTAGTGGGGAGCTGGATTTGGTGCGTGACACATTGTCGTGGAGGGGCTTGGGTGGATCTGACATTGTCGGGGCGGCTCTGAACAGATATCTTGGAGTCAAAATTCCGATGATCTCGTTCGAAGGTTGGTGTTCGGTTTATATGCTGGAGGGATGTGGGGGGTTTGCTTATTCATGCTCGGGGTTGACATCAACTCCGAAGATCGTGATGACTTCATGACTTTTCAGATGCAGTGGTATCTGCCCCACGTCCTTTAGCCGCAATACAGCCAATGATGCAGTAAAGGCGGCAAGTTTCTCGGGGCTGAATTTACGTCCGAAGCGTTGCGCTCTGTAATCGGTCCGGACACCCCTTGCATCATTCACCTGCTACATAAAGGTGCAAGGTCTGGGCTTCCGGTCTCACATCCTTGAATTCTGAATACAAGATCAGCAACATGACCACCGCCATCCCTGTGATTCTCTGTGGTGCCAAGCGCGAAGTCGCAGCCCTTGTCCGCACACACATGCTCCCGGAGTATAATGGTCTGCAATCACCGCTCTGCCCCGACATATAGTCATATGATGGGACTAAACGACAGCAGTTGTCTACGCCGGCCACAACCTCCCTGCTGCAGAGCAGGAGGTCCCGCTCATTCTCGCAGGGAAGGCACCTCCAGCATCAGCTCTCCACACTCAGGTTGGCCCAAACGACTTCACCATCGCTCCACGCGCAGTCATCACCGGCGGGGGATACAGCGAGGAGAGGTTCAAGGCACTGTATCAAGCATGCGCCAACGCCAGCGGTGTTCTCTCTGTGCCGTTCTTCAGGACCGACAATCAACTCACAGATCAGTTGGCCGCGGCGGGGAAAGGTCCCGCTCACTCGTCGTCCGAGTATCCGGCCGCAGTCACTGCGCGGTTGAAAGCCAGGCTGCGTGAGGTGGGAGTTGCACCGGGGACTACGGGCAATCCGGAGAGCATAGCGGGGAAGACGTATTGGTTCTAGGAATATTGAGCAGCCTTTGTTCAATAAAAAACGCATGTTAATCATCGACGACATCCTGCCAAGCAGAGGCTACCGTGCCAGACTATTTTCTCAGCACATCAATGTGAAATAGCATTAATCTTTTAAAGTACATTTTCACCCACACCTCTCGGCCCAACTACTCCTTCTCCTGCAAAGTATACTTAGGAACCTCCTCCCCCTCCTTCCAGAAATACCTCGCCCCATGATGACTCTCCGGCAATCTCGTCTGCCCCCTGACCCCATAGAAGTTCTCCCGCATCGTGCCCCCTGGCACCTCATACTCGGTATGAAACAACCCTCTGCGCTGCAACTCCGGCACCAGATACTCAATGATATCATCAAACGTCTCCGGCACACTGGCATAGCTAAGATTAAACCCGTCGACATCGGCGACTTCGACCCAGCGCTCTAACTCATTCGCCACAGTCTTCGCATCCCCGATGATCTTCGTCCCATTGCCGCCCATGACCAGATACTCGGCAATGGTCGCCTTATTCCACTTCTTGCCCTCCCCACCCGGCACCGTCTTCGCCCAGTGGTTCACCATACTGCGCACAGCGGGGGCCTCGACGAACCGGAAATCCTCCTCATCCGAGTACTTGGCCAGATCATAACCCGACCAGCCCCCGAACAGCGCCAGCGCCCCCTCCTTGTCCCCGTACTTGCCATACTCGCGGAACTTCTCCCACGCCTTCTCGTCCGTCTCCGCCACGATGACCAACACCCCCGCCACAATCTTGACCGCATTCGCATCCCGCCCCAGCTCCTTCGCTTGCTGACGCACACTATCCACCGACGGGCGCACCAGCTCGGGAGACTGGCCGTTCAAGAAGATCGCCTCCGCATGCTTGGCCGCGAAGCTCTTCCCGGCACTCGACGTGCCCGCCTGCAGGAGGAAGGGGGTGCGCTGGGGACTCGGCTCGCAGAGATGCGGGCCGGGGACGTCAAAATACTTGCCCTTGTGGTTGATCTGCCGCACCGCCGCGGGGTCGGCATACCCCGTGACCCCGTCGCCATGAGCATTCACGGCCCCGTCGCGCCACGACGCCTCCCACAGCTGATACACCACGTCGAGGTACTCGTGCGCGATGCGGTAGCGCTCGTCGTGCTCGATCTGCGTGTTCAGCCCGAAGTTCCGCGCCGCCGAGTCCAGGTACGAGGTCACGATGTTCCAGCCCACGCGGCCCTGGGCCAGGTGGTCGACCGTCGAGAAGCGGCGGGCCAGCGCGTACGGCGCGTCGTAGGTCGTCGAGGCGGTCACGCCGAAGCTGATGCTGTGCGTCGCGGCGGCCATGGCGGGGATGCTGTAGAGTGGGTCGTTGATGGGGAACTGCGCGCCGGCCGGGATGGTGGGCGTCAGGTTGGCCGGGCCCCGGTAGACGTCGTAGCCGCCGAGCACGTCGGCGAAGAAGATGGCGTGGAATTTGGCCGCTTCGAGCTTCTGGGCGAGTTGCACCCAGTTGGAGAGGGAGGTGTATTTGTGGCCTTGGTCCGGCGGGTAGCGGTGCAGGCCCGGGTTGAGGTGGGATGGGGATTGCATGGCGAAGGCGTTTAGGATGAGTTGTTTCTTGGGGGGAGTGGAGGAGCCCATTTTGGTGATTGGCGAGTAGAGGTGAGGTTTATTGATTAACTGGATGATTTGAAGTCTTACCCTCGATTGTGGTCTTCCTGCGAGTAAGAGTAGAGGTGAGGGATATGGGGTGTGGGAGGAAGGGAGAGAGTGTAGAGTCTTGCGTATGGTGGTGGTGTGTGCTTGGGTTATTTGTTATATGCGGCGGAATTGGAGAAAGATAAACATTCTTATCGGTCCTGACCACCAAATTACCCCTCATGACTCGCCCGAGAGGTTGTGTCGCAACATTCCTCCAATGGAGGGGTCCCGGAAGACGTGCGAGGCGGCCTCGATTGCGCCAGATGCGGTGCCGATGATAACACGGGTTGATTCACCTGCCATTTGTGATCTCTTGGCAGTGGGGGTTTACACGCATTATTGCAACAGCTGAATGTCAAGTAGTGCTTTCGAGTGACATGAAGTTTATCCTAAGGGGAATTGTAGAATGTTCAATGAAAGATATACAGCACGTTAACCCTAAGACAGTGCCAAGCCTGCCGGCTCCGTATTGAATCAGCCGGTGTATTCAAGTACCTGTATCATTTTAATGCCTATTCACAATCCAATCTATTGCAACTATTTACAACCTTCCCTTAGGATCCCGCTCAACCCTCCAAGTCCACCACGATCCTCTTCCCCGACACACTCCCCTGCCGCAGCGTATCCAGCGCCGCGTTGACCCCCTCCAAACCGCCGGCATGGCGCACCACCTCCGGCCCCAGCAGCGTGTTCGACGCCAGCAATTCCTCCAACCACGCGACCATCTTCTCCCCGACCCCGACCGACGAATGGAACAGCTTGATGGGCACGGTATGATACTTGATCCCGGCCCGTCGCTCCTTGGGCAATCCCGTCAACCCCAGCAGATGCGCATGCGAGCCATCCTCGCGCACGGTGGCATCCAACACCCCCTGCAGCAGCGTCGCCGTCTCCCGCCCCACGATGTCCACCGCATACCGCAGCCCACCCCCCGTTACGCCGCGGATGATCTCCACCGCGCGGGCGGGATCGTGTCGGTCGACCAGCACATCCGCCCCAAGGGCGTGCAGGCGCGCCCCATGGCGGGCGACATCGGCGACGCAGAGGACCTTCAGGCCCGCTAGCTTCGCTAGTTGCAGGGTGATCATCCCCGTGGTTGTAGATGCTATCATAAATTAGTCGTCTTCACTCAAAAACCGGAGAAGTTCATCCACCACCCCAAGAAACGCGGGAAAGGGACGCAGACTCACCCCCCCAAATAACCAGCCACTCGCCCCTCCGCAAGCGCTCCTGCGCCGGTACCGCCGAGAAACACTCCTCCCACACGTCGGCCGGGATCTCCGCTGCATCGACCGACTGCACGGCATCCACGAGATTGGGGCCGGGACACGCGGCGATCGTCGAGAAATCCAGGCCCAGAGACACGCCCAAGGCAAGGGTCGAGGCCACGAACGCCACCCCCAACGACGCGCTGACGTGCACGCCCGTCTGGTCGGGGATGCGGGCGGCGTTGAAGTGCGTGGCGACCGCGTACTGCTGGAAGGCGGCCTTGCGGATGTCCCGGTAGTCGGTGGAGGGGACGAGGACGCGGTCGCCGACGCGGATGCGCGGGTGGGCGGGGTCGCGCACGGCGACGACCACGCCGGCCAGGTCGCGGCCGTTGATCCAGGGGAGAGCGGGGATGCCGAAGTTATACGCTCTGCGTCGCTTTTAGTGGGTTGTGTGGAGGGGGCAGGGGCAGGGAAGAAAGACATACGGGCCCTTCCAGTCAATTGGGTTGAGGCCGATCGCTTGGATCTGCAGGTATGTCAGAGTCTAGGAGCTAAATGAAGCGTACAAGCACAGTCATACCTTGACTAGGATCTCCTCCTCACCCAGGATGGACGGGATGGCATGATCGGTCACGAGGGTATATTCTTGTCCGATGCCGTGGAGGAGCAGGGCGCTCTGAGTGGCTTGCGGCGCTGCCTGCGTTGGTGCTGGGGCTGGGGCTTCGATCGATTCGCTCTCGGGGTAGTAGCGCTGCTCAACCCGCACAGGGCTGTCGTACACGAGAGGGTACTTGTCGTCCAGCGAGGAAGGTACGGTGTAGGTCGCTATCGTGGTCATGATGCCGGATATGTGTGCTTGCGTGCGTGTATTCTGTACGACGAACGACAAGGTGATGGAATTTGCAGGAACTTTACACCCCGCGCGATCCAGATATGTATGCGTTTGTCACCCGGCCGAGAAACTCACCCTCTGCAGGTCTATCTCTATCTCCCGGAACACACGGGCCCCAGGGTTGATCGATTGGCGATAATCGCCCAGCAAGAACCCAGTTATCGCGCCTGGGGAAGGGCAGCATTGCGCGGGGCGGGGGTGGGATGGCGTGCTGAGCACGCAGCGATGGTATCATCCCGTCCAGGATGCGACCATGATCGTCGGTCGCATCCAAGGGATGATGACCCCAAAGACACAAGACACAAGACACAAGACACAAGACACAAAAATCGGCAGCTTCCCATATTACAGTCATCGGAGCTAATCTCGCCAGTTCGTCACTCTGCCTCCTCATGGCGGGACTGGAATCCGTGAGAGACAGTCGACAAAGCGGATGAGGGCAGAAAGCCCTAAGTTCGACCAGTTTTTGGGAGGGCGAGCGCAGCCACCAACCAGGTTACACCGCAGGCAAATGGCATGTATCCCGGCCCTGATGATGTGATTCGTGGCGGATGAGGGGATGGCACGCAACTGCGACCGCTGCTGACGACGTCGCCTTCCTGCTTTCAAGCGTTCGTTTCCTGAAACATCAGCTGGGGGTTATGGATCAGTTTGCCAGGGGACGGCCTGCGCTGGATTTATCTTATATTCAGCACACACTGGTCGGACGGATCAGGCCAAAAGGTGTCCGACTATGTGATAGGTAACCTCTACAGACACTTCCGGCATGACCTCCTCGGACGTGTCATTCCCACGCACCTCCTCGAGGCTGTGTGATTCCTCGCCTTGAGATAAGTCGTTATCAGCTGGGATGAACACACAACATGCGCACAGTATGACGTGCCTGCGTGTGATACTGATTTCCAAGCAGCCACGCCAAACAAACTGCTGCTTACACCTTAAACTGGGTATCTAAGCTTCCCATCGCGAGGGGATACTGAACCCCATCACCAAATCCAGCCACCGATCCATCATGACCCAAGCCGAACGACAGCCTCTGCTGGGCATCTCCAGCACACCCGTCTTCCCGGACGAGGTGCCCGACCCCGAATCCGCCGCCCGACCGGCCACCAACAGTCCCAAAACCCTCACCTGGACGAGCGCGTACATCCTCGTCATCTCCCGCGTCATCGGCAGCGGCATCTTCGCGACCCCGGGCTCGATCGTCAAATCTGCGGGGAGCGTGGGTCTGTCGTTGTTGATCTGGGGGGTGGGCACCGTGCTCGCCGCGTGTGGGCTGGCCGTGTCGCTGGAGTATGGGTGCATGCTGCCTCGCTCGGGCGGCGATAAGGTATTTTGCCTGGCATAAATCTTCTCGCATAGAGGGGAACAGTCTGAGTAGTGACATAACATCCGCAGGTGTATCTGGAATATACCTACCCGCGGCCGCGCTTCCTGGCCTCGACCTTGATCGCTGTGCAGGCGGTGCTGCTGGGGTTCACGGCCAGCAACTGCATCGTCTTCGCCAAGTACACCTTCTTCGCGTTCAATGTCGAGCCAACTGAGCTGCAGCACAAGGTCCTGGCGCTGGGGTTGATTACGTTTGTCACGATCATGCACGGATTCTTCCTGCGGACGGGCATCTGGGTGCAGAACGTGCTGGGATGGCTGAAGATCTTTCTGGTCGGGGCCATCTCGTTGACCGGCATCTGGGTGATTCTCGTGCGTCCGCCCAGCGAGACGGATGCCTCGGCTGGGGATAAGCGGGGAAGTGTGTTCAGCTCGTGGGATTCGCTGTGGGAGGACTCCAACTGGAGCTGGAATCTGCTGTCCACGTCTCTATTCAAGGTCATTTACTCGTACGCTGGGCTGAGTAACTTGAACAACGTCATGAACGAGGTGCGAGATCCCGTTCGCACTCTCAAGACGGTGTGTCCCGCGGCGCTCCTGACGGCGGGGGCGCTGTACTTTCTGGCGAATGTCTCTTACTTTCTGGTGGTCCCGATCGAGGAGATCAAGAACAGCGGAGAACTCGTGGCAGCACTGCTGTTTGAGCGGCTGTTCGGGAATCAGATCGGGAGGACGTTGCTCCCTCTGGCCATTGCCATCTCGGCCGCTGGCAACGTCATGGTAGTCACTTTTGCGCTGGTATGTTCCCAACCTCTATCGCCCCTCTCGGTGGGGTCAATGCTCATTGCTGTCAGGCCCGTGTCAACCAAGAGATTGCCCGCCAGGGGTTTCTGCCCTGGTCAAAGGTGCTTTCGTCCTCGCGACCGTTCGGAGCACCGCTAGGTGGATTGATCGTGCACTACATCCCCTCCGTCCTGGTGATTGCCCTGCCGCCCCAAGGCGACGTCTACAACTTTATCCTGGATGTCGAAGGCTATCCGGGCCAGTTCTTCAGTCTAGCTGTCACACTAGGGCTCCTGCTGCTTCGCTACAAGGAACCCGACCTCCCGCGTCCGTTTCAGGCATGGCTGCCCGCCGTGTGGCTGCGCGTGTTCATCTCCTTGGTCTTGTTGGCATCGCCCTTCTTCCCGCCAGAGGGCGGCAAGGGCGACGTGGGCTTCTTCTACGCGACGTATGCGATTGTTGGAACTGGCGTGTATGTTTCTGCCCCTATCCTCGCACCCTGCCCCGTTTGTCTCGGCATTTGCTAACTATTGTAGAATTGTGTTTGGAGTGCTATACTGGTACGTATGGACGGTTCTGCTTCCCCGGTGGGGCGGATATCATCTGGAGGAGGAAAAGGCCGAGGCGGAAGACGGAGCAATCCATACCAAACTAGTGCGCGTATACGAGTTCTAGATAGATTGATAATCAGACCACCGTTTCGAGCGTCACAGCCCCGGAATCTCCAATAGTACTGTTTGTTCGAACTTCTGGTAGAGGTCCTCGGTGCAAGCGACGGAGCAGTCGGATGCATTCCTTGCAGCGGATTAGAAATCAGCATTCCCCGCGTTCTTTGTAATTGGCGCCCTCCAAGACATCCCTGTCTATAGCCCTCCGACATCACATGGATATGAACGAGTACAATGCTATGCTGTTTGCATCATCCGTGCGAGATGTGACGACCAGTTATCGCCGGAGGGTAAGTTGGATTTATCAGCGTGGTATGACGTGCTCTGTCTGACAAATGCTGCGTGCGTGTGTGGTGAGCAGACAGCAACCATCGCGATGGGATATATAACCGTGGATAGCGGCGTAGATCTGCTCTCCTCACATCCACCAGACACATTCACAGCCATCTATACCACACCTTAAATCACACAGAGAGAAAATGGCCGCAGCAGCAGTCCACCTCCCCACCGGGGACATCCCCTCCTTCCCCGCCTCTAACACCCTCCCCCCACAAACTAAATCCACGCCCCAGCCCCGGACCTCCCCCCACGACGTCCACACCGTCCTGAACTACATCAAAGAAGTCGAAGACGGCTCGCACCTGCGGCCCAACTACGCGGGCAAAGCCGACTCCTTCGAGCGGCCGTCCGAGTCCGTGCCGACGACCATCCACGACGTCAGCGGCCACGAAGCCGAGTACACGCTGGACGGCTACGGCTTCCAGTTCCACCCGCACGTCAGTGCGGAGAAAGATTTCCTGGATGACGAGCAGATCAAGCGGGTGTATTACCCGGAGGTGGATCGGTTGCTGAAGGAAGTGTATGTCTTCCTCCCATCCTCTTTCCCTTCGCCCCCTCCATTCCCCCTCCCCCCACCATTTATATTTCCCCGCTCCGCCCGCCTCCCAGCCGCCAACTGATAATGACCACTGGGTACAGGACCGGAGCAACCCGTACCTACATCTTCGACCACACGATCCGCCGCCCCGCGGCCAACGCCCAGGCGCAGCTCCGCACCCCGGTGCACCGCGTGCACATCGACCAGTCCTTCCCCGCGGCCGTCTCGCGCGTCTCGCACCACCTCCCCGACGACGCCGAGGAGCTCCTGAAAGGCCGCCACCAGATCATCAACGTGTGGCGGCCGCTGAAGACGGTGCGCCGCGACCCGCTGGCCGTGGCCGAGGCGCACACCGTCGACGACGCCGACCTCGTCCCCATCAAGCTGATCTACCCGGACCGCGAGGGCGAGACCTACGCCGTGCGCGCCAACCCCGCCACGAAATGGTACTACCGGCACGCGCAGACGCCCGAATGGGTCACGCTCATCAAGTGCTACGATAGCAAGACGGACGGGCGCGCGCGCCGCGTGCCGCACAGTGCGTTTGTGATCCCCGGGACCGAAAACGAGGAGGCGAGGGAAAGTATCGAGGTGCGGGTTTTGGTGTTTACGCCTGAGGATCGGGAGTAGACTTTTCATTCTTGATATAGTGCTGGGTTGGGGTTTCCGGGAAGGGCGGGGAGGAATGCTGCTCGCGGGACGGAGAGGCTAGGATGCAGCGGTAATTTGGCTATTTACGTACTACTTACTATATAGTGTCTTGTTAATGGGATTTTGTCTTCCCAGTCACACTCAACCCTGATTTTCAGAACTAACACGTTCCGGGGGAGAACCCCCGGACCCCCCTTTCTTTCAGCTTCCCAGTAACACTCAACCCTGGGGTCTTAGAAACACGTTCCGGGAGAGAACCCCCGGACCCCCCTTTCTTTCAGCTTCCTGGCAAAGCTTATCTGTAGTAAGCATTGAACGGCACAAGATGTACTGTTGATATGGATATGACATACAGGGGAGACCGGCAGACTGGGTCTTGCTCAGTTTATGGGGTGATGTGATTAGGGCTAGTGGTCACTGGTTAGTCTGCTGTATTGCAGGGAGGACAGTTAGATTAGCATTGAGTGTTACTGGGAAGTTGAAAGAAAGGTGGGCCCGGGGGTTCTCCCCCGGGACGGTATATTCCCCCAGCACTTAGAATTGGAGTTGCTGAAAGGCTGAAAAGGAGGGGGCTGAGGGGGTGTTCATCATGGGAGGGACAGAGGACGGTTGACGGTTGACGTGATGGGTTAGCGCCTGGCGGGTTGGCATTCTTTTCCCGCTAACGCTCACGTGGGGCTTAGCTTATTTTCTTATCCAGCGATATAAATTAAAGATGACATCGAGGCTAAGGATTACATCTGCAGGCTAAAATGCCGTGCGAGCACGTAATTCCCACCCCATCCTGCAACATGCAGCATGGCAACTTTCTCGACCGAGACATATTCCTGGGGGGGTAGGGTCTAGATCACGTCCTATCTGCACGATGCAAGGCGTGTCGGGTGCAGTATATAACAATTTGGGGTCATCCCTTGTTTTTCACGGCTCGACCTCGACCTCTACCTCTCTTCGTTCCAGATACCTTCACTGGTATACTCGGTGCTAGAACCCCTTTGTTCTAACGAATCCACACAGCACACCGGGCAAAATGTCCGAAAAGTCCCCCCCAACCTCAACAGCCCCCTCCCCTCCCAGCCCGCCGCCCTACCCCTCTCCCTCCGACCCCTCCCCCTCCCATCCCCCAGCAAAGCCCAAATGGTACCGCAGCACCACCTACAACGCGCTCATCCTCGGGCTCTGCAACTTCCTCGCCCCGGGGCTCTGGACCGCGATGAACTCCCTCGGGGGCGGCGGCAGCGAATCGCCGTACCTCGTCGACGCGGCCAACGCGCTCACCTTCTGCCTGATGGTGGTCTCGTGCCTCTTCGGCAGCGCCATCGTGCGGCTCATCGGCGTGAAATACACGCTCATGCTGGGGACGATCGGCTACGCGCCCTACGCGGCGGGGCTGTACACGAACAACCGGTTCCACAGCTCGTGGCTGCTGCTCCTGGGCGCGGCGCTCTGCGGCCTCAGCGCGGGCGTCTTCTGGCTCGCGGAGAGCAGCATCGCGCTCGCGTACCCGGAGCCCGCGCGCCAGGGCTTCTTTCTGGGCCTGTGGCTCTCCTTCCGCGTCGGGGGCCAGATCCTCGGCGGCGCCATCAACCTCGGCCTGAACGTCGACCGCAACACCGCCGGCAGCGTCAGCTACGCCGTCTTCCTGGTCTTCGTGGCCCTGCAGGCCTGCGGCCCCATCGCGGGGATGCTGCTCACGCCGCCGGAGAAGGTCCAGCGCCGCGACGGCGTGCGCGTGCAGCTGCGGCTGTCGGAGGACGGGGTGCGCGCGGAGCTGAAGCATACCGTCCGCCTCCTCGGCACGAAGAACGTGCTCCTCGTCCTCCCGCTAATCGCCCAGGCCATCTACACCGAGGCCGTCATGTTCACCTACCTCGATCTCTGGTTCAGCGTGCGCGCCCGCGCGCTGGCCAGTTTCCTGTCCGGGTGCTTGGCCCTCCTGGCGGGGAATGGGCTCGGGTATGTGCTTGATCACTCCCGCGGGAGTCTGAAAGGGAAGGCGAGGGGGGTCTTTGCGGTCGTCATGACCCTGCAGGGCGGCGTGTGGGTGTGGGCCACTGTGATTACCTCGATTTACCGGGAAAAGGACCAGGCGGCGCTCGACTGGGCGGATCCCGGGTTTGCGAGGGGCTGGGTGCTCTATCTCTTCTGGGTGGCCATGTTCCAGGTCAATTATATGTTCTTGTGAGTGGGCCTTCCTCTGTTTCCTGGGCTGGGTTGAGGGTTACGGGTAAGGGTGGTGGTTGCTGACGCGGTGCGCAGGTACTTCGTGGTGGGCAACTTGGCCCGCAACAAAGGCGAGGTGGTGCGGTTGTCGGCCCTCCTGCGCGGGACCGAGTCGGCCGTGCAGGCGGTTTCGGTGAGTTTCTTCCGGTATTACTTGTGCAGTGGTTGTGCTGACTGGTTACCACGGTAGTACGGGCTGAGCAGCGTCGGGGTCATGGCCTCGGTCGGCGGCACGTATCTCAACTTCGGGCTGTGGGCCATCTCCGTGTTCCCCGCGTGGTTGGTGGTCAGGCAGATTGGCACGACGCTGGGGGATCGGAAGAGGGAGAGGGAGGAGGCTGCGTTTGACGAGTAGAGGGTTATTCGCACATACGGCTGGGTATACTATATGGTTAATGGTAGAGAGTGACATAGACAAAACCTCATGCTTTTGTGTTATGAGTGAACGTGCACATGCTGATACAGCACATTTCATCAATAGACAGACACCCCTACCCTAATCCCTGCAATAGACGTTTCCCGGGGGAGAACCCCCGGCCCCCCCTTTCTTTCAGATTCCCAGTAACACTCGATCTTGAATCCTATAGTGTATCCTAACCTGCTTGATGCCTACTAATGAGCGTTACTGGGAAGCTGAAAGAAAGGGGGGTCCGGGGGTTCTCCCCCGGAACGGTAAATTCCCCCCAGTGCTTAGGATTGAGGGTGTTGGAATTTGAAAAGAAGGGGGTAAGGCGACAGCTGTAAACACCAATGCTTAATGCTACTAGGCCCGTAAATGCAAGACAGACAGAGTATAGACAAGAAAACTATAGACAAGAAGAAGACTGCGAAATGCACACGCTACAGATTGAACAAGCCGCCCTGGCGCTTCCCCCCCGGATACACCACCAAGGCAGACAGAAACAACCCCACCGTGATCCCTAGCGCGGTCTGCACCATACTCACACCCAGACTCAACAGCGACTCGACCATCGAGTTCGACGAGGTGTTGGCCGTCCCCTCCTTGACGGCCTTGGCGTACTGCAACCCGGCCACGATCGACCCGCTCGACGCCAGCCCGGACGAAACCAGCGTCCACATGCCCGGCACGATCACCGCCGCCGCGTGGCCGTGCCACACCCGACTGTACAGATTGGCCAGCAGCCCGATCGTGAACGAGCCGATGATGCTGGCCATCTGGCTGCTCAGGTACGTCGTAGCAAAATAGTTGGCCACGTACCCGGACACGCCCAGCGTGCACATGAACGGCAGCTGGCGCAGGCGGGCCTGGCTGACGATGCCGGCGAAGGCGATGTAGATGGTCACAAACACGAAATGCTGGATGTACGTGTTGCCGTAGATCAGCTGGCTCTCCGCCGAGCACGAGGTCTGCTCGCTCGCCTGGTCGTCCATCAGCCCGTAGATCGTCAGCCCCACCGTCACCCCGTACCCCAGGAACAGCGAGTAGATGATCGTGTACACCAGCCGGATCGACCCGGCCGTGATCTGGTGCGACTGCAGCTCCAGACTGCTGCACAGCACCGAGTACCCGGGCAGGATCAGCGCGATCGCCGACTGCGTCATCGCCGGGAAGCAGAACAGGTACTCCCCGTTGTGGCGGATGCTGCCGAAGGCGCGCGCCAGGAACGAGACCAGCATCGCGATGGACACCTCCATCACGTTCGAGTACAGCGCCGACCGCGGCGCCAGGATGTACTGCATGAACCCCATCAGCAGGCCCAGCACGAAGATGATGGGCATGTCGATGGGCCGCGCGCCGAACGCCCACGGCCCGACCGCCACACTGATCAGCCCGGCAATCAGCACCATCATCCAGGGGGTGCGCCACTTGCTCTGCCGCGTGAGGATGTCGTCCAGCACGGGCAGGGCCTCCTCGGCCGACAGCTTCCCGTGCAGCACGTTCTTGTAGCAGTTGTGCACCTCGCCCAGGCGGCCCAGATTGCAGCCCTGGATGATGCGCACGAGCTTGACCTCCGCCGTGCGGGTCAGCGGGTCGTCGAACGAGATGATCATGCAGCCGGGGATGTACAAAAACTGGCCGTGGACGCGCAGCGCGAAGGCGGACATCTGCATGTACTCCTCGAGGCGGTGGGTCGGGGCGCCGCACTTCATCATGACGCGACACAGCTGCATCAGGTAGCGCTGGCGCGTGAGCAGCGAGCCGATCTTCTCCGCGAGCCGCGCCTCGCGCGCCTTGCGCCGCTCCTTGGCGCTGCGCGGGTCCTTGTCCGCGTCCGCATACCATTTCTTCTTGCGCCGCTTGCGCACCTCGCTCGGCAGCGGGCCCAGCGCGTCATCCTCGGACTGCGTCGTCCCCGTCTCCGTCCCGACCAGTGTCGTCCCACCGGTTGTGGTGGTCGTGTTCGTCGTCGTCCTCTCCGGATCATGGCCCATCTGATGCCCCAGCAGGTGCCAGAGCACGCCGCCCGCCAGGTTGGCTTCTTTCTCGGCGGCCTCCTCCTCGGCCGTCCGCGGCGGCAGGCCGGCCTGCAGCTCGCGCGCCAGCCCCAACCGGTTGACCAACATGGCGGCGTCCGCGCCCAGCAGCGACTGCAGCTGGCTGCCGTACGAGTCGTCCGCGACACCTTCCCCGGGCGCCAGCATGTCCCGCATCTCGATGTCCTCCTGGTATCCGTAGTCCTCCGGGTGCCAGGCCGAGTCTAGCCCGTCGCCGCCGTCCGGGTCCCGGCCCAGCTTCTCGGCCAGATGCGAGGTGCCGTCTTTGATCGCTTTGAAGAGCACCCCCCATTGGTGCGAGCCGCCTCCATTTTGGGGAGTGTCGTGGCCGGTCAACGGCCGTTCGTCGACGCCATGGTCGGTGTGGTTATCGGCGGGGTGGGAGTCCGGCGTGGAGCTCGTCTTGGAGTGGATCGGGTCGAGGGTCTCGGTTGAACTGGACATGGTGGTGGTGGTCGTGGTGGTGGTGGTCGTGGTGGTGTGTCGGCATAATCAGGATGCGGTGTTAGGCGAGGTTCCTGCGTCGGAGAAAGAGCGGTCAGTCGGAGGATTGTTTCGGGGGGAGGGAGGAATAGGGTGTGTTTGAGTGGTGGGTTGGGCAGATGAGGCATACTCACATGCTGTACGTTGTCTTCCAACCAAGCAGCAGGTTCAAGATTACCCCGTGTAGGAGAAAAAGAGGGAATGGAAGGAAAAGAAAGAGAAAGAAACCCAAAAGAAGGGAACGTGGAGAAAAAAAGACCGGCCGGGGAAGGACAAGTGAAGTCACTAACACCACACGATCGACCCACCGGCGGTTCGTAGCGATGAGGGGATACTATCGGCTAGCAAAGATGCAAATCGACAGATCACGACGGTGAGGCCGCGGTGTGTCCCTCGAGGAGCATTATTTTGGGACGGACAAAAATAGAGCGAGAGAGATCACGGTCACGGCGCAGAGGCCAGGCACTTGCCAGAAGGAAAAAAAAGAAAAGGAAAAAAAAAGAAAAGGAGAAAAAGTTCAGTTCCGGGGGGAAAAGATGGGATGGAACCACGGGGCAACTGGCAGCCATCATCCCATGATTCAGTTTAATGCAAACCCCCCTTGGCCGGCCATTATTGGAAGACCAGGTGAAACAACGGCGGATGCGCCCCCACTGCAAAGCTTCGCTTCGCTTGGCACGGGGTTGCAGACGGTAAAGGGGGAGATGGCTGACGGGATGGCGGTATGGCTTGTGAGCTATCTATAGATCTTACTGGATTCGGGGCTAGAAGTGGAAGATGTGCTCTTCGAGAAGCAATAGCGAGACGGATTATAGACGGGGGGGAAGCAGAGTAGGGCAAAAGCTTAGAGAGAGAGAGAGAGAGAGAGAGCCTGAGAGCAGGCAAGTCTTTCCGAGGAAGGGTCATGTGACTAGCTGTCTGACTGGTGGGTGCAGTGGAGCTCTGAGGCCAATCTGGCCAATTGTGGTGGAACACACCATCCCTGCTAGCCGATGTGTCAGCCGCGCGTCCTTCACTGGAATTGACTGTGCGTGCATAAAATCATTCATATGAAAACTAGTAGGATTGAGTGATACTGGGAAGCTGAAAGAAAGGGGGGTCCGGGGGTTCTCCCCCGGGATCGCTCTTTGTCTACCAAAGTGTATGAGTATATACTAATGAACGAGAATCGTCATCGCTAAAACCGAGTTTTCCCCCCGTGTTTCCACCTTCACCCCAGCAAATACTGATATGCATCTTCCGACACCCTATCCACCCATCCTCACTCAGATCCTCGCCCCACCAACCTTCCTTTGAAAATACTTTTCGAAGAAATCCGCCAACTGGTTATACCTATCCTGAAGTCAGCCCTCTTTCACAACAAGCAGAGTAAAAAAAAAGCTTAAGGATAGAACACATACCCCCGCTTATACTCGGCCAGACTCTCCTGGCCCTCCAGGTTGGCGCGGGCCCCCATCCAGCCATGCCACATGGTCCGGTAGGTCTCCACGTGCCCGCCCAGCCCGTTCTCGGCGATCGTCTTCGCATACGCCTCCACCACCTCGGCGGGCTCGTCCTTGGAAGCCAGCACGATGTGCGGGATTGTCAGCCGCTGCGCGTCCGCTGCTTCCATGCGTCTGCACTTGTCAACGTGGGGGCTTGCATTAAAGGGAGGGAGAAGGAACCTTACCCGGGATGCACCTGACCCGACGCGATGAAAGGCGTGTCCGGTCCGGAGGCGAGAACGGCCACCTGTATCCATTACCACCATTATCACTATTTTGTTCTCATGCATGAGGGTGTCCAACTAACCTTCCCACCCCAGCACAACCCCGTGACAGCCCACGCCTGCACGCTCGGGAACCGCTCCCGGTAGACCGGTACAGCAGCCGCCAGCACTTGGACCGCGTCCGGGCACGAGGCGCGGGTCGAGATGAACTTGGTCAACGCTTCCTGCTTCTCCGGGGTGTCGGGCGGCAGCCAGGAGGAGTCGGCCTTGTCCCCGTGGAAGAAATCCGGGACGAGGACGACGGCGTCCAGCCGGGCGGCGAGGAGGTCGGCGCCCTGCAGGGTTTGGCTGGAGAGGCCGAAGATGTCGCAGATGTCGATCAGACCGTAAGCGGCATCGTGAGAACCGGTGATATCTGTGGTTGTTAGTGGTGGTGTCTACAATGCTAAAGGTGGGTGGTGCAGACAGGTGTTGAGGCCGGCGACACCGTCGTAGGTGCCTTTGGGGGTGTAGCCCTCGGCGACGACGGGGGGGATGGTGCGGCAGGCTTCGCAGGTCATGGTTGTGCGGTCGGAGGGGAATGTAGTACAATACTTTGTAGGGTAGGAGAAAGGCAGCCCCCGCAGGAGGAATCGTTGCGGCTATAAATCGTTCCTCGTGCTGTGGACGCTATGCTCTTATTGTTAGCCTGGACCGGGCACTGGAGAAAGCCAGCCTTAACTCCGACCGGATGGATGGTGGGTGTGATTGGTGCGAGCACAGAGTAAACCCACTTGGTGGCCGGAAACGGGCCGGAACCGGGCATTGATCTGCCAAAGCTGGGAGTATAAAGATGAAAGAGAGAAATTGTCGCCCATCGTAGAGAGATGGCCCCATCTCATCGCAATCATGGGTTCTCCCTCAATGGAAGGCCCGGAAAAGCCACCGATGTCCACCACCGAAGATCTCAAAAATGACGTGGAGAAGAATCGAAGCGATGCGTCACCCGACGCCCCGTACAGCATCCTCTCCGAACGAAAGAAAGTCTGTCTGATGATCACCGCTTCGTTCGCGGGCCTGATTTCTCCCCTGTCGAGCACAGTCTACTTCCCAGCCCTAACATCTCTGGCCGACGCCATGCACGTCTCCGCCACGCGCATCAACCTCACCGTCATGATGTACCTCGTACGCTCTCCCTGCCCACCACACCCGTTATCACTGCAGTGGTCACTGAACATAATTCCCTCGATCAGATCTTCCAAGGAATCGCCCCCTCCTTCATCGGCTCCTTCTCCGACACCCACGGCCGCCGCCCCGCCTACCTCATCAGCTTCGTGATCTACCTCGGGGCGAACATCGGCCTAGCCCTGCAAACCAACTACGCCGCCCTGATGGTCCTGCGCTGCCTGCAGGCGTGCGGCAGCAGCGGCACCATCGCGCTCGGCAGCGCCGTCGTGGCCGACGTTTCCACGCGAGCCGAGCGGGGCAAATACATCGGCTACGCCAGCATGGGGCTGACCCTGGGGCCAGCCCTGGGCCCCGTAATCGGGGGACTGATCGACCATTTCTGCGGCTGGCGCTGGATCTTCTGGTTTCTGACCATCCTCTCCGGCGTGTTCCTGGCAGCCATCGCCCTTTTCCTGCCCGAAACCTGCCGCGCAGTCGTCGGCAACGGCTCGATCCCGGCGGCGCGATGGAACCGACCCATCTTCAGCGCCCTGGCACCCAAACCCACACCCACCACAACGACAGCCACAACCGCCCCACAAAGACCCAAACGCCTCAACCCCCTCCGCTCCGCCCGCCTCGTCCTCGACAAAGAAAACGCCCTCATCCTCATCTACGGCGCCCTGCTATACGCCGGCATGGCCGCCGTGCTGACCACGCTCACCACCACCCTCGCAACGCACTACCACTTCAACACCATCCAAATCGGTCTCTGCTACCTACCGATGGGGCTGGGCAGCCTCACCTCGCGGTACACGGTGGGGTTCTTGCTCGACCGGACTTTCCGACGGCACGCCCATGCGCAGGGCCTCAGCATCATCAAGAACCAACAGCAGGAGATCGGCGCCTTCGACATCGAGCGCGCGCGGCTGGTCGTCACGATCCCGCTGGCCTACGCCGCGGCGCTCGTGTTCGTCGCCTACGGCTGGGTGATGCAGTCCCGCGTCTCGTTGGCGGGGCCCGTGGTCACCCTGTTCGTCGGCAGCCATCTGCTGACGGGGGCGTTTACGACCCTGAGTACCCTCATGGTCGATCTGAATCGGGGCAGTCCCGCCACGGCGGTGGCGGCTAATAATCTGGTCCGGTGCTTGCTGGGCGCCGGCGCGACGGCGGCGGCCGCGCCGGTGATTGAGGCGATTGGGGTCGGGTGGATGGCGGTTGTCATGGCCGCGGTGTGGGTGGTGGCGAGTCCGTGTCTGTGGGCGGTATATTACTGGGGGTTTGAGTGGAGGAAGAGGATAAAGGGGATGGAGGGAGAGAGAGAGTAATGAGTGAAAAGTGTTTAGTATTGGGTGGGCTTGGGACGTTGAGTGGATAGAGTGATTTTTTGAATCACTACCTAATGCCGGAGGGAGAGATCTTAGGGGAGGGAGTCATGGGGTGACAAGTGTATATTGTCGTGGTCGCATTTGATGGAGTAATGTCTTCTAATTTTCAGCTAAGGGACTAGGTATGCCTATTTCGGCGCTACGTGCTCATGGTAGTATCGCTGCGCGGCATCCATGATGGCCTTGACTCGCGCTGCGGGCACCTTTTCTTTGCGGTCGTACGAGAAGAGCCCGTTCACTTCTTGTTCGATGTCACATCTGGTTATCTATTAGCCCAGTTCAGCAGACGCGAAGCTCTGCCTGGATAGGTGGTTAGCATGGACTTACAGCTGGGTATAGACCATCCCACACGTGTGGCCCCCCTTGACGACCGCCATCGCCAACCGTTCCAGACGAGCCAGGAAGTCCTCGGGGTCACTCGCCGTCGTGTAGCCCCAGTCTCTCTCCCCTGCGGTCGTGCCCTGGGCAGGAGTGATGTTCACTCCGCCAAACTCGGAACAAATGACCGGAGCGCCAGGTGTATGCTTGGCGCCTGCATCGCCGTCCACAGCCGGCACAAACATATCATGATCAGCCTTAGGGCCCAGGATTCCCTGCAGGTCTGCACAGGTGGCTGCTAGCTCGGTAGAATCGGCATAATCGTGGTAGGTAGTGAGATCGGTGAGGACGTGCTCCCAGCCGCAGTTGTCGTTGATGGGACGAGTAGGATCGAGGGTTCTGCCATGTCAGTCAATGTTCTAGATCAACCATGCAACCACTCACTTAGTCATATAGTACACCGAACGAATGTGGTTCCGTTGCTGAACATTGTCCTTCAATGAAGGATACCCCCAGCTCTCATTGAACGGCGTCCAGGCCACGATCGACGGGTGATTGATATCCCTCTGCACCGCCTCCGTCCACTCACGATTGAAGCGCGCGACGTACTCATCACTGAACTCGTACGCATTGGCAATCTCGCCCCACACCAGGAACCCCAGCCGGTCGGCCCAGTACAGAAACACCGGATCCTCGACCTTCTGGTGCTTCCGACACCCGGTAAACCCCATCTTCATCGCCAGCTCGATGTCCGCCCGCAGCGCCTCCTGCGACGGCGGCGTCAACCCCGTGTCAGGCCAGTAGCCCTGATCCAGCACCAGCACCTGAAAACTCGGCTTGCCGTTGATGCGGAACGTCCCGTCGCCGGTTCTCCAGTCAATGCGCCGCATTCCCGCCGTCGTTGCCACCTCATCCACCACCTCCCCGTCTGCATTGAATAAGCGGATGGTCACATCATAGAGGACCGGATGCTCCGGCGCCCACAGCGCGACTCCACCGCGCCAACACCCCTCCACCTCCCACGGCCCCTTCTTCCCTTCGAATACCTCCAGATCCTTCATGCGCATATCCACATCCAGACTCACCCGATCCGAATCCCCCAACGCAGCCCGCACAGAACCAACCCTCACCCCGCCCAGCCCCGTCTCCACCTCCACCTCCGCTCCCTGTCCAGCTCTCTGCCCCACCACCGCGACTCTCGCCTGCAACCTCCCACCGTCAATATCATCCCCTCGCAGCACGGTACCCTCACTAGGCCCCCCAATCCTTAAACAGGGAACAGCCTCGACCCAAACATCCAACCAAATGCCACTCGTCGGGGTGTAGAAGATCCCCTCCGGCACCGCACCCCAATACTGCTTGCCGCGCAGCTGCGTCAGGTCCGTCGGCGAGTCGCGCACGCGGATCGTCACTCTGTTCGGTTCCTTCTCCTCAGTGGTAACTGCATCCGAGATATCCAGATCAAACGGAACATGACCCCCGCGATGGCCACCCACATAAACCCCCCCAACCCAGACGGAACACTCGTAGTCCACCGCCCCGAAGCGGAGGAGGAGCCGGTCGCCTCTTTCCAGCTGCGCGGGCGTGCGGATGTCGCGGATGAGCCGCTCGTACCACAGGATCTCGTGGGTGTCCTGTGCGTTGACGCCCGAGGCGGGTGTTTGGAAGGCGTAGGGCACCGTGATGGTCGTTGTTGGTGGGGACGGGGGCAGGCCGGTTTGGGCCCAGTGCTGCGTCAGGCCTTCGTCGCCATCGTCGAAGCGGAAGGTCCAGCACCCGTTGAGGGTGTGCCAGGTTGGGGTTGAGCGGGTGAAGTCGGGGCGAGGGTAGGGCATTTCTTTTCTGTCTAGGTTGGGATGTGGAGAGGTGTTGTTGTTGTTGTTGGTGGTGATGGTGGTGGTGGTGGTGGTGGTGCTGTTGTGGTGGTTGTGATAGTGGTGGGTGGGCGAGTTTGTTTTGGTGTAGGTGAGTGGTGAATAGGAAGTGAAGGAAGTTGTGTTAGTTCTGCGGGGTGAGGAAAGCAAGCAAGCGGTCCGTTCACTGATCGTCAATCAACCCCGCGGCTATGACGTGGTCGGACGACCCTCAGCTGTTTCACTTAGACTGTCAATATATACTAAGTGATAGTGAGGTAGCATCGTCTGCAACACTTGCAGTCACCACATGCAGCTAGAATAAGGTGACCTACAGCTTAGGGCACGCCGAGATTGGACCCGCGCTGCACAATGGCCTTATCTTCCGATGCAGAAGGCGGGGTAGAGTAATCCGACGACGATGATAGGGCTACACCGAAGCATTCACTCCGCGGGGAAACCATCTCGCATCCATGGTAAGGGTCTGTTCACCCGGTGATTCGACCGTCGTGACTGGGGTTCAGATTAAGTCTCGCAGATTTAGCCGGTCATTCGTCGGTCTGGACTCGTATTGCACCCATGGAGGGGCGCTATATATACCTGCTCTCCGCGCGACGATTCCCACCAACTTGTGGTCTACAGCCATGCATGCTGACATGGAGCTACTCACTGCGACGAATGTCTCCCGCGTGGGGATCGGGCTGTTGGCGTATCTCGTCCTGCGGACCGTCTACCGCCTGTACTGGCATCCTCTTAGTCAGGTGCCAGGCCCCAAGCTAGCAGCCATCAGCAGCTTATACGAGTTCTACTACAACTGCATCCAACACGGCCAATACCACTTCCAACTCATCAAAATGCACAAACAGTATGGTACGACACCTCTCCCCTCCCCGCCCTCCTCTGCAACACTGAATCTAACTCCCTAACCCAACCCCACCCGCCCCAGGCCCCATCGTCCGTGTGGGCCCCAATGAAGTGCACATCATCGACCCGACCTTCTACGAAGAGATCTACAGCGGCAGCACGCGACGCCGCAACAAGACGCCGCAATACGGCCCGCAGTTTGGGATGCCGGACTCGCTGTTCTCGACCATCGACCACGCGCACCACCACGCGCGCCGCGCGACCATCAGCCACTTCTTCTCGAAGCGGTCCATCCAGTCGCTGTCGCCGATCACCGAGCGCTGTGTGCTGAAACTCATGCAGCGGCTGCAGGAGTTCTACGAGGCCGACAGAATCGTGCGGCTGGACGACGCCTTCGCCGCCATGACCTCCGACGTGATCACCTACTATTCCTACGGCGAGAGCCAGGGGTTCCTGGAGGACGCGACCTTCCGCAGCGAGATCCGCACCCTGGTCAACGAGCTGGCCGCGACCAGCCACCTCAACCGCTTCATCCCGGTCATGTCCATGCTGCTGCGCCGCATCCCGCCGCGCTGGCTTGCCGCCCTGCAGCCGAGTCGCGCCGCTACTTACGACTACCTGGCCAGTATCTACGCCCTGTCCGCGCAGTCCGCGACCCCGGAAGCGGCAGCAGAAACCGACCGCAAACCCACGAAGCACGCGACCATCTTCGCGCAGCTGTCGGACCCCAGCATCCCCGCCAGCGAGCGCACCCGCGCCCGCTTCCAGGACGAGGCGGTCCAGTTCCTCCTGGCGGGCACGGAGACGACCTCGAGTATTTTGACCTACGCCGCGTACATCCTCGGCAGCAGGAAAGACTACGTGGAGAGGTTACGGGCAGAGTTGCGGACGGTACTGCCCACGCCGACGAGTACGGCGAGTTGGACCGAGTTGGAGAAGTTGCCTTTTCTGGTCTGCCCCTTCCCTCCCTCCTCCCCCCTCCCCCTGTCTTCAGCGGAAACACTGCACCTCGCATCATAGATTGTCTGCCCACCGCCCCCAAACAATACTGACAAAACTCGGTGGACAGACAGCCATCATCACCGAGTCCCTCCGGCTAGCCCCGCCCATCATCCGGCTACCCCGCGTCGCGCCGACGGAAACACTCGTGTATAACGGGTACAAGCTGCCGCCTGGTGTATGTCCCCAAGCCCCAACTCCCCCTCCGTTTGCCCTGGACTATCTCCCTGGAAGGACAAGGAGTGTTGAAATTGACAACATGAAGACCGTCTTAGGCGCCTCGGCGTGGTTCATCCACCGGGACCCCACCCTCTTTCCGGAGGGCGATACCTTCGATCCCGAGCGGTGGCTGCAGGGCGAGAAGAGCGAGCATCTCAAGCGGTATATGGTGGCGTTCTCAAAGGGGAGTCGCGGGTGTGTCGGGATCAAGTCAGTTCCTTTTCCCCCTCCCTCCCAAATCTCGCTCTGCTGTTGGTGGGAGGAGTGCTTTGTGTGGAAGGGATCGGCTAACGTTGGCCACTGGGCCAGTCTCGCGTATAACGAGCTGTACCTGGCGCTGGCGTACTTTGTGCGCCGGTTCGAGTTCGAGCTGTTCGATACCACGCCCGAGGACATGGAGATGGTGGCCGAGACGGTGCTGCAGGTGACGCGCCGGGGGTTTCCGACCGTCTATGTGAGGATCACCGCGGTGGTGGGGGAGTAAGCGGCGTTGTTGGGGTGGGGTGGACAGTGGAGTATGGGGAGATTCGTGATACTGGGAAGTTGTAAGAAAGGGGGGTCCGGGGGTTCTCCCCCGGGACGGTACATTCCCCCAGCATTCAAGACTGAGATTATTGGGAAGTTGAAAGAAAGGGGGGTCCGGGGGTTCTCCCCCGGGAATTGTTCTTTATAGATATTCCTAGGTTGTCTAGTCCTAAGTACTAGAGTTTACCGTTCCGGGGGAGAACCCCCGGACCCCCCTTTCTTTCAACTTCCCAGTAACACTCAATAAAAAGCCCTGCTTCAATGAAAATAACCGTCAACGCTATAACCGAAACTACTTTAGCCACTACACAATCACCCTCAACCCAGCTAAGCACGCTAAGCACGCGCCCAATCCACGACCGCATCCTCGCCCGCCTTCTCCCGGATCAACCGATGGCTGAGATCCCACAGCGCGGCCCCCAGCACCGGATCCGACGCCTGGCTGCTCTCTTTGCCCGGCTGCGCGACATCGCTGAAATAATACCCGTTCCACCCCTTCTCCTCGACCTCGGGGCTCGTCGCCGCCCACAGCGCGCTGAACGAGCCCTGCTCGACGTTGCGCCCCACCGCCAGCATCACCTTGGTTAGGAGGTTCCCGAGAATCCCGGGGTACGCCTCCTTCCACTGCTGCTGCATGGCCGTATTCACCTGTCCTTTGTCAGCACATGATCCACCCCAGCAAGAAAACGGAAGAACGTACAGCACCAGGATGCACCGACAGCGCATAGATGTTGTCGCCATTCGGCTTGATGACCCGATCCAGCAGCCCGTACTTCACCCCGAGGATGATCGCCAGCTTGGTGCGGCCGTACAGCTGGGTGTTGCCGACGTCCGGGTTGTTCAGCTCCTCGAGCGAGGCGAAGTGCACGTTGGGTGGGGCGTTGCGGTGCTGCTCGGAGGACTCGAAGACGATGCGCGGGGCCGGCGTGTCCGGCAGCTTCGAGGTCTTGCGGAGGAGCGGGTAGAGCTGGTTGACGACGTAGAACTGGCCCAGCCAGTTGACCTGGAAGTGGCGGTCGATGCCGTCGGCGGTCTCGCCGTATTGGTTGGCGTTGATGCCGGCGGAGAGGATGAGCTGGTGCAGCGGGGGTTAGTGGATGCTTTTGGTTTCGCGGAAGGACAAGCGGGGGTGCACTCACCAGGTCTAGGCGCTCTTCTCGCTGGCGGATCCCCTCGAACACCTCCCGCACTTCCTTGAGGTTGCCCATGTCGCAGGGCACCCATTCGATCTGGGCCCCCTCGCCGGCCTCCTTCTTGATGGATTCAATGGCTGACTGCCCTTGTTCTTCTTTGCGGTTGACCATGATGACGCGGGCGCCGTTGAGGACGAAGGCGCGGGCGACCTCGTAGCTGTCTTGCTAAGTTCGAGCACTTCATCAACAACAAGAATTGGGGGGCCAGCTTACCCGATGCCCAAGGCGCCGCCGGTGATGAGCGCCACGCGACCGGTGAGGTCGTGGATCTCCTTCTTGGGGCCGAGGATGGGTTGGAGAACTGACTGCATTATGAATATTTCTGTATGTGTCTGTGCTGAAGAATGGAAATCAGAAGATTGGGGAATGCTGGATAAAGCATTGGGTTAAATAGTCTGGTGTCAACACGGCGTAAGTATGATATCAGCCCTGCCGGCATCCACTTTTCCTCTTCGGGCCAACCCTCATCTACGAAACAGGGCACCCTGGACACTAGCTTATTAGACAATCACTGCGTGTATTCCGCCTGTTGCACCATCACCATGTATGTGTAATGAGTCTGTCACTGTCACACTTCCATGGATGGCATTCACGTGTCAGTAGTTGGTAGTTGATCAAGACTGATCTCAGCAAGGGCCGATAAGATAAGAGCTACCCCACCTACGTCATCCCCCAGCACCCACGGCCAAAGTTCATCTTTATCTTTCTCATTTCCAACAATCTCCCGTGGGCATCTCTTCTCACCTCCCTCCTAACGCCCCTCAACAACATCACAATGTTCAGCAGCAACAAAGCCCCAAACCACCGCCTCTGCATCACCGCGGGACCGCGCTACGACCCCCAAACCCACCAACTAGTCCACGTCAACGGACCCTCTCCGATCCGCATCCGCAGCCCGCACCTCACCGCCGACATCTGGGTGCGCATCAAGGAGTACACCGGTACCCTGCCCTGCCCTGCCCCCTGTCCCTGTCCCTTTCCCAAACCCAAACCTAATAAAACCAACCTCCTAACCCCGAGAATTTACGCAGGCTACCCCGAGGGGTCCCCCAGATCCAATCCCTACTTCACGCACCCCACCACCGCCGCCAACCGGTACAGCATCACCCTCTCCCTCGCCTTCGCGGAAGATGTCAACGGCGACGACCTCCTCTTCGGCAACGACTTCGACCACCCGATCCGCGACTACCTGCCGCCGGGCTTCAACACCGCCTTCAAAGTCGTGAAAACGATGCTCGACCCCTCCATCGACGGCGACGCGTACAGCGACACACCGTACCTGTATAGCCCGGCGTTGGCGTCGTGGAATCAGTTCCGGGTCGGGGAGGTCGTTCCCCGGGATACGAAGAAGCCTGCCGTGGAAGCGGATCCGGTTGTTCTGGAGGGGGCGGAGGGGTCCGGGAAGGCAGTGCGGGAGAGTTGTGGCTTGCCCGCGGATGCAGCGGCGCGGACGAAGTATTTCCGCGACGAGGAGAAGCGGAAGGGGTTTGTGTTGGAGAAGGGGCGCGTGTATGAGGCGGACTTTGGGAATCCGTATCTGGATTTCGAGGGTAGGCTTCTTTCCCTCCCCCCTCTGCTTGGTTTCTTGGGGTTGCGGCAGGGTTTGCTGACTGTGGCAGAATTCGCGGTCCATGTCCCCGGGATCACGCTGAATATCAGCAAGTATGTGAGCGAGAAGAACAACGTGTTGCGGTACGTGTTGAAGAACCGGACGACCGGGGAGGAGTATTTGGTCATCGGGTTTACGGTTGTGCTGGACGGGGCGCAAGAGAAGACCGACGATGGGGATGAGGTGGACTAGACACCTGTGTACAGCCATACACTGCCCCTCCATTCTGATTTCTATCATATACCGTTCCGGGGGAGAACCCCCGGACCCCCCTTTTTTTCAACTTCCTGGTAAAGGATATTCCCGTCTTGATTAGATACTTTATGGGTATATAGTAAATACAAGTGCCATACTTCAGACTGTTCAATACTTACTCCAGATAAGTTTTACTGGGAAGCTGAAAGAAAGGGGGGTCCGGGGGTTCTCCCCCGGACGATATATTCTCCCAGCACTTAGAATTAGGCTTGCTGGGAAGCTGAAAAGAAGGGGGGTCCGGGGGTTCTCCCCCGGGACGGTATATTCCAGTACGTAGGATTGAGATACGAAGTCTACGCTACCCCTTCCCCCGAACACTGGACATACTCAGCCTCGCCTCCCCCCTCCCCAACCGCCGCGACGCCACCACCACCCCCGCACTGAGCACCGCCCCGGCGTAGAAGAAATACTCGACATACATCCTGGCCTGCTGCCCCCTGACCATCTTTGAGTCGTACCCGAACGTATTCCGAAACGCAGGGCCCTCCACATACCCCACCAGATCCGTCAGGGCCAGCCCCACCGACGAGACGATCAGCAGGGGAATGAAGAAGCCGAGTTCCTGTACCCGACCGTTAGCACATGTCTACCACTAGATAATCCCACCATCAGGCAATTATATAGTAAGGAAACATCCCACTCCCATGAGACTATAATCAAAAGAAAAGGAAGGAAGAGACAACATACCCCACCGCGTAAATGCCGCGCCGACCAAACGGCCCAGCCCATGCGCGCCGCCGCAACGCTCATCCCCAGCACCTCCACCACGTCCACCGCCACCCACAGTCTCTTTTCCGTACGTTCCCAGCGCTGCAACTCCGGGAAAGTAAATCGCGTGGGGTGAATGACTCGCTCGACGAGACGCGTCTGCACGCCCAGCGCAGCGAGCACCAGTGCCGCCAGCACTGCGACCAAAATGGAATGCGGGATGAGAATCCACCGGTCGATGGTCCGGTGGCTTGCGCCGTGGTGCAGGCGGCGACACAGCGGGAGGAGGATCAGGCTGAAGAGGGCGAGTTTGCCGAGGCTGATGAGCCAGGTTATCGGGAGGAGGGCCTGCGTGGCTTCTTGGGCGTTGAGGACGGCGCATTCGCCTAGGGTCGTCGTTATGACTGCGATGGTTTGGGCGCTGCGTTTCGTTGATTAGACTGGTATCCTTTCGGCCAGAAGGGGGTGGGGTGAGTGCGTACAGCAGCATGAATGTCACGGCGATGGTGAGGAGCAGCCACTGTGCTATCGATTTACGCTTGCCCTCGCTGGCGAGGAATCGCGCGGCAGTGAAGAAGAGGAGCCCTAGGAAAATGACGAAGTAGACCGCGTAGCAGACGATGGTGATGCGCGCGGTGCTGCTGGAGAAGGCGTGGTGGGCGCGACATTGTCCGCTCTTTGCGCGGGGGAATACTCCCCCCTGGCTGGCGAGCTGGGCCATAGTGGTGGTGGTGGTTTTCACCAACATCCAGAAAAATGGTCAAAGGGGGCATAAAAGCATACGCCGCCGGGGACAGCTTCGCTACTTAAATTAGCCCAGGCCAGCACGCATCTGGCTGGGGCACGGGGCAAGCGCAGGGACGTCGATCGCGGGAAACCCGCCCTTCTAATTGGGTGCACATGCCAAGTCAATACGAACAGGCGCAGCTTAACCTCGCAATACGAACCCTAGTTTCAGATCGATGCCCAGGGCCACCAGCTGATCGGGGCAACTGACAGCTGACGGATGATCGACCATTGCCTTTTGTTGTTACTGGGGCATACATAGTACTCAGTCGTAAAGTGGTGTTGAGTACTCTGTGGAAGTGGAAGACTACTACTTCTCATACTCCGCCAGCGCCCAATCCAGCAACGCGGGATACCACCGCCGCCCCACATCCTGATGGCTCATCACCCGATGGATCAGCGTGCCCTCGCCCACCCTCCCTTTAAAGATCCGATTGAAGGTCGCCTCCGCGTCCGACCGCACCGTCTCGTCGCGCACCAGCTCCCGAATATGCGCCGGGATCGCCAGGGCCAGGGCCCCGCTCTCCGCCGACAGATCCAGGCTCATCCCCTGGAACACGGGGATGGAGAACCGCGGCCCGAGAGGCGTCCCCTGTGCATCGACAAAGTTCTCCATGGCCAGATTCACCCGGTGCGTCGTCGCCGTGCACACGCCCCCCGTGATCGCCTCGAGGGCGCGGCCGATGTTCACCACCAGGGACCCCGGCAGCGGCGGCGCCGCGATCCACTCCCCGGCCTTGTTCTGCACCTCCAGCCCCGTGTGCGGCGTGGCTTGCAGCAGGAAAGTGAGGAACTCCGAGTCCTTGTGCGCGCCCACGCCCTGCGACTCGGACGCATCGCGGGGTGGCGGGTACTTGATCAGCTTGAGTTTCTGCTGGATGGGGTCCTCGAAGAAGCGGTCGAGTGCCGTGGGCGCCATGTCGAGCGCTTCGGAGATGAGGCTCCGGAAGGCGGCGGCTAGTGGATGGGTTTCGGCCAGGTAGGCCTCGACGGCGTGACGGAAGCCCGGGATGGCGGATTCGTCGGGCCACTGTGTGCAGTTAGTTGGGTTGTTACCCTGGGTTGAAGGTGGAAATGTACCTGGTTTGGGCCACGGATGTTGCGGTAGAGAGGTGCGTCTGGGCTTGGGGGAGGGAGCTCGGTCGCAAACTGGCGGAACTGGTCAGTAGTGTACTGAATGTACTGCAAGTTCATCGTGTATGTGTATCGGTGAAGGCACGCACGTCGAATTGTTCGCGGTAATCAGTCTGGCGGGCGGTGGTTTCAGCCCCTAGTCGCGAGTAGCCCAGGAAATGCTTGCTGTTGACCATCTCAATTTCCAGCTTTTTCGCGAGTGGGAGATCGAAGATGGCAGCGGTCTGTTTCATCAGCTCGTCGCGGACGCCGGGCGCGACCGGGGCGTTGATGAGGTAGAAGAAGCCCACGTGGACCAGTGCATGGCGCAGACTGGCGAGGAACTGGGGTTTTGTGGCGGACGAAGTGGCGAGAGCATAGTCAAGGACCGGGATAGCGGTAAATGAGGGCGTATCTACAGTCATGTTGGAAGAAGAATGAAGATGAGGTGGTTGGAGATGGTAAGATGAGTGAGGGGTTCGTTCCCCGGTCGGCAGCTGCGATATCGGGCGGGGAATGAAACCTCATTTGGCGTCATCCCCGACACTTATGGCGAGCATAGCCTCTACAAATATGTCTATTCGCTTGCTGTATATTCTCTACAAAACATGCTTCTGATATCACTCTATCTTCTGTCTGCTCCCAGGGCGTCAGCTATCGAATTTATCGTACTCTACTCTCTCTTACACGATGGATAAAACGGCGCACTTTTGTTACTTCACCGAACTGAAATAGAAAAGCGTTTGGAGTGTGGCAGATTCTGTCCTGACCTTCTATAATACAGTGTCGAGTGTCAATGGAAGCCGAATGCAATATTCCGTTAGCGTTCTCCCGTCATAGCTCCTATGTTCTCCTTCTGGCCGAATGAAGTCGTGAACTGACGTCTGCCATGCTGACACTACAGTCTCGTGAACGCAAACTACGGTTCGCAAGATACTCCGGTAGAAATGAAAAGCGAAATAGTGGCCAATCCTCCGGGCAATAGAGAGCCATCAGGATCATTACATATGCTAACTTTGGCTCATCCCGATCGATGGCGACTGATATGGCCCTAAACAGATCTTCCAGCTCGTTGGGGAGCGAGCCAAGGCGCTTTCTCAGATCTTCTAGGGCGTCACCACTCAGAATGCTGTGCTCAACTCTCTGGATGGTGAGTTAGACCCAGAGGAAAACACCCTCAGATTTGTATGCAATCTCCGTCTCAAGGCGCTGCCTTTGATCTGATGTCCCCATCTTGGGATAGAGCTCGCTCGAGCTCAAACGGTGCTGGACAAAGCTTAGAATATCCTCGTGAATTACTTCGTGCAGCCGCAGCATCGGGCCGGTTTTGAAGGCCTCCTGCAAGTCAATGTCCTCTCGACTGGCGACACAAATCTTGACATCGGCTGACCTGCAAGAGATCCAATCTTTCAGGGACTCATTCATATGGACCTGGTCCCCTTCAAACTCGTCAATGTCGTCAATAAAAAATGGCTATCCTATGGGTACGATAAACACTGTCCGTTTCTCTCAACTTGCGAAATGCGTCAAACACCTCATGATCATCATCGATTACTGGTCGTAACCCGCTCAAAGCAGCCTGCCATTGTCTGGGAAACAGCAGAGGTATGAGCTCCAGCCATTGAGACAGAAGAGAATGCAGAAGCCCTCGCACCAGCCCGCGAAAGCTCTTCTGAAGCGTCCGGCCGTGCTTCCAAAAGAAAAGTCTGGCTAGCACCAGGGCTTTGGTTGTTGACCACAGCTTGAGATGCTTTTCTGTTGCCTTATGTTGGCAGATGCACTTCATCAGAGTGGACTTGCCTGACCCTGGCTTTCCGGAAATATGAGGAAGGTTGATGGACCAAGCACACGAAAGGGATCATCAAATGTTCAGAATTTCCCTCGAAGCTGTGAACGCCAGCTGTGAAGCTATACGATGGGATAATAACATGGTCCTTAACTAGAGGTATTGTTCGCCCAGTTAGACGGTCGTACTTGCTGGGTGGTGCGACTATCAAGGAAAGAAACACTAGGGACTTTGTAGAGGGACTGCTTTCAAATATTTCAGAGGCATTCACTTCACAACACCCAAGGCAGAAAGTGCGATCCAAGGCACCCAATCTGGTTTTCCGTCCGCCGCTTCTCATCTCTTTAGCCCATTTTCCCCTCCTCCTCTCCTCCCCTGCCCTATCAACTTCTCCGTCTTTCTTCCAATCAAGCTTGGTGCACCATCGTACACGCAATCCTACCGCGCCGGCACCCCGCTGTATACCGCGATCCTGTAGTTCTCTTTGGGCTCCAGCTCCGTCCAGCTCTGTCCAGCTTATTTCCGCCTCTCCCAGCTCCCTTCCCAATCTCTGACTACTTTATTCGCCATGGGTACTATGCTCCCATCCTCTGAGACCGTCCTCTCTGAGATGGCTACCGGCGGTAGTATATCTAAGCTCGTGCTATACAATCAGAATACCGTCTGCTTTAAATCCAAGCGGTTTTTATAGATGATATAAATATCTGCGACCAGCAACCCCAGCGGCCAGTTCTAATATCTAGTTTATACGACGGTACTCGGTTACAGCGTTCGAGCAGCTATGCTGACCAAACGGCAATTGGTGGGTGATCTATGTATTCCCGGTCTACAAGTTCTGGCTTGCGCGGAATAGTATTATCTTCAATTTGATAGGTCTTCCGCTCTTATACTACTAGATCCAGGTCTATCTTTGCTAACAGTCTATCGGCTCTATTTCGATCCGATTTCATATCTTGCGCGTGGTCATAAACTGCTGATTGCCAGCCGCGGTGTTTTTCAAGCCAATTCTTGTATCTATAATATAAGTAATGTATTCCGCGATGCAATCTACCTGCCCGAGTACTAGAGTGTATACTGCGCAAGCTGTCGTCTTATTCAAGCCGACAAGTTCTGTACTATTCGAGATGCCTACCGGGAGAAATACTCATTCTCAGCAGTCGGCCAGGATCTCTGTCTATTCTTCAGAAGCTTAAAAATCAAACTGTTTTACCCGCCAAGTAATGGCAGACGATATCCGGGTCAGAATGTTTAGTTATAAACCGACAATGCTGGGTTTGTTTCTACGGTTCTTCTACCACCACCCCTCTACTTCTGCCCTTTCTAATAATGTCTTCGTTTTTGTTCTTACTTCCCTTTTTCTTCCGACTGCGTCGACGGCGTGGTGTGTATCGAGCCGCAGTCCCCTGTATCCGACAACTTCCGAGTGACAAACAAGATTCTACCGCAGATCATAGGAATGGTATCAAGAATAAACCAGGAATGCCACATCAAAGTGCGTACGATTGTAAACAAGAAGTTCAAATTCTACTTCTTAGAGAAGTACTATCAACACCATGCATGGCTCGGAGTACCAAATCTCGACCCAGAAGCCCAGAACAGAAGCTATCCAGAACACCGATCTATCCCCCTTTCGACTCCGCAGAGAAGTATTCCGTGGACGCGCAACTACGCCAAGTCTCCGACGCAGCAGCGGATCCCACCGCGTCATCGTCGTTATCATTCAAATCGTGTTCGCGCGCCGCCTGGCATGCACTTCCCCGAGCGTTAGCAGATCCACTATCCTCCGGATCGTTGGAGGAATACTCACCGGCATCCTCCGCAATGGTTCCAAGCGGCCGCGGCGTCCCTTCCCGCGAAGCGGTAGAAGCAGTAGCAGTATCACCACCTCCTCCCTCTCACTCCAGCGCACTCCCCCCCTCTCCCTCCCCCTCCCCCTCCGTATCCTGCAGGCCAGCAGCAGGCGGAGGCGGCCAAACGACGGCATTCACATTGTCGGCGACATCGAAGAAGAACCGGCTGGTGATGGACTCATCGGCCCACCAATCGAACTGGGTGCGGCGTTGACGCTGCCACCGGGTCGCGACGCGTTGCCCGCCTTCACCCGCCGAGCCTCGCGCCTCGAACGTCCAGAACATGACCTGGTTGCCGCCGAGACAGCCGCCGCCCGCCAGCATCATCGCCGTCGGGATGCGGTAGTTGGGGTCCGCCAGCGCGCTGCGCCAGAAGAGCAGCAGCTTGGTGATGTACCAGCCGGGGTCGGGGCTGGGCCCATTGATGAACCAGAAGAACGGCCGGCCCCGGATGAAGGCCACGACGGTCTGGATGGCAACTGTGTTGGTTGGGTCGGTGCCCCACGGGACCTGTTGGACGATGTCGAGCAGGCCGTAGTCGCCTAGCGGGTGGAGACGGCTGGTGATGCGGTCGCGCCAGCAGGGGATCTCGGGGACGCGGTGTGACATTCTGGTCGCTTGTGGGTGGGTTGGTGGTGTGTCTTGGTTGTGTACCTTGGTTGTGGGATGTTGGTTTAAGGTGTGATGTTGATGAAAGTGTGGGGGGAGGGATTTGTGGTGAAGAGGGTTTTATATCGCGCATGTTCGTTGGTTGGTGGAGAGAAACGCTCCTGTTCATGGGTCTTTCAGTGTTCTCATGTGTTAACTGTCGCGGGGGATATAAGAAAGGTCTTTGTTGTTGTGGCTTTCGGTGATGCCGGCGACCGAAATGTTCCATCATTCTTTATCGCTGGGCTCATGGCTGATCGGTCGCTTGTCCTGATTTCTGTTCACAATGGAAGTGAAAAGAGGATCGATCGGTGTTGGTGAATACCCCTAACATGGAGATGCACCCAAGAAGTTTTGTTAGAAACCATTCCAAGTGTATCGTGCTTTCTTCAGTCTAAAACGGCTGGGGCTGGTCAACTAAGTCAGCCGTCATATATGAAGCTTGGTATATCTGGTGCCTCTTGTTGGTTAAATGAAAGGAGACACACCCGTTAAGATGAAACATGGAACCAAACTAGGCAGGACAGTCTTGGGGAACACAAATCTGTGATGTGCTGAGGCCCATGACGTCAGTAGAAGTGCCCAATGTCAAAAGAAATAACACTGAAATCTTCATTCGATATATACCAACTCCAACCACTAAATCCTAAAGCAGTAGAACCATCAATCGTGTCTTCATCGCATCCATTACTATCAACAGATATCCAGAACTATCAACATTTGTACATGAAGTCTCCATCCCCAAATCCCCCAATCTAATAAGCCAAGAACATAGTCACCGCAAAGGCCAAACCGGCCGCTGAGCGGTGCAGCATACTCTTACCCGAGCCGCTGGTCGTCAGGTACAGGGTGGGCTCGTACTCCGACGGTACGGTGCTGTTGGTCGTGCCGTTCCAGCAGTAGTCGTTGAAGCAGGTGGTGCAGATGTCCGGCAGGGTGGTGTTGGTACGATAGGTCGAACGCTGCAAGATGGCGCAGGCAACACAGGAAGTCCAGTTCGAGTCGAGGGTGCCGTTGCCGCGGGTGACCACGTTGTAGCCGTTGGTGATGACGTTGTCGCGCTCCTCGTCCGAGTAGGTCAGCTTGAAGGTGGAGAAGTTCGACTCGTAGGTGTAAGGCGAGTTGGCCAAGTACACGACGAGCGGAGCAGGACCAGACAGGTTCTTCGGGTCACAGCCGAAGAAGGTCGGGCGCTTGTTCAGGCCCAGGTTGACGAAGGTGTTTACATCCGGGACAGGAGGGAAGACGGTGCCGTTGGCAATACCGGAGCTGTTCAAGCTGCGCTGGTAGGTAGCCACCAGCGAGGTTCCGTTGGGCCAGTATGAGTCGGTATCGGCGGAAGAATCAATAGCAAAAATCACATCCACGTGCCGGTCGGGCTGGATGAGGGGGTGCAGCGGGATGTTCTCGAGATCCTCACCACCATCGACAACGTCCAGGGTGGCAGCGGTGGCATAATCTTCGCTGGCCTCCCGGTACCCGTAGAAGGGGTTGGGGGAGTACACGGCAATGTCGTCACCCCGCTCACCCAGGTCTTCCAGGATGTCGGTCAAGGCATTCTTGAAGATCGTGGGGATATCGGTACTGTTGATCTGCAGCAAGAACTGGTTGAAGAGAGTGGAGGAGGATCCCATGATGAAACCGGCATTGTCAAAGCCACGCACGCAGGTACCGTTCTCCGACACGCTACCGTTCTCGAATCTCGAGCCGAGGTACTCCAACGGAGCGAAGGCATAGACAGATGGATCCCAAGAGCCGAACTCCCACGGGTTGACCTCGTAGACCGTCGCATTGGTCTCAACAATGACCTCGCCGGGGTTACGGCCATCCATGACCACAATAGGCATGGGGTATTGGCCGTTCTTGAAGTCGTCCATCAGGGAAATGGAGGACCAGGTGTAGTCAGCACCGCCGTCATCCTTGGAGGAATTGACCAGCTGGAAGGAAAGGGCACGGCCCCAGTAATCCGAGAAGGAGGTGTTGAAACCGGCCCCCGATTTCCCGTCCACCTGATCGGTGATGGTCTTCCAGTACTCGTAGGTGCTCAGGACTTGGATGGTGTCATAGTTAGGACCCTCGAGCAAAGACTTGGAGAATCCCCAGACCCGGTCGCTAGCCTGCAGATTGCTGATGGTGGAGAAGTTGTTGACAAACATGGAACCAACCAGCCAGCTACCACCACTCAGACCAGCGACATAGGTAGCAGACTGCAGCAGACCACCCAGCTGACCGGTGTTGGTGGAGTTCTCCGTGCGGCTGTCGAAGGCCTTCAGGCCACCCGCGCCGTTAGTCAGCGCCCGGTAGCCACCCCCGGAGGCCGCGACGGCAATGTTGGGGATGTTGGAGATGTTGCTCGCGTGGGTGTTGAGATAGGAGGTGACGTCAAAGCCGCTGAGGTTCAAGCGACCCAGAAAGTCCTTCATGGGCTGTAGGGTGACATTGCGGCGCACCTTGAGCCATTCGGTCTCGTTGGTGGAGAGGTTGTCGGCATCACGGATGCTGGGTCGGGTGGACGGGCAGGTCACGTTGTCGGGGGTGTAGCCCTCGGGAGCATTGGGAAGCGCCCGAACAGCCACCTCGACCGCCGCAGGAGGCAGCGAGGCGGCATGGGCGACGCCAGCCGCTGCCGCGACCGCAAGAGACAGCTTCATGATCGACAGGGGAGCGTGGACAGGGAGGAACCTGACCAGTGAAGGGGGGGAGGAGAGAGGCAGATCAAAGTCGCGAGGAAAGAGAGGAAAGGAACGGTGCAAAAAGCGCACTCCCCAATTCCCTTATATTCTTCGAGAACACCAGGCGATCTGCGGACCCCCCGGAAAGCCTTGGGCGATGCAGCTCCACTGGGGCCGAAAGAAATTGAGCTGAAAGATGGGTCTGCATGACTGCTCACTAATCGGCTAGAAGCCGACTGCCGGCTGGCAATAATGCCCAAGGGGTCAGAAACTTAAGACCAGGGCAATTGTGATTGGGACCGGAGTGGCAGTGAGTCCGCCAGCTCCATCTGGTCCGCAGGCAGCAGCATTGCTCCGAAGTTATCCCTGGATGGATTGTTTATGATTTCGATCATGATGTCACGGACCAGCACCTGAGCAGACCATCTGGTGTGGGCGGATATGGACGGATAGAAGCGAATGAATGGCAGTGGTAAACGAGTACGAAGGAGGATGGAGAAACAGGCGAACAGCACTAGAGTGACTAGCGAGCCTCAACCCCTGAAAAGCAGTGCACAAGTGCACAACAGTGGAGATGGGGGGAGATTGGGTGTTCGTGCGTTGAATCAACCAAGTGGGAATGAAGAGAAATGCCTGCCAAGTGTTCCATGCCAAATCGGGCAACCCGAGCGACTAGCGCTGACTCAGCGGGGTATTTTTGGCCGTGGCTGGTGTGCCGGGGGCTGGGGCTGGTGCATAAGCATGGCGGTGCACAGCTGACATAAGCGCACATGACATCAGCCCGATGTCAGCCAAGGTGCATGATCCTTATGTGGTGCATAGCATAGCATAAATGGCGTCACCACCGTCACCACCATCTCCATGACATCACCACCATTGCAACCTCTTGCCGATCACAACGACACACTGCACATATAAAGCAGTCGAATCTGATCATCGGAGTTCTCATTTCCATCAAACTATCACTGAACTGTCAACTACTCAACTTCCACCAAGAACCTCTCAATCACCATGGACAAACTCTCCGGACTCGCATCCAAGCTCGGCGGCAGCCACGGCAGCAGCGGCAGCAGCAACAACAACCAGGAAGACTACGTCGACAAGGGTACGTATTCACCACTGTCCCCGTGGGTCATTGACTTTTGCCAATTCCTGCTTCTTGCATTCCACTTGCTTTGCATCTGCAATGCACCTGCCCTCTCCCGAACCCTCTTACTGACATCCTGACGAAAAGGTGTCGACAATATCGAGAGCAGATTCGGCGCCGACCCCCAGAAGCTGCGCTCCACCAACGAGAAGGCCACCGACTTTGCTCGCAACAAGTTCGAGAGCTCCACCGGGTAAGTCTTTTCCCTCGATGACCTTGTCAACAAATGAAGCTAATCGGGCCTAGCCGCAACGTTCCCGACAAGATCTCCAACTAGATGCTCGTGCGATGATGTCGATGATTTGCGATGATGATAACCTTATGACGATGCGGATTGCGCTTGTATGATATGATACAGTAGGACCAGACCTACGATAATCTCTCGAATGGACTACCATAATATCCTGTGAAATGATTCCTCATTCCTTCTGTAGTCTATTGCCGTACTATCTCCACCGCCGAGTCGACAACCTGTCCAGGGTCAGTGATTGCATTTGACTAAAGTTATACCCGTTATAAAATTAGAGGGACTAGATCTGCTCAGGTTGGATGTCTAGGTCCCCTGGGTATTTGAAAGTGAGTAGATACGTCCAGTGGAGGAGATGTCGGTGTCGGACCAAAAATCGTACGTCACCTGCAGCTAATCACCCATCGTCACCCCGACGATTTTCCCCACCTGAACAGCACGAATGCCATGGCATGGCACAGTATAAGCCCTGGTAATGATCGATCGCGCAAAGCTTGATCCGGTCAATTGATCAAATGTCCGACCCAGAACTCCCTAGTGGCTCGGCCGAACTCGGGAATATATCTCCCACGTGCACGATGTTCCGGTCACAGAAAAAACCAACTTATAGATGAGGAAAGATTTCAAGATATGCCAAAAGACAGGGAAATGGTCCGAGATCCTATTGGGTGTAATAACGCCTGTCGAACCTAATGCCGTCCGCCGTTTCTGGGAGTGTGGCACCGTGTGCGGTGAGAATGCAGCAGCTAACCTCCGGCTGGTATTATACGGGACCTGCTGGGCATAGATGCAGACCTTCACCTGTTGCCGCCAACAAAAGCATTTAGCGGACGAACACCCAATGCGAACCCCTTGTGAGAAAATTGATAATTCAGACCAGCTACATCTCCTGCCATTTCTACAAGGATTCTCGTGAAAACGATAAGAAAAAATATGCATTCATAACCAGCGTGGTATACTCAGCTATCGCAGCAACGCAAACAAACCCAGTGCAGCAGCCACCTCTTCCAGAGAGTCTCGTCTACATCCGCTGAAACTGCCTCAGTAGTCCCTGCAGCCCGACCTCCTTCTTCGGCGCCAAATACCGCGTGTTCATGCGACACAGCTGCAACCAATTCGCGCTCTGCTCGGGCATCGCCTTGCCCGCCGCCCGATAACTCCGCTCCAGCCGCTCGTAGTACTCCTGGCTCTGCACGTAATCCCGGGCCTCGAAGTACAGCTTGGCCAGCATGTCCAGCACGGACTGCACCTCGACGCAGTCGGCGCCCATGCGCGTCTCACACCACCCCAGATACCGCAGCAGCCAGGGGGAGGCCAGCTCCGTGTGCGAGGGGTGGGCGCCCACGAACGTGCCCACCCCGATCCGGCCCTGCGACGCATACATCACCCCCATCAGCGCCACGGTCGCCATCGTCTCCGGGTGCTCGGGCCCCAGATACTCCTCGCTGGCCGCCAGGGCGCGCCGGAAGGTCTCCGACGCCGCGGCCGTGCCGTCGGGCTCAAGCATCTGGCTCGCGGCCAGGAGCCGCACGCTCTTGATGGCCAGCGGGTGCGACGCGCCCAGCAGCTGCATCAACTCCTGCGACACCGCCGCAAAGGCCTGGCCCATCGGATCGACGGCCGGGTGGAAGCGCATCGTGACCAGCTGCGTGGTGTCGTTGGAGCGCAGCGCGACCATGTGCTCGGCGGTGTCCAGCACCGCGCCGTAGACGCGGATGTGCGTGGGGCCGAGCACCTGGCGGAGCCGCTCGGTGAGCTTCTCGAGCGCCTGCACGGCCTCGGCGCGCCGCTCCAGCGCCCCGTACGCGACGGCCAGCCGGCGGCGCGTCAGCAGCGTGTCGAGCTCGTCCTCGCCGATGCTCATCTGCTGGCGCGCCAGCACGTTGGCGCACACCGACTCCGCCTCCTGGCCTTTGCCCTGGTGCGCCAGCACCTCGCCCAACAGGCTCTCCGCCTTCATGGCCAGCGGGTGTTTGGCGCCGAAGACCCGCTGCGCGTGGGTCGACACCCACTGCGCCCATTCGGCGGATTTCGGGTAGTAGGCCGCCTCCAGATCGATCTCGGCCAGGTGGTACCCGATCTCGAGGGTGCTGTGGTGGTCCGCCCCAAGGTTGCGCAGGTGCTCCTGGAAAATGGCGTACTCGAGCTTGCGGGCTTCGTCCCATTGCCAGTTGTTCTTGAGGGCGGCGGCCTGGAGGGAGCGCGGGTCGGTGTCGACGGCGGTGAAGAAGGCGCCGGTGACGCGTTTGGGGATGGGCGGGGGGCTCTGCGGCGAGGGGTAGGGCATGCTGCTGTTGACGGGGAGGCGGGGGGGAATGGGTGGTGGCGCGGGGTGGGGGGAGGTCGAGTTGGCGCTGGAGGGGGAAGGGATGTATCCCTGTTCTGTGGCCAGGACCTGGTCGGCGATCTGCTTGATGTTGCCCTTGATCATCTTGTACATGGCGCCACGGGCGCCCACCTTGCACATCTGCGAGTGGTCGGCGTCGAGTTTGAGGCGGGTCTCGCGTTGGCCGGGGAGGCCCAGCACGGCGGATTCCTCGTCGACCACCAGCTAGACACATCAGCGCACTCGCACCCGATACCTGGACAGCTTTGATGCAACCCGTTCCACAACGAGGAAACGGCTTCGACGGGATACATACATGACTGACAGAGGCAGGCCCCACGCCCCCCAGGAGCACCTCCTTGCCCTCCACAAAGCTGATCACCCGGTAGTCCTCCAGCTGGTGGGAGAAGCGACTCGTCATCTGCCGCGTAAAGAGCGAGTTGTGCTCCAGACTGTCGAGCAGGTCGTTGCTGGCATGGCCCTTGGCCACGAATCGCGCCACCTTGGCCGCAATCTTACCCAATTCGACGCCTTTAGTGCCGCGGTGGGGGCATCCGAAGAAGACCAGCCCGTAGGTGTTGTTGCGGATGGCGTTGTACTTGGGGTCTTCGTGGGCGTTCAGCAGGGCCTATCAGCCAGCCGGAGCAGCCGTCAGCACATCGCACAGCACAAGGACGGATAAGAAAAGCGCACCTGCTTGATCACCAGCCCTCCCAGACTATGTCCCACGAATATGATCTTTGGCGGCCGTACATTCTACCCAAGTCAGCACCTCGTGGAAGTCGAAAACATCCCCAAAGCTGACGCAACCCTCGTAATACCCACTTCAAAGCCACCAGTTCACCCACCCAACCACAGTCCCCAAAGCAGAGAGAGAACATACCATATTCGGATCCCGCTCCAAATCCAACAGATTCAACAACGTATTCGCATGATCCTTCACACCGGCCGTGGACATACTCTGCGGACTGGTGATGTTGGAGTTATACCCATACACAAAGACGCGGGCCTGGGGGATGTCCTGGGGCAGGTAATCGCGGGGCCAGAAGGTGCCGTTGGCGTGGGTCCATGTCTCGTAGGGGTGGTCGACGCGACCGCGGGGGTTGAGGCCGTGGACGAAGACGAAGCTGCACCTGGTTAGTGTTTCTGCAATTCTGTGGAATTAACTAGGATGGGAGGGAAGAGGGGCGTACTCGATCTTGGGCGGTCCGGCTGGGGTGAAGACCTCCTCGAGGAAGGGAAATTCGTGGTTCTCCATTTCTTTCGCCATGAAACCTGGTGATGAGGATGGATTTACATTAAGGGTCTAGATGGGATGACCGGAGATAGCTGGAGAGGGGAAAATCGAGGAGATGAAGGACACTCCTCCGGCTCAGCCGCAGCGCTGACCAGGGTAGGGTACATGGCAGACATCATGTGAGGGCCAACATCGCCCTGCAAACCCTCAAATAAACCCCATCCTATCGGTTGTCTTTACCCACGAGACTCCCACCTCCACCCCGTATCCGACTGCACTGCCAGTGACAAACTGCTCACGCCGCAGACCCTGACGCAAAACAAGGCGTGTGGATGTTCCGCGTGCGAGGCTGTACAGACCCCGGCCCTCGTCGCGGATAGGCCAGCGGAATACGAACTGCCATGCCGCTTACTTCTTGGCTCGCCTTGGACCCCTGACTGACATTCACTAATGCATTTATTCAAAGAGTCTTGTACTGTACTGTACCCCTCTGGACAAGAGCTGCTGCGGACTTGATGAAAGAAAGATGATCATTACCAGAACAATCACAACCATCACTCCCGGTTCTGCTACCACCCTCCCCCTCCCAATCTCACCCCCCCGAACACCTACCAGGCCCCAACCACCCCCGCAACAGGAATGTCAATCCCCGTCGTGTATGAACTGCAATCACTCAACAGATAGACATAGGCGCCGCCCAGCTCGCGCGGGTCGGCCAGCCGCGGCATGCCCCCGTAGTTCTCCATCTTTTGAGGCCAGTCCGGCGCCGTCTCCACGTAGTAGGTCATGGCGGTGCGCACGAACCCGGGCGAGACACTGTTGACCCGGATGCCGTGGGGGCTCCATTCCATCGCGAGGGTGTGGCACATGTTGCGCACTGCCCCCACCCACACATATTCCCGAATTAGCTGGAGTGGACTTGACGACGGGATCTGGATTGAGGGAACTCACCGGCAGCTTTGGTAGCGCCGTAGGGCGCGGACGGGGCGGCCTGCAAACTCAGTTAGTACAGTACACTTATCTTTTTCGATGACGGGGGGGGGGGGGGGGGTAGATGTACGCGATTCGGTCGATAAGAGGTCATACTGGCCGTCATGACGATGGACCCCTTGATGCCCAGCTCGATGAACTTGCGGGCCGCGATCTGGGCGCAGAAGTAGGATCCGTACACGTTCAGCCCAAACAGCCGCTCCACCTCTTCCCTGTTGAACTGCAACGCAGGCTGATGCTGCGTCATGCCCGCGTTGGCCACGAGCCCATCGATGCGGCCCGTCTCCGCCACGATGCGATCGATCGCCGCCTCCACGCTCGTCTGGGAGGTCACATCCGCCCCGAGGCAGTGGAAGTTCGGGTAGCGCTGTTGCAGCGCCCGGGTCTCCTCCTCGGGTTCCATCCGATCCAGCGAGTAGACGTGCTGGGCCGCGTTGGCGAGGCATACTTCCGCGATGCCGAGGCCGATGCCGCGGTTGGCGCCGGTGATGGCGATGACTTTGCCGGAGAGGGTGATCTGCCAGTTGAAGTCGGCGGGAGGCATCGTGCTGACGAAGGGTGGGGCCTCGTCGCGAGAGGAATTGGTGTTGGAGGAGCATGCCATGATGGTATGATTCTGCGAATCGGTCAGTCGTGAGAGGGTGATAAGTAATGGCTGTTCGAGTAGGGAATAGATTTAAAGTACTGTACCTGTAGGACCGGGATGACATCTAAGATCTGGAATCAGCTAATGCGCTAACATGGTGGTCCGACCTTTCATAAATATCCCTAGACGTGGCGACATCAGCACCACAGTCGACTATACAGTATGGCATGTCACATCCAGGATTTGACGTCACGTCGACTGGGTCCTTGTTCACGTAGCTCTGGCTCGGTCCAAAAATGGGGCCGTGGCCGTAGCCGTAGGGCGGAGAACGCAATGCATACTACCTAGTTAGTAGCTTGAACCCCCGCGATCGCGGATCGACTCCGGGACTGCGGCCGCCTCGGCTCGAGGCAGAAACCCCCACGATCTCTAGCCCTACGAAAAACCCGCTACCATGGATACAGTGACTTCAGTGACTTGATGCTACTGATTTTTCCTTTGGTCTATCCCGTATGTTGTGCGTCAAACAAGAGGTCTCACTTCAAGATGTTTCAGTCCATGACGTCCACCCCCATGACCAACGCGCGACTATGTTCAATACGGGTCTCTCCCTTTCATCATACATCATAGCTCATTCTATTATACAATGGATCATGGGCACAAACTTTCATCCGCAGGACCACGTAACACCTGCGCGGTCAGTGTCGGCACAGATGGTCTCGGTCTCAAGCCGAGTTTGGCCCGGAGATCTCAAAAATGGGTTCGGGAAGAAGGTCAGATCAGCCACGATCAGATAACCAGAACCCACTGTTTAATTCCATTCCCTGGCGTGATGGGTCTTCCTCTGGTATGACGGCGTGTCTATCGCAAGCCATGTGGGGGAGTGGATAGCCGAGGATCGGCCTTGGTGATCAATTAGGGAGATTGCCGAGGTCCAACCCGAAAATTTCATCCCACGGACCCAGCCAGGCTTTCTTTGGCGTACTCCGCCTCGACGGTATCCCGAAGCGAATAACTGGGCCAGCACACTAGCCGCTCGAATTTATCGATCAATTCCAGTAGTGCGGCTCGTTCATCAGGGGCGTGAACGCTCATTCCCGCTACATGAGTCAGTGAGTCGCCCTTCGCACCTGGGAGGGGAGCTTACCCCCAAATAAGCATTGCAGCGCCGTCAGTCCACCGGCAAGTTCGTCCTCCGCTACGGTCCGCGCAATGCCGCAAATGGTGTTCACAGCGGTCGTCAGGATCTTTTGTGCCGCCCGGTAGTCCTGGAAGTCACCGGTCGGGGGGCGATTGGAAATCACAAGGATTCTAGCGAGGCTATGGATTTGCAAAGCAGCCGCGTACGGGGGAGGATGGACCCATATGGGTGGGAAGACATCCGTGTACTGTACAGTGGGAAGGGGGTCAAATTCCGCCGGCAGGCAATCCTGCCATTCCTGCAGCATACAGAGGAGCTCGTTACCTCTTTCCAGCCGGCTCTGTATGTCATTCGACACCGTTTCTTCCTGAGAAGCGTAGTTGATGCATTGGGCAAGCAGATAAGATGCAAAGCAAGCTAGCTCCGGGGCGGTCCGGGAGGAGATGGGCCGCTCGGGTTTCCAGAAACTGAACAGACGCCGCCGTTGACGCATGGCCACCCAGGCATCTTGTCGCAGCCAAATCCACCAGATCGCTTGGCGCAGGCCACCGCAATCGCCGTTGTTGTTTTGGAATCTTTGTATCCAAAACACCCCCTTCAGATGTCGTTCCCAGTCACTGTTGGATCCATCCACCATTTCGTACGTGCTGATCAGCAAGGCAGTCGATATCAGCTCGCGGCTGGACGCGTAGCTCGGGTACTGCATCGCTTTGTTGAGGTAATTCAAGGTTTCATAGTAATACTGGACGGCCAGGTGGCGATCCACGGCCGGGAAATCCGCAAAGCTCTTCGACGATCCAGGCATAACAAAACCGGCACCCCGTCCTTGGTCTTTTCTAGCATGCCAAATTGACAGGTGGCGGGCTGAAAGAGCCAGAAGGGCTTTCATCAACCCCGTGTTCCTTACAGCAAGCTGAGGGACTATCGATGCTGTGTGGCGCCCGGGGTCGTAGAAGTCGAACCAGCGGCTTACATTCCGCACGAAGTGGCTAAAGAGCAGGTGCTCCAATTCTGTCAACTCGATTGGAGCCGGGGTGGACCATGACGAAGGGTGATCGGGGCGGACGGGCTGCTGGTTGGTGGTTGACGTGGGTAGGCGATTCTCCAGCTCGGGGTCGCGTCTGAAAGCTGCAGCCTGAAAACTCTCACACTCCCTCTTGGAGCGTGGAAGGAAGTTGGTTAAGGATACGGCTCCGGCGAGATGGTCCCCTGGGGCAGGAGACAGGACCAGACTGCGATCCGCATTGACGGCATCGTTGGCCAATAACTCGAACCAGCTGAGAGGGGCCAGTCTCGAGGAGACAGAGGAATCTGTTGCAGGAGACGGTGCTAAATCGTGGGTCGAGGGTGGCGAAGTGAGATAAATACTCTGATGGGATGGAAAGGCCGGTGTCAGTGTCTGGCTGGTCGAGACACCTGGCGATGCTGGTATGGAGGCGGAACGAGCCAAGGGCCGTGTTTCGGGTGCGGGAGGTTGATGCTGACAAGCATCGACCAGGACTTGCAGCGGCTCATGCACTTGGCTTCGCACCGGCAGATGCTCTATTGAGGGAGGTTTATGGATGGCGAGAGCAGGAGTAGTGATTGGCCCAGAGCCAGGAGCTTGAGGATGACTCGTGGTGCCAGTGCCATAGACACAGTCACGCTTGCCTTTGGCACACGGACCGCATTGTGGGCGAGCCTGCGTTCATGTCAGCACAAGCAGACTGTAGATTGGTCGGAAGACGAACCTCGTCGCATTTGACATGACGCTTTTTGCAGATCAGACTTTTACCATCAGTACAGTCGGTCGGACAGGCGGCAAGGATTGAGAAACAGTGCTCAGACGGATCGGAAGGATTATTGGGGAGACTGACCATCCAGTGGTGGCCCGCAATCCACGGCCCCGGGATTTTCGCGGCTTCCGAATGCCACGCGAACTCCCTTGCGTAGCATCGGCCATGTTGCCTCACTCACATCATCCGGGAAGCATGAGCGGCAATATGCAGCGTTTGCGCTACCGTATACAAAAATAATAATCAAGGGCAAACAGGGGGTGGAAGCTGGAACAATTTGGGGGTGGGCTGCGGTGACAGATCGCGTCGAGGTTCAACGATTGCCGACTCACGCGGGAGTGGAGCCAGCGAAAAAAAGCCGAACAGGAATCCACCTTTCGTCAGCCAATGCAGTGGTTGGAATTCGCTCAGTGGAAGCCCACGGAAGGGGTAGGGGACTGACTCGTATCGAGGCAGGGGTGGACCATGGTAGGGGTGCATGCACGATGTCATGCGGTCGGGGGGGTTGCTAGGTTAGCAGTGACCGACTGACTAAGTGTGGCTGCAAATAGTTAAGCATAAATTTAAAATGGTTCATACCGCCTACTGTGCGACGCACTGGACAGGGACAATGAGCATTGTTGGTCCCGGCGAAAATCTGCCGGTCATCGAGGGCGATCACCACCAACCAAAATGACTTGGCAAGGGAAGAATCGAACGCTGCAGATCTTGGCATCGGCTGAGAAGGGTCGCTACGGTGTCCTGGCGGCCATTGTGTGAGTGGTGCGGGATACATATTCCGGGCAGGAGGCTCACCATGCCAGCTACAACGTTGAGCACATTACAGCGTTTGTGCGGGCGGCCGAGAATCGCAGATCACCGCTGATTCTGCAGTTGTTTCCTTCATCGCTTGAGCAAACTCCGTCGCTGATTTACGCGGCCGCCGCTGCAGCAAGAAGCGCCTCGGTGCCGGTCTCGGTCCATCTCGACCATGCGCAGAATTTTGAGCAGATCCGTTACGTCGCGGATAACCTTCCATTCGATTCCATCATGGTGGACATGAGTCATCACGAGAAGGAAGAGAACCTCGCCAAGACCAGAGCGCTGCGAGAATATTGTCACGGGCGGGGAATCGCGGTCGAGGCCGAGACCGGGCGCATCGAAGGAGGAGAGGATGGGATAGTGGGAACGGACGACCTAGAGGGTACCTTTTCAGGTTGGATTGTTATTCCATGCTAATGCAGCTGTAGGAATTCTTACCACCTCAGAAGATGTGGAACAGTTCATCGATGCGGGCGTTGATTTTCTGGCTCCCAGCGTGGGAAACCTGCATGGAGATTACGGGCCACGAGGGCCAGAGTTGGACATGAATCGGTCAGTCGCTGAGAGGGATGATTGGCGTTCTGGACTGACTCGTGCAGGCTCCGCCAAGTGTGTCGAGCGTTGAACGGACGGGCACGACTCGTCCTGCACGGAACGAACGACTTTCCCCCGGAGCTGTGTCGGGCATGCGTTGAGGTGGGAGTAAGCAAGTTCAATGTCAACAAGCTGTTGTTGGCTCCCTGGCATGAGCATCTTCGCAAGAATGCACACAAGCCGTTGACGCAGTTGATTGGGGAGGGGATCGAATTGTTGACGAGAGAGATGGAGAAGTGGATGGATGTGGTGGGAAGCAGCGGCATGGCTGAAACAAGCGCGACGGCGACGCCTCAGGCAGGGACAAGGGTTTTGCTTCCACACTGATCTACTCGTCAAATTGGCACTTATAACCAGAGCTAAACTATTTACATCTGCAGTTCCACCTATTTACAATCATATTCACCCCGTAGTTTACCTAGTAGTCACCTACACAACAGGCCAGCCACTCGAGAAGTCAATGGTGTTCCACCCAAACAGCTTCTGGTCATCGGCGTAACCAATGGTGGTGTCGACATAGTGGTAGTAGAGCACAGGGCCGTAGGTCGGGTCGTCATACACGCCCCTATTCCAGTTAGCGATTTTCTTGTGTCTGTCAGGGGAGTCTTACTGTCCACCCGGTCCGTAGACGGTGCCGTGACTGGCGAGCACAATCGTGCCACCACTTTCCGTGCAAGCATTGCCATTCTTGTCCACCTACGCGGGTCAGCTTCGTCTCAAAGTGGTTTCCGTCGACAACTTACAAATCCGCCGGTCGCGCTGGTGGAGCGGCAGACCATGATCTTGTACTCCTCGCCCTGGGCCGGGCGGGAGGTGTCGTAGCCGCAGCAGGTGCCCGACGAGAAGAAGAGGTAGTAGTAGCTGCCGTACTTGAACAGGTAGGAGCCCTCCTCCGAGTGGGTGCCCGTCGCGTTGTAGGCGATGTTGTAGGAGGCCGAGCCGGCCGTCTTGAGGGGCGAGGCCATCTTGACCTGGTAGATATCGCCCCAGAAGGAGCCGAACTGGAGGTAGTATGAGCTGCCGTCCACGAGGAGGTTGCCGTCGATGGCGTTGTAGTTCTTAGAGGACGAGGAGGCGACGCCCACGGACCCGTGGTCGGTCCAGGTGTTCAGCTCCATCGTGGTGGACGAGGCCACTCCAATGGCAGAGTCCTGGGAGCCAAAGGTCGAGACGGAGTAGAGGCAGTAGTAGGTTCCATCGACGTAGCTAAGATCGGGGGCCTGCGCTGGTTAGCATGGATACATTGTGCAGTGTGCAGTGTACAGTCATGCAGTCATGCAGTCATGCAGTCATGCAGTCATACACTAGGACACTGATTCACGGAGGCGACGTACCCAGAGGTCAGTGTTGCCGGACAGGTCGATCTTAGATCCGGCAGGCACCACGGATCCAATGGCGGTCCACGGACCGTTGATGGAGGAGGCAGAGGCATAGGAAATCTCGTTGCCGGTCGAGAAACGGAAGTATTTGCCGTCCGACTCGCGGACGATCAAGGCTGGGTCATGGACGTTGCAGGAACCGGAGCAGGAGCCGGGGTTGGCGTAGCCATGAGCCAGGCCTGCCAGGAGCGGCACCGACAATGCAGTGAGGAGGGAGTACATGGTGTTTAAGCGTCTGAGATGTGACGATCGTTTCGTGCTTTGTTTCGGCCATTTTGGATGTTATATAGGTTGTCGATTGTTCGGTGTTCAGGGGTGTCGCCGTGCCGCCGGATCGGTGCGGCGTGTGTAGACGGGTGCAATAGTTGAGACGTTTGCAGATACGGACCTGGCTCCGTGATACTTTGGAGGTTTCAAAACGCGTAGAGGAAATAGCAAAATCCCGGAGGGATGCTGCAGGTGACTGGTGGAGAAGTGGTGCTGATGGCAAGTGACGAGCGACTAGCGAATGCCGGCACTGCTTAGTGTGTGGGGTAACCCGGAGTAGTGGCAGTCTAAATTACACACAGCCTTGCTCCCATGTCTACAGAATTCTGCAGGACTCTGGGGTATTTTACTGAATTACTGTGACATGAGTCTGAAAAACAAAAATCTACATCCACAATACTACAACACTCAGCACGAAAGTGCTATTGAGAACTTATACGCCTCTACAAATTGCTCGCATTGACGGTCGTAGGGGTCCGTGTGCCGGCATTTTATCCATTTTCGGAAGCATCCGTGCAGATTCGAGTCAGCAAACTTCACTGATGAAACACTTGGACCGACTATTGTGCTGTCAAACTCACCGGATGTTCCATCTTTAAATAGTTGCTGTGGGCTATAGTTCTCAACATGAAGCTGCCGAAAGATTGACAGGATGGGAGGCACCCGAAAGATTAAGCATCCAACTAATTCCGAGAATTATTTGCACGACTGAAATGGCCTTGTAACTACGGGCTTAAGGCACTACAAGAGATCGGAATCCTGATTCTACCACCTGGGACATCAGCTTGGTAGCTTGCAACCGAGTTCAACAGATAGTGGAAATAAAGGGGTTTGTCACAACAACGTGCCTGTCGGATGGATGGATATGGCACCAAATGTGTCCGCAGAGGCATGAAACAGGAGTATGCGCCACAAGCGCAGACGGCAGGTATCGTAGCCATATCATGCATTCGCTGTCCGAGCACACGTTGGCTGTCATCCTGCAGAGCTGTGCATGCGCACGTGCCTAGAAATGCCCGATGATATCATCAGCTTATACCTCGCGGAGTTTCCGAGATCGACAACTCGGTTGATGGTGACTGGTCATCCCACCGGGACAAGCATTGGGCAGAAGAGAGTTCAAGATTGAGTTCCACCAGTTGTCGGCTTACAGAGTGAAGTGTGGGGTGCAGCAGTATGGCTGTAGTAGTTAGGTACGTAGCTGCAGCTCCGGCGGAGTCTGGCTCTGAGCATACCTAGTAGGGAGGGGGGTGCGCAGATATACCTCGGGTATATTGATTCCATGAATCAATCTAGATTCCAGTCCTTCAGACTCTCTTAGGCCGGATGACAAGCGTACCTGGGATATTTTTCCCATTCCACAGGAAAAAACAGGCCCGTGGCTCTGGTCTTGAAGACATAGCGGACTAGTATTCTCCGTTTGACACACATTTCTGAAATGCTGAAGAAAATGATATTGTTGTCGAGAGTATGAACGGAAAGAAAAAAAGATTGATATCTGGGAAATCCGGGAACGACTAGGTAGATTTGACTTGGCGACATTTCATATACTTCTTGGAGACTGCAACAAGCTTCCTACGAGGTTTTGGTCGTCGGGTGGCTCGTGATCAGCCCTCGGTCATGGTACGCGAAGCACGTCAAATTCGTGGGGTTAGGCCTATGAGATTGAAGACATATATAAGAAAGAAGCATTTATATAAGGAAAGGGTTATGCGAGGAACTACGTGAGCAAGGTGGTTTGTGCGAACGAGGACTGCGCGAGGATTGCTCAGAGCAAGGCTGTTTATACAAGCATGGCCGTTGTGCGAGGAATCGTATAAGGATTCCTGCAAGCAAGACTGTTGATGCGAGCGAGGAACTGTGAGGACCCGCGTAAGCATCCCCGCAAGCGAGGCCATTGATGCGAGCGAGAAGCCGCATGAGGGATTCTGCAAGCAAGACCGTTGATGCGAGCAGGGAATCATGTAAGGACTCCTGCAAGCGAGGCTGTTCCTACGAGGAACTGCAAAAAACCGTGAGAATTCCTGGGAGTCCTGGAGGTAAGGCTGTTCCTGCGAGGAACTGTGAAGAACCGCGTAAGAATCCCTGCGAGCAAGGCTGTTCCTACGAGCGAGGAACTGTGAGGAACCACAGGAGGATTTCTGGGAGTAAGGCTGTCCCAGCAGGGGACTTTCAGAGATCCTGTGAGGATTCCTGAGAGTAAGACTGTTCCTGCGAGGGACTGTCAGAAACTGTGCGAGGATTCTGCGATCAAGGCTGTTCCTGCGAGCGAGGAACTGTGAGGAAGCGGATGAGGATTCCGACCTCCAGCTGCAAGCAAGCCTGTTCTTAAGTTGTAGAGCCAGGCCTCGCGGGAAAAGAAGCGGTAGATAGCGGCAGAAACAAAAAGCAGCTTATACAATTTCTGCTCGACAGCCAATCAGCGGGCTTTAAAGTCTTAGTACTACGGTAGGCAGGCTACTGTAGCCCAGGATCAGCACATACCTGCTTCGCCACCATCTGGCTATTCGAAATTTGATACTTACACAGACTGTGCAAACAATCGCGACATAAAATTCAGATATCCTGGGGGCAGAGCCCCCGGATCTCCCTCTGTCTCACAATTCCTAATTGATGCAAAGAATCTAAGTGGAATGGCAGATACCCTCCCGAACAGAAGGGTCTACTGAAAAGGTCACAAAAGATCCGCCATCACCCTTGTCAAGGCCTCATCCTCTGCCGCCAACTCGCCGCCCAACCCCTCCGCCAACACGGCCACGCCCTCGCCACCCGCTTGCACCCTCGGGTCAAAGTACAGCCCACCCGCCATCTCAAAGAAAGTCGTCAGATCCTCGCACCCGTTATCCCCGGCGGGCGCAGGATCCGTCGACGTTGCGGCCAACGACCACAGTCCATTCGACGAGCTCTGCATGGGTTGAGAGGGCGGTTGCGTTCGCGTCAGGCCTCCTGTCGCTGTTCGCGAGGGGTGGATGGTGTACCCTTGTGCATATTGCCCTGGAATCTCTCTGCGGGTGTCTGCGGACTGGTGGGGCTTCGCCTCCTTCCCCAGGTTCAAGCGGATAACCTTCAAGCTGCGAATGATCTTCTGCAGGCGACGTGAGGTGCGGGCTCTCGTCGACGAGCGCCGGACCATCTCGACCGCTTTGTAGAATTCCGGACGACACACCTGGGAGAACCGCGCGGGGCCGTGCAGCACCGCTAAAAACAGCGCGGCCAGGGCCGAGATGAGGAAGTAGTTGAACGGCTCCGGGCGCTGGTAGTAGATCTCCGACACACGACTAAAATAGTCCAGCATGTGGACGGTGCTCTTGGCCGTCTCGACGGCGATGGAGGCGCCCGCGACGCTGTCTTCGATGCTCTCGCCGCTCAGCAGGTACTGGCGGTAGACGAGGATGCGCAGCTGATTGGCCTGCAGCGCCAGCAGGACCTGAAGGGTCATCATGCTGTCCGCGTGGGTCGGCGAGTCGCCGCGCGCCGTGGAGCGGTGGGCCGGGTCGAAGCGCAGCTCCGGTGGGATGGACTGGATCCATTGCTGCACCTGGAAATCGAGGTAGGCGCAGTAATCGGTGGTGGCGGCGCGGGGCCGCGTACGCCAGCCCATAACTAACCCCCAGATCTTGGAGCTCAGACGCGCGTAGGAGATCATGCACGTCAGGTACGGGGTGGTCGTGCCGGGCTCGGGCAGGTTGGTGTCCATGTCGGCGTCCTGGATGGCGAAGGGGAGCCCCGTGCCGAACGACCACTTGCGGTCCAGCACGTAGATGCACCAGAACAGGCGGCTGGCCCAAGTGCGGTGCAGCTCCCCGGGAAAAACACCGCCGGTCTTTTGCCAGGTCTCCTGGCAGTGTAGGCCTAGTTGCATGGAGCCGCGCACGGCGAGTCCGATTGTGCGCCAGGCGATGACTTCGTCGTCGCGGTAGGAGTGGAAGATTGACTGCCCCAATGCCCAGCATCAGCATACCCTGCCCTAGCCCTCTCGAGGGAAATCAAGTAACTCACGAGTAAAGCCAAAATCAACAACTCCTTCATATCGACCTCCGGCACCTTCATGCGCATCCCGAACTGATCCTCCACGCGATCGGCCAACAGCGCCGCGCGCTCACTCCTCCCATGCGACTCCGCCAACAGCGCCGTGGCCAGAAGAATCTTCAACACCTCCGCGTCGCGCGCAAAGAACCAATCATCCTCCGCAGCGCCTCCTGCCCCCAAAGCTGGCGACTTCGACAGCCCATCGTCGCGATAGTAATCCACCACATATGCGCGAACGCTATCCAGATCCACGCACGGGTAGATCAGCCCCACCGTATGCTCGTAGACCGTCACCAGCCGTAACGCCTCCGTCAACCCCAGACACCGTAGCGGATCGCCCTCGCCATCAGCAACGGGGATGGGACTCGGCGCGGCGGTGGATTCTAGATCCTCACCCTCATCTTCATCTTCATCCTCATCCTCATCCTCGACCTCAACCTCGCCCCCATGCGGCCGCTTTCTGTCTGCAATCCCAAACTCCGCACTCGTCGGACCGACATACGTCGGCGATTTAGGCCGGTTCATGATCCGATGAAGGCCCGCGCTGGCCGAGGTGGAGGAGATGGTCGAGACGGCGGTTGGGATGTGATTGGCGGGGGTTGTCACGGCAGGACCACCACCAGCACCACTACTAGCAGCAGCTCCCCCAGTCCCCTGCCCCTCCAACACCCTCATCCTCCCCACCAAAGCCCGCATCTCTCGCTGCAGCGCCTCAATCTGTGCATCCACCGTGCGCAACCTCGTCGACAGGATCCTACCCGAGTCAGTATCAGCAACCCACAACCACCACGCGAACCAAACAATCAACACACCGATCCGTGATACCATCCTCCTCCCTAGGTCTCGGCGTATTCGGCAACGAAGTATACGCCCCCGTCCCAGACCCAATAACATGCATCGAATGAGCCGCATGCAAGGATGGCGCCGCATGCACGGCGTGCACGCTGGGCGTATAGACGCAGCGCACCTGGTCGCGCGTGCAGCGCGAGCAGACGGTCTCGCCGCTGCATTTGAGTTTGCGGCGTTTACACTCGTTGCTATCCTTTAATTAGCCATAGTCTGGTATGGTTTGATTTGTGGGGAACTGGAAGAGGTGAGGGGTGGGAGGTGGCTGTGATGGCATAGTAAAGAAGAGTGGAAGAGTGTATTCAGTTTGGGGGTGTGTGTGTGTGTGTGTGTGTGTGTGTGTGTGTGCGCGCGTTAGGGGCAAGGCAAGCAAGTATGCGTATGTGTTGTGCAGTAAAGTACATGCTACCCTTGGTCAACAGGAAAAAAGAACGAGAAAATCAAAATCGAAGAAGACAAAGAAGAAACCCACCAAGCAACCGACGTATATTTAGCCCGCTTCTTACTCCGAGGGGGTTCCGGGGACTGTTGGCTGTGGTCTTTCCTTTCTCCCACCCCTCCTCCTGCTCCTCCTCCTTCTCCTCCTCCTCGGTCTAGTTCTCGCTTAGCATGCTGGTGCTGCGGGTGCTGCTGGTGCTGCTCGGTATCCATCGGATGGCTCAATCTCTTTCCAATAGTATCTATTTCGCTATGACGCTGTAGCGTTGATCTCACAAAACTCAAAACGAAGATGCCGAATTCCGAGTAGTATGCAGCAGGGTCTTGCATGCAATCTAGATGAGAAGTGTTAGGGTGTGGAAGAAATGTTCGGAAAGCGATTCGAGGCGCGGGCGACGGGACCGCGGAATGGAAATTTTGCCTGCCCGCTTTCATTCCGAGCAAATCCGAGGCAGGCGGGAGAGCTTGCTTCATTCGCATTCTTTTCTCAATGCCGCAAACAAACGAGGATCAATTTAAGTTGCTCACAAAAATCGAGGCTCTAGGCAGCAATCTTATCTCCGCCCTGCTTTGATCGAAACTACTAACTACGTACTAGGAAACCTCTTGGAAACGTGCCAGTAAACCAACTTAATTAGATACACAAATACACAAATGCAATATATATACAGTTCGTATCATAATTCATGCACACCCCACCCTAAATGTGAGCCTTGCGGCAACATTCCTTATCCACAATGCGCGACGAGACATTGCGATCCGAGGGCACGTCCAGTGAGGGGTTGGCTGTGAAAAAATCCGCAGGGCGGATCATCAGCTGGAAAATCTCGACCGGCCTGTCATTCGTTAGTATCCACAATCCCCCAACATGTTTAGATCAAACTTACATCACGGGCCAGTCCTCAACGCGTGGGTTGTGGGTAATGCCAAACGTGCTCCAGACAACCACATCGGTGTCCTTGACCGAGTCGCCCCGCTTGACCGCGTCGGAAACACCCTCAATCTCCTCCTGACTCTGCAGGGTGTACCGGCCTCCAGCGTACAGCTCTCCATCTCGGTACTTGGTGATCCAGACGTGGTGCTGCGCGAATTGCGCCCGCCGAGCCTGGATCGAGTTCGGGTCCGCCAACAGCCGCTGCGTCGCCAGAGGGATGAACTTGTAGCCCACCGGCTTCTGGCTGATGGGGTTGATCTTGTGAGGGTTGACCATCTTAATCGTGCGGTTCAGGTCCGGAGCTGCGTCCAGCCAGCCCGCCCGCTCCACCGTCTCGTTGGTGACTTTGTAGTAGTTACCCATGGGGTTGGTGGCCTCGTTCATGGGCACCGGGTGTGACTCCTCGACCTGCACCGAGTTGTTGTTTCCGTCAATGGCCGGGTCGATGCGGACACAGAAAATGTGCTGGTGATTCTGCGCCAACACGCCGCCGCTGACCACGTTGCCGTAGTCGCTCGTCTTGCCAGCATCGATGTTCACCACATTCAGGATACCCGTCGCGCGAGATTCGACGGTGATGCCGCCGGACTGGTCGAACTTGTAGGCGAAAATGTACTCGTAGTTGGCCAGTGTGATAATAAACTGCACCACCAGCTCGCGGTGACGGGTGACCACAGCGCGACCCGTGCGCCAGTTGGAGTGCTTCCAGCCGATGCCGTTGTCCTGCTCGTGCAAGCAAATGGCATTGGGCAGCTTCTGCGCCTTACCATCCGCACCAGTCATGACCGCATCAAAGTACTTGATCACACCCAGACAGTCGCAGCCAATGGAAAGGTTGTTGGCCATGTTGCCACCACCACCGTCGCCAAAGTCGAAGGCCTGTTTGCGGTGGAAGGGAGGTCTGGGATCGGCATACGGCACAGTCTATCGCAGTCAGCATGTGGAAAATCTTCAGCATCCAGCCAATCGACTCACCATCTCACTGATACTCAGACGGTGCATGACACTGCGACCATCGTACCAGACATCGTGGATGGTGGCACCCTCGCGAGGGTTAAAGGCGACGCGGAACCGCCACTTCTGCCACTCGACCAATGACTCGTTGGTGATCTTGAAAGAAGGACCCTCCGGCTGCACCACATTCAACGGCTTGAGGTCCTTGCGCATGCCGCCAGGGACCAGCTCTGGCACGTAGTCGGAATCCTTGCAGTGGCCGATGATGTCACGCTTGAAAGTCTGTTGGGTGAGGCCGTCGCCCTTGCCACCAGTGGCCGGACGATCGACCCGGATGATCTCCTGGGTCAGCGCATCCATCACCGGGATCAACGGCAGTGGGTAGGAGTAAAAATTGGCATCGGGGTTATTCGTGCTCTTGTTGGTCGCAAAGCACAACCCCTGGAAGTAGCGGCGCGGCTCATCGGTGTAGTCCAATCCACCATAGGGCCAGGGCTCGATTGTCACCTCGAAGCCAGCAGGCAGATCGAAGTCCTCGAGGGCTTTCTGGAAGAGAGGGGAGGCAAAACAACGCTCGACAAGGGTATCAAATTCGCTCCTGGCAACAAAAGGCGGTTAGCATGGCCCACCAGCAGGACAACCGCCAAGAGTCTTACAGAGTCAACGAGGCATGGTGCTTCTTGCCCACAATCTTGTGCTTGATCCGCTGACGCGCGCCCACGTCCACGACGGACTCGTTGAAGGAAGGAATGTGATCGGAACCAATGACATCGTACTGACACAAGGCCAGACGAGCCGGACGAGGAGAGGTCGGGCTCAAGCGACCGGAGTGTTCGAGGGCGAGGAACTCCAGGAGTTCAGTTTTGGGGGGTTCCGATAAGTAGATCTCCCGGAAATCAATGACTGTGTTGGGGTGCTGGGCAAGAATGACATCGCGGGCGATGTTGGTCTCCTCCTCGGAGAGGATGGCCAACGGATGGGGAGTAAAGACCATGATGTGAGTTATGTGTGATGAAGAAGACGGAAGAGAGTGAGTGTGAGAAGAGGAAGCGAAAGGGAAGCTCGAGACAGCAGAGAATGCGGGGAAGCTGGAGGGATTTATGAATTGTAGGAGTACTTCTTGTCGGCGCATCTCCTTCCCAGTTCGGAACCCGCTGTGAGACCTTCAGTGCAGTTGAAATGCAGTACTAGGTACTCCACTTGCACTGCACTGCATCGGAACCTCGGAAATGGCGGAATGACAGCCAATAGTCCGCGGAACCGCACCGTGCTATACTGACTGGTCCGATGTCGCCTGGCAAAGGCGATAAGCGAACAACCGCAGACGATAAGATATGCAATGCACCGCGCAACTTTGTCCCCTTCCGGTCAAGTGGCAAGTGGCGCGCGGTGCGATAAGTTCTTACCCCCCTCCCTTGCTGATTATCCCCTCGAAATTGGTCAATTCGTCGGACAAATTGATTGATTAGTGTGCGGTAGGTATCAAATTAGATTATCGTAAGATGTACACATGTGCAGTGCTGAGGTATCAGTTCATATTTACATTCGTCAAAGCCGTGAGAAACCCCATCCCAGAAATGTCCCAACGCCGTTGCCTCCCTGATAAGACTCTCCCCACCATTCAAAACTTGCGTGTCGTGCTTGGCTTCACCCACAGTGGCCTCTCGCACTGATGGGTATTGCGCCAGTGCTGGATCTTCTCCAGGTCCCATCCCGAGGACAGCCGGGTGTTGGCGTCCCCCAACAACTTCTTCGCCCCCAGTCGCACAGTCCGCACGAAGACGCAGTGTCCGGTCGAGTCATACGTGAAGCTGAGACAATCCGGGTGATCGTGGCACGCAGCCCGACACGCATCGAAGGAGGCATGGCCGGGGGACTCGGGAGGCTCCTGCCAGCCACCCCAATCCCCGTTATCCCAGTCGAGACGTTCATCGAAGGTGCCCAGTTTCAGGTACTCGAGCAAGTCGGCATACAGGAGAGGTCCCTTTCAGGCAGAGATTAGCCAAGATCTCAATCGGAGAGGAGGCGCATACGTACACTGCGATCGCGTTGATTTTCAAAGTGCATCAACCCAGCCATGTCCGAAATCAGGGTCTTGTGCATGCTGATGACGGGCTGGCACCAGTGCACATCATCGAACGGAATGCCATGCAACGGATGGGGGTTGAACATGGGCCAGAATCCCGAGAGCTCGACACCCTTCTCGTGCAGAGCCCAGCCGAGGATCGAATCCCCACAACAGTCCGCCTTGACCAGATCTTCATATTGCTCGCTGAGGGGCGGCTGTGTATACTCTCCGTGTGTTCCAGTCTCTCGTGCCACCAATTTCTTCACCGCCGCCGTGGAAACCACGAAGCCGGATCCGCCGTAGGCGAAGTAGGAGATTTCGTCGTGGTCCAGTGGTCGGCCTGGGGACGGGGATCCCATATACAACGGAACGGAGGGGTTGAATTGATCGAGCAGACGGAACATGTTGTCCCAGACGACATAGGTGTCGGATTCGATGAAGACAAACCAGTCGGCGGTCGGGTTGATCTCATGCGCCCGCTCCACCATGGGCAGGAACTTGAACCGGTCGAGTCGCCACCCCTGGGGACCAGCCACCGACTTCAGTCTTCCATTCTGCAGTGTATCGTACGCCTCAAAGTCGGACACGTTCGCTCGGAAGGACTCGGGTAACGTGGCCAACACGTCGTGCACATGGTGGCCTTGCAGCTCCGACTCCCGGTCGGAAACCACAATCAGGTTGGAAATACACCGCGTGACGGTCGACAAATGAGCGTTAACGCGGTCCTGCGGCTCCGAAGCGCCAATCTTCAGGACGATCTGAATGCGCGGGAGCAGATAGGTCGGGAACGAATCGCAGATATGGTCGTCGTCGACTTTGTAATTCTGTGTGCGCGAGAAGCGTGTCGTAGTCTCCCAATCCCAGTATCCAGGCTCTTTGTGATGACGATCCAGGCGATAGAGCGATCTCGGGTCGAAGGGACCGTTTCCCAGCTCGACTTTGAAAATGGAGGCGCCAATGACGAAGAGTAGGATCAGCGCGAGGAGGTTGGCGGGTTTGCGGGCAAACATTGTCGGGTAAGGGCGCCGTCGGTGGCCGGTTTCTCGCCCCATGGCGAGATTTGTGTTTATGTTCCGGGACGAGCGCGGGGAAGAGGTGCTGATTAGATTTTAGGACTCGCTAATAATGCTCGAAGATGTCAGGAAGACATGGCAGTGCAAGAAGTCAAGGCAGCCCAGGGTGAATGCGACGATCGAGTGGAGACGGGCTGCGGCGCTGAAAAATGACGACAGTCGGAAAAGAAAGGCGGGCCAGTCCCAAAGCGAACGGAAAGTGATAGGCGGGCAGGCAAGCGATGGGCAGGCGATGGGCAGGCGATGGGCAGGCGATGGGAGAGAGTTTATGTTCTCTCTCCAACGCGGCCCAGAGGCGTTGATAGTGGAGAGGGGGAGGACCCTGGGTCAGTCTGGTCCCAGCCGGTAATGAAGGTTAATATCAAGTTATCAACAAAGAGATCCACCCGGGCTGAAGTCCGGCAAACCGTGTGGCAAACCAGAGTTGCTGAACTGCTGCCATTTCCACGCTATATTTAGTCGACTTATGGATATCGGGGATAGTTTCGTGCTTGCTTGTGTCTGGTGATGACCAGGCGCCCCCCAGATATGAGATGGTTGAATGTATGGCGGGAAGCTAGATGATGGTGCGTTGGTGTGAGTGGATGGTGGCTGATGATGATGATGGAAGACAACAGCCGGTGGAAGACGGCAGAAACCCACCGCCAGGTCAAGGTCGATCGGTGCAGAGCCAAGCATATACATTGATTGGCTGGCTAGCATCCACCGGTAGAGCCACTTTTCTGTTGGCGGCCAATCTCTAGCGGTCTGCAATCTGAAGGTGAGATTGCGACAATCGCAAATGACGAATCCCTGGCTTGTCGTCGCTTCCATGGTCCATGGTTCAACCCCAGTCAAGGGGCTTTTCGGTTGGCAACTTGGAGATTTGCACCATCCCTTAGTGCATCGTCATTGTTATCTTCTGCTTAGAACTGATCCTATCCATGATGGCAATTTTCGGTTCCTCCCCAGACAATCCCCCAACTACCACCGTTCTCCCTGAAAGGCGCTTTCAACATTCACAACTGAACAAACCATCATGCGGAAAGGGGGTCATGGCAAGCAAATTGAGGTGATAAGATTACAGGGAAGGCTGACGCGATCTGGATCCGCATCGAACAATCCCTGCCTGCCAGGTGCCTGCTGTCACTTCCAATTCTGGGCCTCCTTTCCGAACGAGCGAGCCTAATTAATTTATTCTTAGATCACTCCCTGCAACCTTCGTTTCCCTCCAGTTCCACCTGTCTCTCCCTACAACGGGAAAACCCCTCCCAATCCCCCTTCCCATCGACCTCCCGCGTTGCAGAAAGGTGGAGAATGAAACAGTCTCTGTCTGAAGCAATGAGCATCGCACTGAGATAAGGGAAAAAGAAAGTGGGACACAAGTTAGTGATCTGACATGCACAGTACTTGTACCTAAGTAGAAGGATATATCGACAGTCCCCGCCGGAGGCAAGAAGAAAAAACCCTCACGGGTCTCAATTACCCCTTTTTCGTCCCAGAATGCCCGTCTATGCCCGGAGCATCTAGCTCATTGCTGCATCCAATCCGCAACCGCTCTGATACAGTACTATTCCTTTTGTGACTAGAAGTAATCTCTACGCAATTCAGGGTCTCCTCGAAATAACTCTGGCGTGGCGCAACCCAGAAGACAGTGTCGTGGTTTGGAAGCCATCGCCCTTCAGACCTCTTGTCAGTAACTAAGGTTGTTGAACTAGAAGTGAAAGATGTACCGTACATACCTTCTGTCCATGATGTTCTCGAATGCCCTGTCCGATGGGTTTGATCAATTAGATCGTGGAAATCGGTGGTGCGCCAGGTGAAATTGCGCGAGCCATACAAAGCCATTGGACGGTCGCATTTCAACTGCTAGCGCATAAGAGCCTCCGCCTAAACCCGACCAGACGCTCGTAAGCACTAAAGGTAGGAAGTGCGCAGGAAGTCCGCGCTATCTGCACCGACAGTCGGAGTAGTACCCAAGTTGGGTCCGCGGGAAGAAACATTCGACCAAGTCAGCGCACGCTGGCCACGTTGTAGCAAACACTGACAACCACCCAAAGGCACCGGTCGGATGCGTAGTAAGAGATTTTGGTAGGCTCTCGAGGCCTCACTGGCTTTCCGGCGGTGGCCGGAAGTTGAGTGTTGTTGCGCGACTAGGCAAAAAACCGCACCGCACTAGAGAGCAGCACACCGCGATCCCGCCATCAATCCTTTTCCAGTAAGCGCCTGGTCGGACAAACGTTGGACTGACTCCGCAAAGCAGGAGAACAAACGCCGAGAATCCGCGCACTCCTCCGACACCTCGACGAGCGAAAGTCAGTGACCGAGGGACGACTCGGTTCCCGTGTATCCTTAGATCGCAAGCTCGTCAAGGTAAACATCCTGTTGTTCTTATCTCCAAGGTACCGGTAATATCGCAGAGGAGGAGATATGAAAGCTTGGAACTTTGGAATTCTGCGAAGTCAACGACGGAGACGCTTAAAAGTCGTCAATTGCTGACAGCTAGGGGCAGAATTGGCCCCCAACATGCCAGACATCAATTGAAACCACCCACCTTCCGGTGCTATGTTGCTCAAGGAGTATGGTCGTGAGTTGCTGTGAAAAGAAATTCCACATCCTGAGTTGGGGGATAGCGAGCCGCTAGATCTGCTTTGGCTTCGGATTCATCTCGCGACCAGACACTCGAAACCGAGAGGAAAAATATGCTGTGGTCAAGATAGTAGCTAAGAGAGCTAGCTGTTAGCGGGACTGGTTGGATTGCCACTTCCATTGGAGAGCCAGGTGAGCGCAAGAAATCGATCATACGTCGCTAGGCAATCGGTCGGCGTGGCTATTTTAGCGGCTGCAGCGCAGAACTGGAGTTCAGTTCTGGAGGGGTTGTAGAATCTGGAGGGTTCGTAGAATGAAGTCGGTGCTTTAGCTCTATACGGTCTTCGAATAGCTTCAGCTGTCCGTCTCATCGACGGTGGCTTGATTGTCATTGCGGATAGAATTCTTGCTCCTGAC